AGCAGGATGCTGTACAAAATGGACATTAGCTCAGATTCAGTGGAGCTCTTATTTCTTATACAGACCTGTTCAGACAAAATGCCAAATGGTGGCTAATTAAAAACAGATGCAAAAGCTTCCAATCTTTTTATGGCCAGGCAGGAGAGGGGAAAGGGAATGCAACGTGAGGCTCATTAAACTTAGAGGCTGGCAATTTGTGGCCCCCCAGATGCTTTGGCCTACAACTCCCATCAGCATTCACCATTGGCTATATTGGCTAGGACTGATTAGCTTTATAGGCCAAAGCATCTGGAAGACCACACATTTCCCAGCCCTGAATTAAGCTGTATTTAGGATGCTCTCCAAGCAAGACCATCATTCAGACTTGCTCATCTGGTGGCTCTAAGATGCATTTCTAGTTGCGGAGATCATGGCATTCTACCTTAACCAAAAATAACTCCTCCTGGAAATTTCAGTTATCAGGAAGTTAGGTAACATTTGCTGAAGTTTAGCTTTGGGTTGAGAAAGTAATCCAAGTATTGAATTATTTATTGCCTTGTTTAATGCATTACTTAATATTGAGTGCTCTGGTAAGTTCTGAAAGCATAACAGAATCCAAATGGGGCTTGCAGAATTTAATAGTACTCATCACAATCTTTTGTGTCTGAGATAAAGGCACAGACAAGTGTCACTAAGCAAAGATGAACAGCACTGCTATTGGCAGCAAACCAGACCCTGTTACTTTTTGCATAACTCTGACTCATCCTCAAAGATTTACTTTTGCAAAAGGAAATAGCTTGTGTGGAGGCAACAGACCAAGTTAATGGAACAAAGGAGATGATGGTTAGCTCTGTTGATTTGTAAGGAATGAGGGAAAAAATCTTATTCCTGATTACAAAATATTTTTAGATATATGTGTGTCTATACACTCTTTGTTTATGTGTTTTGCATGTATATGATTTTAGTAATATATTTTGAAAGCTTTAATGTTTGCAAACCACCCAGACAGCTTCTGCTCTCTTTTGGGTGGTACAGAAATGTAGTAATTGAAATGAGATGGGATGAAAGAATGTATAATTGGAAAAATATTAGGGGACACTCACTGACAATCCAAGGCTGCAATTCTGTATCCAATTACTTGCATGAATACATCTCTGAACTCACATGGGACTTCTTTATGAGGGAACATACATACAGGTGCATTGTCGGGCTGCAATGCTAGGGTGGGTTTGCTCAAGCAGGGAAGGAAAATAAGCCACTGTCATTTATTTTCCTGTGCTGTGCATGTAGGTTGTGTGCTACTAAACTACCATAATTATGTTTGCCATCCTAGTTGTGTCATATGAACCTGGTGAAAGCAGGTGGCAGAGGTGAACAGGATAAGGGTTCATGGTGGTTTCTAAACCTACCTGCCATCCATTCTCCTGGATGGTGAAGTGAGCAATATTGTCTTCCTGCTTTGGGACAGCTCCCACTCTTGCATTTTCCCCTTCTTTAGTGCTTCTCAACTGTGCAGAATGGTTCTTCCTCTCTATAGTAAAATTCCCTACACCCTTCTCAACTGCACACAAATTGGTCTATTGCAGCCTTGCCTTGTCAATGTCTTTGTATGTTACTACTCACTTAGTGCTCCCAGTGAAAGCCATAATACACAATGACACTTGACAAGGAAAAACAGCATGTATCAGACAGGTGAAGGTGTACTCTTGTAGCCTTATGAAAGAATGAGTGAGGAACTGAAAAATAAGACTGTATTTGTGCATCCCGAAAGCACTGGGGGGAAATGTGGCAATTGTGGATGGAGTAGGGCAAGGAGACAAAGATGGGTTTGCTGCAAATGCACCTGGAGCTGATTGGAGGACTGAAGGGAAGGAGCAGGAGATCAAGCCAATTGTCTATCGGGCTGTTCAGTGAACAACCAGCCCACTGTAGCTTGTTTACAGGGTAGCTTTTTGTTATGAGTGGACCTGCCCTGCATGACTTACTTCCTAGTAAACATGCACTGGATTGTGCTTTTAAAGAATCTGAAAAGCCTGATGAGGCAGGATTTTTCTTTGCTAGAGACACCCATGATGATTCCTCTTCAGCGAGGATTGTTTTTCTGTATGCTTAATCATGCAGCCTTAATGCTTTCCACGAATTGACCCAGAACAGACATAAGATAATTGATCTGTATTTTCCAGGCAGTGCTATAAAGACACAGTTTTTATAAAACTATGTTATATTGGAAAATAAGCTTTCTTATGACAGCATTTGAATATACTTTTAGAAAGTTCAAGTGAACACTATAATAGCTTGTTATTTTTTTAGTTTGTGAATTACTCCTTTTCCATGCCTTCATTCCACCAAAAACAAAACAAAACAAAGCAAAACAAAACAATGGTTAGCTGTTCTAGTTTGTTAGTAAAAAAATAAGTAAAGGTTTTCCCATGACATTAAAGTCCAGTCATGTCTGTACGAAAGCCAAATAGGGACAGTAAAATTTTATTAGTTATTTAAAATTTTTCTATATCATCCTCTTACCAAATAGTCTCAAGACAGTTTTACAATAAAACAAAGTAAAATACAGCATCATTTCTATATAGTAAAACCCCACTTAAAATCTCAATCTAAACCTTAAAATACTGGGAAAATAAAAGGTTTTTGCCTGGTGCCAAAAAGAATAAAGTGTCGACACCAGGCAAACCTTTCTGGGGAGTGCATTCCATAGCCAGCCCGCACTACAGAGAAGGCCCTTAAGACTCTCCTAATCTCCTTCAAGGAGAGTTCCCAAAGAAGGACCTCCAACCCAGATCTTAAAGGGTGGGCAGGCACATAGGGAAGGAGAAACTCCTTCAGATATACAGGCCCTATGTGTTTATAGCTCATCACCAACACCCTAAATGGGGCCCAGACAACAATTGGTACCCAGTGTAGATGGTAAAGAACTGGCGTTGTATGTTCATATCTGCCAGTCCCTGTTAACATCCTGGCTACGTACTAAAATTTTAGTAAGTCTAGCCAAGTTTTGAAGAACATAGTTTGCATATTTGTAGTTAGCTCTTAAGCTAATGTGGTTATGCTAGTTAGAGTGTCAGACCGGAGATCCCAAAGATCTGCATTCTAGTTCCCATTCAGCCATGAGCTCACTGAGTTACTTTTGGTCAATCATAGACTCACAGCCTAACAACAGGGTTGTCTTTGTGAAGACAAAATGCAGAGGAGGAAAACTTTGTAAGCTGCTTTGGAGTTTCTTGCAAGATAAAGAAATGCAAGCCTAAATGTAATGCAACAATAACTAAGAAAATGAAGCAAGACATGTTTATTTTAAAATTAAATCAACATTCTAAACAAATTCTTTTAAACCTTCATGGACAGACCTTTTGCAAAACTCTGTCAGACATACGTTTATGCATATTATATAGGGGGGAAAAGTCCTACAATTACCAATATGCTGGCTAGGGAATATTGGGAAATGAAGGACTCTGTTTAAACAAGTGTAGGACTATGTTCTCAGTTAACAGAATTTGTATACTATGTGACCCATAACATCAGTTAATCATATAATCTGATTGGTTTTTAATCCAATATATATGGCCTTAGCTGAACAAATTTTTTGATTTTATGAGAACTTTTGAGCTTGTGGTAATTGCTTTGCTTAACAAGAATTGTTCAGTTCTTATTATTGGCTATGATAGCTAGGGCTTATGGGAGTTGTAGGCCATATCTTGTGAAGATCCACAAGTTGCTTATCCCCATTTTAATTTTATGTGGATACTTGGGAATTCTTCATTGGTTTTCTGTGTCCTTGTTTCAAACTGGAATTTCAGGGGTATTTGAGGAGACAGTTTCACATAAATGTGGCAGCAGTTCTAAGCACATTCTTGTTGTAGATATATCTGACTGAATGCAGACAGCCTTACTTCAGAATATATTCAGAACTGTATTGCATACTATAAACATTGTGCTGCATGAGTTAACAGCTCATTCCTATACTATAAACCTACACTGGGCTAGGCAACTTGTGCCTCTCCTGATGTTGTCAGATTGTAATTCCCATTATCCTATTGGCTATGTTTGCTAGGGCTGATGGGAGTTGGGCTATCCAAAACATTTGCAATGCATCAGGTTGGGGAAGGATGGGCAAACCCATGCGAAGGGTTCATCTAGTTCAGTGCTGCCCACATAGATTGGGAGCAATAGTCCAGGGTTTCAAATATTTTTTCCTAGTTTTGTTCAGAGAAATCAAGGCCTGAACTTGGCTGTCATTTTTAAGTAAAGCATTGATTCTGTCACTGAATTATGGCTCTGCCCTAGTAGATGTCACAACAACCAGACTGTCATACTGAAGTTCCTTGACTACTTGTTACATGCCATCAAGTTGTCTTCATCATATGGCAATCCTGGGAATGAGTGCCCTCCAAAATGTCCTGCCCTTGACAAACTCAGCTCTTGTAAAGCCATGGCTGTAGACTCCTTTACAAAATCCACCAGATAGCCCTTGGACTTACTCCTGGATGCTTAAACACTGAGTTGCAGTGATGATGTAGTGATACCACCAATTTGGACATCTTTAAAAGCAAACTGGACTAATCTATGAGGGAGAAGGCTATTTACAGCTACTAGGGCGGAGGGCTTTATGCGACCTCCAGTAGCAGAGGCAGCCTGCCTGTGCACACCATTTGCTACTGAGCTGGGGCAAGAAGGTGCCCTCCTGGTGGGATCCAGTGGGCAGCTGACTGGCCACTGTAAAAAAAGTATGCTGAACTGGATAGCTCCTGGGTCTCATTCAGCAGGGCTCCCCAACGCTCTTCTTCTGATGAGCGCTCTCGCCCGCCCCCTGCTTGCGTCACAGGCGTAAGGGGCTGAATCATTGCCGCAAGCCCCCTGAGGTTTCTTCTTCTTCCCCTCTCCCTCACCCTTTCCCTCCAGCCTCCGAGAGCCACGTGATCAGAAGTGGTCGCTCGGGGTTCGCTCTCCTCCCTTTCCTGGTCCTCCTCGCGCATGCGCACGAGCAGCCGTGGCGGCGCCGTCGGCTTCCGGGTGGGGTTGGCAGTCGAGCTGGCGAGTAAGCGAGCCTAGCTCGGGCCAGGGGTTGTCGTCGTCGGGTCAGCGGAGGGAGGAAAGGGGACCCCGCCTGGCGCCATGGCCTGCGCGCTCGTGCCTTTCTGCAGCTTCCAGGACCTGGATGCGGCGCGGGACTTCCTGTGTTCGCAGCTCCGTCAGGTCGGCGCTGCTGGAACCGGGGGCGCCAAGGAGAGCGGCGGTGAGTGGTCGCTGGGGCGGGACGGCGTAGCACTGAGGAGTTGGTGGTGAGAATAATTCCTTCGTTTTCTTACTTTCACCAGCGGGGGCTGCAGCCTGGTCCCGCCTAAAGTCATCGCTCAACTTCTCTGCCTAAGAATGGCTTGGTGTGCGAAATGGGTAGGGGGTCGCGGCTGTTCCTCCTCCTGGACCCGGACCGCACTTCCTCGGGAAGGCTGTGCTTCTGGCGCAGTCCTCCCAGCCTAGATTCCCTGCGATATGTTGGGCTACAGCTCCTGGTCAGCTGACAGGGGCTGATGGGGGCTGAACTGCAGGACATCTATAGGGCATCAAGCTATGGAAGGCTGCTCTGGTGTGTGCATAACTGTGAGGGGGGACATTGTACAGGCAACGTAGGACTATTTACGGTACCCGTGACTAAAATAAGTAGCCTGTATTTTACTTGTGCTGTTTCTTTTGCCATAGCATATCATACTTCCAGACTGTATTTCCACACCATAATCGGTGGCATGGAGACCACTGGATGCTGGGTGTGGTGGTGTTATTGAAGCAGGTTCAATAATCAGGGACTGAATATGTGGTGACTTGTGGCCCTACTGACTTTTTTCTTTTGTCATGACTATGGGCTCAAGAAAAAAATGATGCCAAGGTGGATTACCCCCACATAATATTTTGGGGGATTATTCGTGGATTCCTGATAAGCCCTACTTGTAAGGATTCATGTGTTTGTAATCCATCTGTATTCTGAAGTAACTTGATTTTATTGATAACTTGGATGCTGTTCTGAAACCATTGGATTAAAAATACTTCAAGTAAGCAAACAAATAACTTGTTGACATCCATATGTTTCATATGGCAACTGATCATCCTCTTAAGTTCCAATGCTGAATTTATGTGCTGGATAAAATTGATATTATATGTAATGTATCTTCTGGATCATTTAATAGAAATTCCTTTGTTATTGTATACTCACTAGCAGTAGCCAGAACAAATCATGAGCAGCCATGTGTAATGTTTTGGGTTTGTGTAGGCTCATGTAACCCTATGTTCTTATAAAATCAGGGATGAGGTCAGTAAAGCAAAAACCAGATTATAAGAGTGAAATTAACTATATTTGAATAGAATTAAAGTGTTATAAATCTACAACTTGGATTTGTAGTTATTTTTATATCATGCATGCAAATACTTTATTGCACTTTGCAGGTACATAAGTGATACTTGGACCTACTTTTGCTATCAAAAAGTTTCTTTTAATGTTCAGCTGAAATTTACTGTCTTGTAACTTGTTCCATCCTTGTAAATTACTTTAATTCACTCTGAAGTTTTTTTTAAAAATGGGAATCAGAAGTGAAGAATTGTCCAACTGTTACTAAATCAGAATTGAATGGAACAACTTTAAGTGAATTAAATAAATAAACAAATTAGAACCATTAAAAACAGTAGTTTGATCTTGATAACTATGCAAGATGTGATAGTTGGTAGGGGATCAGACGTTTTGAGGCAGGGTACATCCATAGGATTGTGCTTTTTATATGATCAAATTATACTGTCTGAAAGGTGTCTTTACCCAGGGTAGCAAACTAAACCTGGATTCAATCTTTATATATTCCTGATTTGGAAATAAACTCTTACTATTCATTTGAAACTTTCTCTTGAACCTAAACAGAACCCTACAAAATCTTTTGTAGAAGGGGAAAACGTAAAATATGCTTCTTTAAACTATTTTCAATCACATCTCTTTATAAAGCATAAATGACTAATTCTGTATTTTATAGATGAGAAATTGTGGGAGTAGTAGAGTTAATAATGGAGGCCAAGTTGTTTATCTGTATACTAGAAAACACCTTTAAACTGTTTTAATATTAATCTATTCTGTAAAGAACATTGGTGGAACTTCTTTAGAATTATTCCCAGAATTGTTTGCTTGTTTCTGCAAAAACATCAATCTTGTGGCACATTAAAGATGGACAATTCATTATAGCAAAGGATCTAATCAAATGGACTGGTTTGTTGAAGTATATGCCATAATAAATTTTATCAGTCTTTAAGGTGAGACCTGACTTTTTCTTGTTTAAGTCATTCCTCAAACTCATTTTTTAAATAAGCATCCTCCTCAAATAAGGAAACAAATAGTTTGAGCCACTTCATTGACATGGTTTGCATGACACAAGACTCCATTGAGAGTTAATTTATTCTCAGGGAGTTGCTGACTACAATTATGCAAAGCCATGATCTTCAAAACTGTTGCATCATGGGAACCTAGACAGCAGGGGTTATTTGAAAACTGAACAACCCCCACCCAAAGTCTGTGGTACAGTTATGTAAAGGGCATTCAGCTCTCAATTATCTATGCCAGTTAGGTTCACAACACACAGCAGCTGCTGAAACCCCTGGATCTAGGTTAAATATTCATAATGGTGGCTGGCATGCATTGCTACTCCTCAAGGGTAAATTAATTCTTAGGCTGTCATGTCTTGAGAACTGGCCTAGTATAATAGAACGCCAACATAAAGGCTGTTAGCTCTAAGCTTGGTGTAAGGAGACTAATGGGAGAAAGATGCAGTGAGGTTGCATGGGCTCATTGTGTGTTTTCTGAATGAACAAATTAGCAAACAATTGAACCCCCCTCCCCATTCTATCATTCAAAAGTAGTTTTGGTCCTTAACCCTTTCTTCTACCTAGTTCCAACACATAGTTTTCCATAGCAGAAAACATTTCCACTTGTTCACCTATCATATTGCACAAGCTTTATGTGAAAAGTACCAACAAATCCACGCCCGTACAGTTATTTGTTGCTAAAAAGGAAAGCAGAATAATAATTGTCTATAAAGCTTTGTTGTCCCATTAGCTAGAGGCTATTATATCTACAGGTAGACAGGAAAGTGAGCATCTTTAAGCCAGGATTATTAAAGGAGTCATTTGGCATGGGAGTTTGAGGAAGAAGGTTTGAGGCAAGGCTTTGCTGAGGTGGTAGGCCTTAGGAGAGACTTAACATTCCAGGATAGGTTTTTTAAAATTCAGTTTGACTGGTCAAGATAAAGATTTAAAACTGTAATAAAGAGATGCCAACATAGTAATGTTAACTGTTTTTCATAAACATAAACTAATTAACTAGTTTATTATGCAGCACGCAGGGCAGCACTGCTTCCACAGCAGATGTCATGCTAATTTTAATGAAGTTTGTCTGAATTGGTATGAGATAGCTAGTGTCATAAAGCCTTGGAAAAACATCCCAGTTCAGATTTCATCCAGAATATTTTTGGATATTGGACTTTTCTAAATGAGTGACTTAGCAGTACTGCTGAGTTGCTGCTTAAGTTCTGTGGTTCTTATCTTTTCTTTAGATGTTTAGATGTGCTAATAGACATTCTAATTACAGTTGGATTTATTGCATTTGTAGTGACAATTTAAAGTAAAAACATGAAGATTATTAAATAGCTTTTAGACTTCCTTATGCAGATATACTGTAGTTTCCTTTTCGTAGGTAGACTCTATCAAATAATGGCCTTTATGTTTGACTTTTCAGTTGTATGGGCACATATGTCTCTGTTAGTAAGCATTAGAGCAGGTAGATCAGGGGTCCTCAGCCTATGGCCCGCAGGCTGGATCTGGGCCGCCATGTCCATTTTGCCACGCGTGCGCATGCCTGCAGAGGCATTGGCTTGCTTGCAAGGAAATCGTTTTGGACTCACTTGGAGAAAAGGATCTCCTTGCAAGGAAGCTGGTGTCTTGCCGTGCTTTGAAATCTGTTTCTTCTTATAGCAAAACAAAACAGATTTATTATAGGGCTTTTTGGGTTTTGCTTTATTAATTTATGCTAGAATATTCTTAAATCTGAGCCATAAGTGAAAATGAGAAATTGACCCTTGTTTATGAAGCGTGTAAAATAACTGTGGAATCAGATTTATTCTTGTAATTATATGCAAAGGGTAAATGACTCACTCCCTCCAGAATAAGGAGACCTTTTCAGTTCAATAAATTGCCTTTCAGTGGGAGTTTTATAAATAGGAAGTTCATATGTGTGATAGCTTTTTTTAGTATTTACTTCAAAAAATCTTAATAACCATAATTCTGTCAGTGCTAGTATTAATATGTTTAAATGTATAGGGAGGCTTTGGGTACAATTTGTTGGTATCCTCCTTCCATGACAATGAATTGATTGGATATCATCTGTGTTCCTGACTGGAGCACCTGAATATGTGCTCACCATAGCACAGCATCTGTTGAAATTTGTAAGGGGAACCCTGACTTGGAGTCCCAGTTCTGACCACACAGCACTGTTCTGAGATTGGACCACAGGCTCCAAATTTTCCTATGGTCTTTTAGATGGTGTCTAGCAGCCATGGGTTTGTGCCCCTAAGCAAACAAATGACAGACATTCCTTTTTCTCAAAGCAGTAGGTCTTCCTAGGTCAGGCAGCTCCCATCATCCCATGTTATGGGCTGATGCAAATCCCAGACCATCAACATTTGGAGAGCCACATGTTCCCTCCTTTATGCTAGGTTTCTTCTGATTTACAGTTAATATCAATATTAGCTTTCAAATTAAATTTTAAAATATCAAGCTTGTTCAGCATGTAATAAAGCTTCTAAGAATCCTCTGGTTCTACAGTATTTTCTCCATTTCATTATTGTGGAGCCATGGGAAAGTGCCCTGCAACCCACCCAGAGTCCCAAGACTACTGTTTGACCAATGTATTAAAATATTAGTTTGACAGAGCTAAACATTGAAAAGGATCTTGCCTTGCTTCTGGGATATGACTGGCATGTATATGGAATGGGAGATTATTTGAGCTGTTCCCTAAAAATTGTAATCAGTACGATAAATACAGCTGTAAGAGTTTATAAGGAAGCCGGTGTGGACAGGCATGACTTGTAGAGTTTGCGGTAAAACAAGTTGAATGCAGCCTACCCAGTATGGATGGTGGTTATCAAAAGATTTGACAAACTTTCTGACTTTTGTTTTCTGACAGGTTTTCTAAAACAGGTGATTGACAAGTACATAGCATGCCACAGTAATGTTTGCTGGGCTACATTTGGCTAGATAGGGTACAACTTGTACAGGTTGGGTACTAGTGTAATGATGTCAGGTGACCACTGCTCATATATTTCATCCTTAGTCAGTTGATGAGGCATGGCTAATTTATTCTTGCTCTTTTTTACTTGAAAGCTTATTAGTTGAGGGTTTCTAACAATGCTTTTTAAACCCCCCTGGTGATTATTTTTTAAATTTAAAATTATAGTTCATCACATTTATGTAGGCATTGAAATGTAGCACTTCATCTCACCCTAAAACCAACAGTTATGATTTGCTAAACTAATCGAGAATTTTTAATATTAGGTAAAGCAACAAACTGGGATGAAGATGGTTGGGGAGCCTGGGAAGAAGCAGCAACTCAAGAACCTGTAAGCCTCTTTACTAATTATACCTTCTGTAGATGACTTTTCTTTCCTTCTCAGAATAATTTGAATAATCCATTGAATAACTCTCTCGAAACATTCCACTTCAGTAATTAAACTTTTAAGATGGGATGCATGCATCCAATTTGAATATTGATTATATTACTTTTTTCTCTTTATGGATATAGCTAGATTTTACTGCATTAAAGTATAACTTGCCTTTACACTAATGGTACTTCCAGGTGACTAACATTAAAATCAAATCAACAAAAGGAAAATAACTTTCATCTTAATAGCCATAATACAGTGGAAATGTCAAATGTTGCAGTTTCATCAAAATAGGCATATTTGTTTTTCCCCCCTAAATGCCACAACTCTGTTATTATGCGTACCAGTGGTGCCCAAAAAAGCGTATACACATTTTAAGAGTTGTTATCTATGTATTACTTTTCAAAGTTCAATTGAATTACAGTAGCAGTGTGTAGTATGACATTTGCTCAAAAGATGGCATTAATCAAATGAATGCTAGCATCAGCATGTAATAGGCAGGGCAGTCAAAGAAAATGACAGAAGCACAGTTGTCATTTGAGGAGCACAAGACCATTTTGAAGTGGTATTTGAAATTCTCCTGACTTAACACTCCTTGACTTCTACCTATGGGGGAACCTTAAAGGATATGGTGTACTGTAGAAAACCAGCTATACTGGCAGTACTTTGGGAAGGAATTGAAACAGCATGCGCAGTGATACAAGTGGACACTTTAGTCAACATTGGTCAAGCAGTAGTTTGTCGAAATCAGAAGCTGATGGTAACCACTTTGAGCACTTCTTGTAATTGCGGAAGTCAAACGTGACTTGTATTCAACTTTTTTTTGTTATTGGTATATATTGGGTTTTACAATTTTAATAGAGTTTTTTCCTTTCTTAAAATGTGTATACATTTTTGGCATCCTCTGTATATTTTTCTTTAAAACAGTATATGCATTTATCAAATTAACATAAAATTACTATACACAGGAGGAAGAAGAAGAATCAGCTTCCAAGGCACAGGCAAGTTCTTGGCTTCAGGACTGTGTCGTTTCTTTGTCGCCAACAAATGATCTCATGGTAATAGCTCGTGAGCAGAAAGCTGTTTTTTTTGTCCGTAAGTATGTTGTATTCCTTTTTATTTATATCCTGACAATAAATTAGCAATTTTCAGATAAATTTCTTAGATTGCTTTGAAACATATTGATATTGTTACGAAGATGCTTCATTTATAATTTCTATTGCTTTCTTACATTCATTTTTCTGCTGGAGTTATATTTACAGTGGTAGCAGAAGTTACTCAATGGTGTTACTGCATGAGACCTGTAGAAGGAAGAAATTGTTTTCCCTGTAGTAGCTGCTATACATAAAACCAACTGCTGTAGTAATTGAAGTTTCTGCTACACTACATACAGCAAATACGATTATTTTTCTCTACAGCAATATTTCATATAGCAAATGCTGAGATAGCATCCGTTGTTCTTTTCTCACTATTTCCTCTCTTTTTTCTGGATAGAATTTGATCGTTTAAATTGTGGCCTGCCTTCAGATATATAGCATATGTAGTTGGTGATTTCCAATCATCATGGTTTGTTTGCATAATCTGAATCTGTCTCTAATACTGTATACATTGGGTTAACGACTAAACTCACACTAACAGGCTTAAGCAGTATTTTGTTTCTGAAACTGTTTGTCTCTTCCTGAAACAAATTTCTTTGGACACTTTGCCTACTGTGAAATCTGTGAGAAATGTATAATATTTTACAGTATAAGGGACGTTGGAAGGGGTAAGATATAAAAATAATTCCTTCAAATAATGGAATCAATGTATTCTGTACTGGAGATCAGAAACATGGATTGTACCTAACATTAACAATCCTGATTTGGAAATTTGCTCTTTTTGTTTATATAATATCCTAGAAAAAGAATGAATTGGTTTATTGTATTTGGTTGTACTTTAAAAATATTTAAAAGTGGGCAGTTATCTTAGAACTCTGAAGGAATCATAGTATTGGACTAGTTGAAGCAGGTTTATATTGATGAAAAAATAATTCTTAATTTTGTAGTTCTAGTTATGTTTTGCTGTTTTTACTATGCAAAAATAAATGCTAAAATTTATTGCTACATATATGAAGTGCCCTTTCTAGTTAGCAAGGTCAAATATAAGGATTAAAAAGCAGTATGTATATATAAATTATGTAATTGGAAGTTAGTGACACTAGTATAATTTGCATCAGATTTCTTCACCAATTGGTTATCAGATTTTGTGAGCATGTATAATAGCATTTGATATGTAATAAATTGAAGTAAGGAAAGTTGTTAGACTTCATTAAGTCATATTGCAGTTTGGCTTCCACCCCTGCTGTTCATCATAAATTAATAATTGTTGGATTAAGTAGCTGGATGGATCTAGAGGCTCTGAAAAATCCACTCATTGGATAGTCCTGGTGATCAACAGGTTTTACTTCTTTGCCCTGTAGCCCCTGAAAAGCTACTTGGAGGGATCTGTGCCTATGTCTATGGCTGGTCCAGGGAGATTTCTAGGAGCAACAGAAGCTATCGTCTGGCAGGGCCAGACTCTTGAGTTGACATTTTTTAATCAGAAACCCCCAAACACTTGGGCAAGAGCTTGCATCAGTTTCCAAGGGCTGGTGCATAAAAAGATAGGCTGCTTGAAAATGGGCTTGCTCCCAAAGATTATTATCTCATAATAACCTCCTTCTAAAGGGAAACAACTACTTGACATTGACAGAATGTACATGGAAAAGAGGCATTAGCTGGGTTATATCTCCTGCAGCTAGAAAAATTAGAGACATTGTGCTGTCCAATAAAAATGAATCCTTTTCTGCTGAATAAGGTGCAGCCTAAAATACAGGGTTCCAACAGATATATGCCAAAATGGTGATCCACTGATTAGACAGAATGAGACAATCCTATTCCCTAACCTCATCCTTCTTAAAACCCTTTATATCACAAACAGTATTGAAATGTAATATTTGGCGGTCCTTTTGGAAGTGTATGAAGTGGTTCAGGGGACTATAGGCAGAGTTACTTTGACCCTTTCCTCTGCAGAATCTCTGCTGGATCCCTGGTGCTAGAGTAAAATGAATTGGGGAAAAAACAACTCAAATATTTTCTTATGTGTTATCTTAATTTGGAATATGAAAATACTTCATCAATAATTTTTTCTTCTTCTCTCTCCTCCAGCAAAATGGAAGCACAGTGAAAATGGGAAAGAAGAAATGCAGTATGCAGTTGGTTGGAGTGGCTCTTTGAATGTTGAAGAAGGGTAGGTATGAAGCCTTGAACAGCTTGTCATCCGTGCTCACTGAAATTCTTCGGTCAGGCGACTGTCAGATAAGAACTAGACTTTTTTGCACTGTTGTGTAATTTGATTAGGACCAATAATTCTGTGCTGTATGTGAGAGGATCTTTCATGAAGTGTTTAATGTGGCTTTATTTTTCCCCTAGTGAATGTGTAAACAGTGTATTGTGCATCCCACTGGCAAGTCAAAAGAGGTAAGAATTGGTTATCTTTTTTGTTTCTTAGAATTCTTTAAAGAGCTGAAGGCTGCTTTTAGATGCACACAGAACTTAGTCAGAATAATCAAGTGTGATTTCATTGAGAACAAGATTTGATATTATTTCTTTTGCTATCTTTGTATGAGACAGGAGCTCCACAGGCCGACCTGATTGGACCTGTATTGTTGTAGGCTTCACTTCTGGCTATGTTCGCTTCTACACGGAGGTTAGTCATGTCACCATGCTTTGCTTGCCTGATGAAGACTTTTTTATGCATGGTGTGTTTTCTACATAGAGGTAGTCAGTGTTGTTTTGAAGCTTAATGCATATCATTTTTGAGAAGAAAGTCCTGAAAAGGCAGCTGTTGCTTAGATGATTATTCAAGAATATTTGCTGCAAAGAATAGAATTAGTACCATGTTTCAAAACAATGTAAATATAAATTTTTCCTCTATATAGGATGTGTCATAGGAATGTAATCTGTGAGAGGGCACTGAAGTTTTGTGCCTTATAGCTTCACTTTTAGACAATACATTGTTTCCCCCTCCTCTGTCTAATCAGCAGTAATATGCCAAAGAGAGAATAACAATAAATTAAAATAAAATAATTATTTTGCCTTTTAGAATGGAGTACTTCTCCTGGCACAGCTTTTAAATGAAGATCCTGTCCTGCAGCTTAAATGCAGAACATATGAGATTCCACGGCATCCTGGGGTTACAGAGCAGGTATTAATGGCAAATGTATTAAACTGTAAAAACATCATAGAACACAGCAAGGTTTTCATGTAATTAAACCATTTGGAGCTGACCCTGCTTTGGCAACTGTATTTGAATGATTTAAGTGAATGAAATTCAGTAGGCTATGCAGGCACTATGGTTAAGCAGTTGGAATTGGTCTAATGGCTTGTGTGTATCTTCACCCTGTCTTTCTTTTCTTGTCATGGCTCAGTATTATGTTTTCCCCATTAATCATAGTTTAATGATTAACGGGGAAAACCCCATAACCTGCATAACTTGGGATCTGAAACCAAACTGGAACATTGCAAACTTTTATTGTGTTATGTCACTGCTGCAAAATCTAGGCACCAATTTAACCCCTCTGTTAGTCACAAAGGTAGAGACAGGCCTACATCCCTGAAAGCAGCCCTCCTCTCCTTGTACAAAGTACTAGGGAGACAAAATTGCTCCACTGGCCTTCAGAACAAAGAGTACCAGCAGCCCTGTCTTCTTTCCCACTTGTCCCTGAGCTTCTTGAGGATTGCTGTAGCATTGTGTACGTGTTTCACTTGTACTGATAGTGGCAGCTGCAGCACCAGTGCGGGGGCTGGGTTCAGGTCTAGGTGCACAGTTGTCTCCTTGGCTTGGAAATTAGAACTTGCTTAGGAACTGTAACAAACCAAGCAGGATAATACCTGCAGTTCCTTATAGACAAAACTATTTTGTTTTCTTGCAACAAAGTAATGGATACTCTCCGTTTTATCCAGAATGAGGAACTGAGCATCCTGTATCCTTCAGCAGTTGTGACAATTGATGGTTTCAGCTTATTTCAGTCCCTCCGGGCATGCCGAAATCAAGTAGCAAGAGGTAGGTCAAGACTTGTGGGCAATGTTGGGGCTTCCAGCTGTAAGGATTTTGATGCTGAAGCGTTATTACATTGTTTGTTCCTTAAGGACACCTATAAAGATGTTAGAAAATGTTGCATATTGGAAAAAAGACCTCTTTCCTTATTTGGAAGGCTGATAGCTAAGGCTGTATCCCTCAGACTAAAGCAGTCTTGCTTTAGAAAAATAAGTGAGTCCTCTGTAGCATTTAAATCTCCTGTTCTGATAGTTGCTTCAAGCTCTGAATGCCTCCTGAATTTTGGATGTCTAATGCCTCACATAACTTACCTCTGATGAGAGGTACCATTGCTGGTAGCAGGTGAGCCTGAACGCATGCCTCTGCTCCAGTGAATCCTCAGCCTAGCTAGGTGTAGTTGCATTTAACTTGTGCCATATACAACTAGCTGAATTGCTTGCCTTAAAATATTGTACAGGCAGTCTCAGGGTTACAAACAAGATCCATTCCTGAGAAAACAGAAATTTATCTTTAAGTCAGATTTTATACGTAGTTGGTTCTTCACATTCATGGGGCTTAATGGCTCAGGACCCCTGTGAGAGTGGAGCCATGAATATCTTCCCCCCTGCCCCCAAACTCAGCAGTGCCTCCTGTTTACAGCAAGGAAATGCTGGAGGGATTTCCTTCTCCAGATGGGTGGGGCAGGAAGGCATGCTCCCTCTCTCTGCTTTTGCTTCCTCTCTCTCTGATGATGACAATTTTCTGCAGTGATTTTTAAAATTAATTGGCTGTATGGCAGTTCGTTCCTAAGTATGAGTTGTTCTTAACTCAGATGTTCATAACTCAAAGACTGCCTGTCTAGAAAGAGATGCTTTAATAATTCTGATTTATTTCCTGAGGGGTAGCTGTATTAGTCTGTTGCAGCAAAAGCAACAGCCTTGGGCCACCCTGAAGATGAACGTTACCATGGCATAAGTGTTCGTAGTCCACAGTCCAGTTGTTTTCTTATCATGTGCCAAGAACTGAGTTGAATACATCCTTGCAGGAATCCTGTGGATTGATGAAGGCAACAGAGCTTTATTGCTGAATGGAGATTTAAATACGGATTGCACCGTTTCCAAAAAGTATTGTGCCACACTAGCTATGAAAAAAGTTCAATCATGTGCATGTCTACTCAGAAGTAAGTGCCATGAGCTCAATGGCACTTACTCCCAGGTAGATATGTATACAATTGCAGCCTTGATACCATCACTTCTTGGATGAAATATGGACCTGGCAATATAATAATATGTACAATACAGTGGATATTGCATGTTTTACTGTGAAGTCTGGAAATAGTAAGTGAATTCTGCATCATTCAGTCAAAGCACAGGTACTTTTATAAATTCTGCATGCTAAATAGCATATAATCATTTTATTCTAACAAATAGTTTTCTCTAATCTTTCCCTTTTTGTTCAATGAAATGGGCAGCTGCAGCCTCCGGCAATGAGAATGTTCAACCGCCTCCATTAGCCTATAAGAAATGGGGTCTGCAGGATGTGGATACTATAATTGATCATGTTAGTGTGGGTAAGTGGAATATTGGTCAGTAGTACCAAAAATAGGCCTGGTCTATGAGTCACTCTGTCTGTATAGCCTTTCATGTATGCTGTCATGATCATCCTTACAGCAGTTCTGGTTTCTTTCCCAAACGTTCAGGTATTTGGGTCTTGGTATCAGCTGGAAGCCCCCGCTGCTGCTTTTTAGCTGGATACAACCTCAACACAAGCAGTAATCTCACAGTAGTCAATGCCAGGTTGTTCTTTCTGTCCTCTAGGGCACACCTGTTACCCACGGAGCTTAAAAATAAAACTGTTGACAGGTTCTTAGACTGTATTTTGACGGATTGTTCCTAGACTCTTGGTGCAACCAGCTGTAAGCTTTTGGTTTCTTAAAAAAATTATTGAAAATTATTAGATTCCTTTTGTTTGAATGCTGCCTTCAGTCTATTAATAATGAAATGTCTTCTGCAATAAAAACATTCTAATTAAAATATCCATATCACATCCTTTTCTAAGTCTTTTGTTCCATTTTAAAAATAGGCATCATGACTCTGTCACCATTTGACCAAATGAAGACTGCTTCCAATATTGGTGGATTTAATGCAACTATAAAGAACAACCCTCCTGCTATGTCTCAGTACATTACAGTAGGATCAAATCCTTTCGCTGGTTTCTTTTATGCCCTTGAGGTAAGTCTGTCATGAAGCAATTGTGAAATGTAGTGTGCTGGCGAGGAGATGAATATCTTTTCCCTGACTTGTCTGTTTTTAATTTTTTTTCTGTTGACATTCTGAGCTGTTAGTGGGATGGGGATGGGGGACAGTTGCTCAGTAGGGTAGCAAAACTTAGAGCAGGACACCATATAATTCAATCGTTTATGTAAATGTAAAGCTATGTTTTAGCTTACTAGGACATTAGTCATATATTGAATATTCCTATTCTCCTTTCTTTAAAAAAAAGATAATGTAATGAAGTTTTTGGATTTTTTTTTGTAATACTATTTTAAGGAAGTATGCCTGATTATGACATTTTGATACAATAGTGGAAAACCTTTCTAATTGAAATGAGTAGTTGTGTTTGCCTTGTAACACTAAACATGAATGACCCTTGTGATTGTGACCCTGACTTCCCTTCTTCACCATAATCACAAGGGGATCAGAAATTCTGACTTCCATTTGCAACTATGATTGTTTGTTAACCATAGGCAAACTGTGGTTAGTGTTAATTATAATTCAAGAGATCTTTTGCTGGATGGGGTTGTCTGTGCCTATTCAGAACAGCTTGTACTTCCAGTGGTTTAAAAGTAGTGACAACAAAAAGCCTTACTCCCTCTAAACAAAGCTGCTGATATCAAGAAAGGGTGGGGTGTGTGGGGAACCAAAGTAGATTTGCATGTCAAAGAGTGAGTTTGTATGCATGTTCTGGTTGTGGAAGACAAATTTCTTGGTTTAGAAAAGCATGTGATCCTACAATTACCCATCAATATTCCTGAGCCACTGCTTTGCCACTGGCTCTGGTTGGTGGCTTTCCCAGGGTTCTAGAATGAAATATCACAGAAGCCTACACCTTTTCTACCTTTGCTTGAAAAAAGCAAGGCAAATTCAAACTGAGGTTTCTGATCATGGTTTGTTTCTCAAAGCAATAGTTTGGCTTAGCTACAGTTAACAAACTATGGTTAGTTGAAAATGGAAGCAAATCACCATCTGAGTGTATCAGAGTAGAAGGATAGAGTGCATGAGCTCATTTGTTTAATCTTCAGCATTATGTTCAGAACAAATCACTGTCATTCACAGAAATTAAATTTTTGAAGGCACTGCATGTTTTGCATCCAGCTTGCTGTGCCAGCAGCTGGCCATGCTTTATAAAAAGGACAGTTGTAAAGTATTGAGTGCATCTTTAAATAGTATGATTGCCATATACATTTGGAAAAACTGGAAATCTCTGGTCTTCTAAAGTTTATTTATATTGTTAAAATATTAATCAGTTTTCCCTTAAAAAACAGAATAAATAATTTGCTAGGTTACATTGATCTTCTCTCTGTGAACAAAATAAAACTGGCCTGATTCACATGGCACAGCAAGCAATGTGACACACAACCATGAACAAATTTTTTGCCTGAAAAAAATGTGTCTGAAAGATGGTCAGACTCAACGTAATAACTTTTCTTCCATCTGCCATTTTCTTCTTTCTTCTTACTTCCTTTCTTCCTTTTCTTCTCAATCTCCCAGAGGTATCCCACAAGGCACGCGGGGAAGGAATGAGGCTTTTTGCTTTGACAGCCATGATTGCAAGCCAAGTTCAGCTCCCTGTGGCCATCAAGTAATCTCTGCTGTGCAAACAGGTCTCATGCCCTGAAGTGCATCAGAAATTACATGGAACTGGTCAGGCATACACCACGTCCACTCCAAAGGGCTGCTCTTGCCAGGTGGCTCTATGGTTCCAGCCTCAGTGCCATGACAAATGGTGTTTTCTGGTTTGGATGACACAAAAAGCAGTTGTTGTACTGAGAAACCATAGAATAGACCGTTGTTTCTCTTTTTTGTTTTCCCAAAACCAAAAGTACCACCCTAAATTACTGCAGTGGGGTTCAGATGACATGACAGACCCAAAAAGATGTGTGCAACTACCTAGCTTGTAAAAAATGACAACAGTGTATAAACAAATATAATAAATATTTTCTTACCTTTCCTTTAGGGTAGTTCACAGCCACTGTTGTCCCATGTTGCCTTGGCAGTTGCAAGTAAGCTGACATCTGCATTATTTAATGCTGCCAGGTAATATATAATAGATTGAAAAGCATAGTGGGTTGTTTTTGATGGGGAGTGTTCTTTAAATTGTGACAATGATTGCATTTATTTTTCTATTTCAAGTGGTTGGCTTGGCTGGAAGCACAAGCAGGAAGAAGAGCCTCTGCAGAAGCAGAAACCCAAGGTTGAGCCTGCAACTCCTTTAGCTGTAAGGCAAGTGTTCAAAAGAACAGAGGGTTTTTTAAGAGAGACTCTGTAACTGGGTACCATTGTTTCCCATATCGTGTGCAAGTATTAAACATTTTATCCAAGTTTGCCTTGTTGTACTACTAAAGTTGCCTACTTTTCTGCCATGATAACTGTCTACTGTGTGGAGTGCCCTCTAACCTTGGCATAAACTAACTATTGCCCTAGTCGCCTTGCCTCCTTGAATGTGTGGGACTGCTGGCAGGGTTGTGCCCAGGCAGAAGTCACACCGGCATACTCAGGAATGGTTTAGCTATGCTTCCTTTTCCCATTGCTTGGTACAGCCCCCCTCCCCCCAGTGATTCGAGTGAATGTTTTGTCTGAACCAGCTAACTATAGTTTATACTTGCTTATATCTTGATTTGCAGGGCCAGCCAAACTATAGTTTGCTGTTTTGTACAAACCAAGATGGTGGGGAAGAGGGAGTGGGTGATTACATTTGTGCTGGCTTGTGTGATGATAGCACAAAACCATAGATTGGTATTAATGTCTGAACCACGTTGAAGTATGCAAATCAGCACTTTTTATAAGGACTCTGTTGTATCTGTGATCTTTGTGATGGTGATTTCTTGAAGTGTTGCTGCTTGTCTGGCCTACCCCTCCCCCAGGATCTCCATATTATCTTGGTTTCATGGTACAGACTCTGGTGACAGACCTCTATGCATGGAACTTACATAGTCCTTCAGAATACAGATTGGTTTCACACTAGTGGTAGAGTCAGACTCATGAGAGTATCAGCATGTGTGAGGAGAAGTGCATAATATATTTGCTTTGATGATCTCAGAATGTATAAGTTGCATTAAATTGTTTTGGAAAGAAAGCTGAACATTATTTAGGATGTTAAGAGACAATTGTAAGCCATTAGCTAGATCTCAGTTCTGTTGTTCTTCAGAACATGCCTAAATTTAACTCATTACCAAGTATTTCCATTTTTGTGACATCTACTTTCTATTTTAAATCTGAATATATTACATCAGCTAAATTAAATATATTATTCTTTGTAATTGTTCATGTGATAAGACATTTACTGTCAGAGTCCTTGTACAGCATGGCATGCTATGAAGTTTAATGACATAAAACCTATAATGAAATATGGTAAGGCTGCAATCTTATGCATGTTTACACAGAAAAAAGACCTATGACTTGCACCATCGCTTCACCCAGTCATGCTAGGATTTGCATGACTTTTTTCTGACTGAAGAAGCCTAGGTTTACATCCTAACAACACAATCTAGTGAGGCTGCTTGTAACCCTTGAACTTGGAGGATTACAGGGATCTTGCAGAGAGAAGAAGGAACACAGAAATGAAGGTCACCTCAGTGTTTCTTCTGTCCTGAAAAGCTAAGTGTTTTGCCCCAGAATGCAAGGAAAGGAGGCTGAGGCACTGCCAAGATACTACATCTGCTGATGGAGCCTGTCTCCCTGCTCCCAGAACCAATTTCCAAGATCACTCTTGCGACCTTAGAGTCACAGAAGGTGCCATGTTATGAGTAGGGTGCTTCAAGTCTGGAGTTTCCATTGTGACCTTGAAGCAAGTTCTTGAGCCTGATGGTGGGATTCCAGATTTTCCTTTGGCTAGATTGTGTTTAGTGGCCATAGGATTGTGCCCTAAGATCATTCCTGCTAAAGAAGCTGTATGTTGAGGAAATCTTCCAATATGAAATAATGATTGCACTGACTTGAACTGAACTAATTTACTGGCGATCCGGTTTTAGGAACTTAAGATGAACATGGAAGCATATTTACTATTTTTGAATGTACTGTGAAATCAAATCATCATTTTTGGAAATTGTTTTATACATTTAGTTGTATTTCATTTTAGGTTTGGAATTCCAGATTCTCGCCGTCATGGAGAACGAATATGTCTTTCTCCTTGTAACTCTTTGGCAGCAGTAACTGATGATTTTGGAAGGGTTCTTCTATTGGATGTTGCAAGAGGACTTTCTATTCGAATGTGGAAAGGTATAATATACTAGGATGAAAAAAAAGCCATCTGGGCGTGGGAATCTGACGCATTCCGCAAGCTTGGCTTCTTGGAAGCTGGTCTGTTTTACAGTGGCCCTGTGTCTGAGTTCCTGGAGAGTGCTTCCACCATTTGTGGGGTGCCCACCAGGAATTGAGACCCATGTGCTGCGCAAGCAGTGCCTGTCTTCTGCACTTGGTGCTGCCAGCAGCAGTGGATGGAGAAGAAGGATGGTTGCTGGAAATGGTGCCTGGCACATCACTCACATTGCCCCTCTTCTACATCCTGCAGTCACTTTTTGACAGGGAAGGGTGGTGGTTGGGGGTCTGTGGGTGTTTGGCTCAGCTCACTTCACAGGACTGAGAGGAAGTCTGCAGATGTTAGAGGGATGGATTCTGAAGATATATGGCTAAGTCTTTGCAGCAAAGTGGTAGGTTATCCACCAAAGGGAATGGGTTGGTTTGCATGACCAACATCAATTACTATGACTTATTTGTGTATATGTCTATTTAAGCTATGGCTGCTTATTTAAATTATGCCATGTGTGAAGCATGATTGCTGTAATTTCTGGCTAGGTGTGGCTTGCAATGGCTTGTTGGAATGGGAGACAACCCTTCACTAACCGTACAACAGCCCATGGATTATTGTCTAGAAAGGACTGAGACTCTCTGGCCTGCCAAGTACTCTTAGATTGCTTCACAGGGTCAGGCTTAGTCTCAAAGCCTTGTTCGCTGGTGGCATCCCCTCTGTTATCTCTAACTGCAGATAGAAGAATTAGCAGGGATTCCCCTTAAAGCATCATTTGCCATCCTAATTGGGAGCAAGTGGTGTGTATGAGGATCCCTGCCATTTTCTCTGGTTACAGATTGGGAATAACAGCAGGAATCTGCCTTTGTGCACTGTTCTTAATCCCAAGTGACATGATGTGCAGCTCATGGAATTGATGATTTGGCCAGCTCTTACTGGAGTTGTTCCCTCCAAGGTCTGGCTCAGACTTTTTGTGCTCCACCTGTGCTGTAAATTGGATAGTGCACAGTGAATGAAAGAGTTGTCCAGCCGTGCCAGTGCCAGTGTCCTTCAGACATCAGCTGAGTTCCTTTCTCTGTGCAAAGAGAGGCAGAATGGGCAGGGTGGGATGGAGAACATTCTCATTCTCTCTCTCTCTCTCTCTCTCTCTCTCTCTCTCTCTCTCTCTCTCTCTCTCTCTCGGAATAAGTTTTACTCTTAATAAACCTAACAAAAAGGAAACTAAAAAATCATCAATCATTGAAAACATCAGACCTACTGGGTCAGTCCCCCACATATTTTCTTTTTATGTTAAACTATAAACATATTTAAATCTATGCGTAGTCCCGTTTCTCTAGCCAATGAGAGCATTCATCTCTTGATGATCCAGCATAGAATGTCAGTTTGGGCCCCATACCAAATAGTTTCCTCATCTCTGCTTTACTGAAAAGGAAATCCCAGCATAATGAATAAAAGCAATGGAATTGGTGAGGAAGCTATTAAGAGAGGAATTATATCACAATGAAGATACCGTTGCGATGGGGGGTGAAGTTGAGGCATAGAAATGATGTAACTGAATGAAGACAATAGGAATCCTGACTTGCAGCCATGAAGATAAGTGATGGCAAGACAAGGAGAACCATTTTGCCCCCTCCCTTGCCCCTTATGTAACTCACCAGCTTTCCCCTTCCTTATAGCACCTACTGCTGTTTTTAATCAGAGCATTATAGCACAGTGATATCTATATGAAGGTACACTGTTCTCTCTGAATCTCATAAAAGCCTGGAGTGTGAATTGCAGGAAACACCCTTTCCTGCATAGGTATCTCTTCCATGCAGGTGGAAAGTAGCATGCATTCAATCACATAGGACAACTCTTTAAACACCTGTGTACAATGACAGCCAGCTGCAATTGACATGAAACAGGAAAAGCAGAGGGCTTGGGAAGAATAGTGAGTTTAGTATCAGGGAAGGGGTTAGGGAGCATTGAGAGAGAGTGAGCAAGCCAGTGAGGTGGAGTGTGGCAGAATCAAGAACCAGGAGCATCTGCTCCAGACTTGGGGAAAGCGCAATATTATCTAATAGCAAAGTTCTGCTTAGAAAATCCAATCGAGCACTTTGCTACAGTTTAGGAATAACCACGGATTGAACTGGTATAAGTCGAGTAATTAATTACTTACTTTGACTTGCAGGCTACCGGGATGCACAGACAGGTTGGATTCAAATTGTGGAGGATCTACATGAAAGGGAGGCTGAAAAGATGGATTTTTCTCCTTTTGGCATTGCTCAGGGGCCAAGCAGAGTGGCGCAGTTCCTTGTGATATATGCTCCCAGGAGAGGAATCTTGGAAGTATGGAGCACACAACAAGGTCCCAGAGTTGGAGCTTTCAATGTAGGGAAACACTGCAGGTAAGAAATCAGAACCTGCACTGAATGCAAAAGGCTCAAAAGGGTAATTTAGAAAAAGACTGTGGTACTGTTCTCTACAACCATTTTTTCCCTTTTATGCACCTCTCCCCACCCCAAACCTTCCACAAAAAGGAAGCAGGATTATGCATAGTCAGCTAGCTCAATAGGGTTAGTTCTTTTCATTTATTAGGCTTGTGCCTGTCATGTATTATTATTATTATTATTATTATTATTATTATTATTATTATTATTATAGAGAAGACTGCTAATTGTTATCAGATGGTAGTTTTAAATTTTACATTATATTCATTCCATAGAAACTGATTTTAAGAGGAAAGAAAATATTGTCATATCCAGCTAAAAACTACTACTAACTACTGTAAAATTTAAGCTTTTCCCTATCTTTTATAAAAGAAACCAGTTGCACCTAACTTTTCTTTTTCTGTGTGCACAAAGTATACATTGATAGCTCTACTTTTCACTTTTGTATCTCAAATTTGTCTTTAGGTTGCTGTATCCTGGGTATAAAATAATGGGCATGAACAATGTAACAAGCCAGGGCTGGCAGCCTCAGACTTATCAGATCTGTCTTGTTGATCCGGTGTCTGGAACAGTCAAAACAGTTCATGTACCTTTCCACTTAGCATTGAGGTAAGGCTTACTGAGGTTCACACTGCATAGCTGAACTAATGTAGCATGTTTAGATGAATGGTGCAATACTTGAAGACAATGGAGAATGTATTCTGTAATTGGATAACTCAGCATATTGCTGTTGAATAGTATAAAATTCAGAGGTCATAGATAGGAAATATTTTCATTAGAGCCAAACAAAATTTAATAAATGTGTGCAAGCATTTGGGTTCTTCAGATCTCTTTTTCAGGCTAGGTTCAAAAAATAGGGGATGGAGGTAGAAATAGTAATGTCCAAAATGTAAAGAGTGTTCTGACCATGCAGCCTTGTTAGTGTGGCCAAATCTTTGGTAATAGCTGGTTTTTCACCCATCTCCTTCTTTTAAAATAGATACAGTAGGAACCCTTCTAGGAGCCTATTTGGATTTGCTATAAATGTACCATCATTCAGATGCAATAACCTTGCATTCTGAGGAATCCAGTCCTATTTTCTTAAAATAGTGCAGCGTTGGTGTGTATGTTCCATTTTCTCATTGTTTAAACAGCAGTATTTTGTCGTTGGAAAAATACTGACCTCCCCATTTTCTCCCCTGTCTGTTGTTTCTTTGAATAGTGTTTGAAGCAGAGTAGCATGATAGTCAGAGAGAGCTACTGGGTAGTACTTCTGACGCAGGTTATTCCTTCATGTTGTGTGAAATCAGTACATATTTATTATGTAACTCTGTAACTAAGAAGGCTAAGTGCTCCCCTCCAGAAGAGTGCTCATGAAGTCACTTTAAATATATATAATCAGTGAGTACTAGCAAGTTGACATTAAAAAACAGCATACCTCCAGTGCTTGAGGATAAACAAGAGAGAGAATGGTATGACTTTTATGTCCTTCCTCTGAACTTTTAGGCACATCTGTCTGGCTGCTGTTGGAAACTGAATGCAGGGCTGCATAGACCTTCGCCTGATTTAGAAAGGCTTTGCTAATATCTCCACATATTTCCTATTGCTACAATATGATATACTTGTTTTTTATTAGAGTTTTGAAGGTTGTGTACTCTGCTTGAATACGTAGAATTGAATTCAAACAATTTTATGTTGTGTTTATCATTAAAATATCTTCCAGTGATAAGAAGAGTGAACGAGCAAAGGATATGCACCTAGTGAAGAAGTTGGCAGCCTTGCTGAAAGCTAGAACATTAAATCTGGGTAGGCTTGTTTTTGAGTTTTGTTTTCTGTTTTGTTTTTATATTTGTCCTTTTGAGAGCTACTGAGAGAAAAGGGTTCCAGTGTAATTGAGACTTATGCTTTAGAATTAGACTTTTAAAAAAACTACATAATGTGTTAGTTAAATGCCAAACAAGATCACAAGCCTTTATAAAAAAGACTTGCATAATTTTTGTGAGTTCACAGCTGATGGAAAGATTATGCCACCCATACAGAGTCTGTTGGGGACAATCTTGATGGGAAACATTTTGCAAGCTTTATGGTTGACATAGCTATGACAAGGGTGAGTGCTTCCCAATTCCCTGGAAGATTTTTCTGTCCAGCACCTTTTGTAGTGGATGGGAATTGCAATATTGCTTAACTGCCTTGGATTTAAGCATTTATGGAGACACAGTTTCTAATATGGCTGTTCCTTGAAATGGCTTGATACAACTGCTGACGTTTAGCATCTCAACAACAAAATGCTCCTTAAAGTACGTGTTTTCCATTTTTCATAATGTGAAGTCAATTAAACTGACATGAACTTTATTTAAGGGAAGCATAGTCCAAAGATATGAGCAGTGAATTGTCATGGAGAAATAGTTGCATTATTTGCTCAAGTAATGAATTTAGCAGACCTATGAATGGTTCCAGGCAGTTGATGCTATGTTTGGGGGCAGTATAGGATTATTTTAATCATGACTTGAGGTCATTATAGGTGCTAGCAATGTTATAATGGCCTTGTAAAAACAAATGCAATGAATGGAACTTTCATTGAGAGAGCAGACCACAAAGCAAACAATAGAACAACCAGTAACTTCACAGACTACCAAATAATTCCCTCCGTCAGTATCCTTTCAGAATCCATCCTTCTAGCATCCACAAACCTTACATACTCAGCCCAGTCCTGCAAAGCTATCTGAACCAAGAGGAAGTCTGTGATGGTGGTGGAGGTGGAACAGAATTGCTGCTTGTGCAGTGTGGGGGGCGCACTCACAAGGAACTTGAACTCAGAGCCTTCGCAAAGTGTCCTGGAGTCTGGGGAGCCAAGCCCAGGGTATTCAGTGGATTCCACCTTAAACAGATTTCCCATACATCTCTAGCCATGGGTTTAATGTTGTGTTAAGCAACCCATGAAGCATAATCTGATGTATTTCTTCTCAAGTGTCAGGCTCATTAAATTCAGTTATTGCTAGGTAAATGTGTATAGAAATCATCCTTATTTATGTTAGATGCAATTCATTTATAGGACATGTTAAAGGAAGCACAAGCATATTACCAGTTGCATTCTGTGAACGCAGTTTGAATTAGGCCACATTTTCCATAAATAGTCTGCATTTCTCTAAGGAATATATTTGTGAGAAAGAGAACGATGATGAGATTAATTTATCCCTTGCATTATGATCTTATTGCACATTTTTCACAAGGAGCCAATTAAAGTTTAGCTAGAGACTGGACTTTCTTAATGGAGGTGTTTTTCACCCTGTACATGAGCAACTTTGCTTCATCTTATTTATGTGCTGTGTTAGACAAATTGGATTTGGGTAGTGCTTTGTTAAAGTCAAATCATGTGCATAAGACATTCTGACAATTCCTTGTAAATTTAGAGCAAATTATCCAGGTTGACAGTCTGTGTAGCAAGAATGAATCTGAAGAACAATGGTTCTCACAGTGCTCTCCAAAGCCCCAGGAAATATTTGCACCTGAAAATGCAAGCCCGAGTCTTCCTTTCAGATGATTTTGCTTCACACTGCTGGCTTTTCTTTCCATGTATCCCTGTTTGCTCTCCATTTTATAGCGGAGATGTTTCTCTCTGTTGTAAACAAATAAGTTGCACAGCACTAGAGAAATAGAATTTTTCATTCACATATGCCTAGGTCCTTAGTTGTTTAATTCTCACTGCAAATTATGCTATAGCTAGTTGTGTAAATACACTGACATGTGTAACATGAAAGATTCAGCTTCTTTTTACCATTTGGCTTGAAGTGCGTGTGTGGAAGGGCATGTCAAATGATTAACTAGCAAGTCTTAATATAAATTGAAACTACTGTAAGCAGAAAAGAGTTGGGGAATGTGTTTGGGTAAGTAAATCATTTGACAGAGGCAACAAACTATTAGCTTAACTAAATTCCAAAACTGTATGGGAACAATTTTGGGGTAATAAATATTTCTTTGGATGCTAGAAGAGATAGGTGTTATGTCTAAACCATCTACCTCGCTTTTCTGGTAAGAGGGAGTATTGCAGAATTGTGACTGGTGTGGCATCTTCAAGTGTTTAAAACCACCTTAGTATTGTAATGAGCAAATATTCATTGCCAAAGAATGCATGTGCTTCACTCCGCTCTTGCTTGATTTCCTGTGCTGAACTTTCTGTGAGTTGAGACAACAGTTACAGGGTTCCTGCAAGTCCCTCTGAGGAAAGGGCTATGAGGCTAGACAAATCAGCATCCCAGGATGCTGGCCAAACCAGTTCTTGGTCCTGTCGGTTGGTAGCCAGCTCATGTCCAATTTGAAATGTGAGCAATCCTATGATGGTGGGACTGCAGGTGGCACAGTGGTTTAAACCGCTGTACTGCTGGGCTGGTTGATCAAAAGGTCGCTGGTTTGAATCTGCACAACGGGGTGAGCTCCCGTTGCTCCGTCCTGGCTCCTGCCAACCTTGCAGTTCGAAAGCATGCAAATGCAAGTAGATAAAAAGGTACCACTTTGGTGGGCAGGTAACAGCGTTCCGTGCACTTCGGTGTTTAGTCATGCCGGCCACATGACCACAGAGACTGTCTGCGGACAAATGCTGGCTCCCTTGGCTAGGAAACGGAGATGAGCACTGCCCCCTAGAGTCAGGCATGACTGGACTTAATGTCAAGGGGAAACCTTTACCTTTACCTATGATGGTGGGCAAGACTTTTGAAACAAGGGGGGGTGCCAAAAGAGACAACAGCCTATTTTGCTCTTAGGCATTGACTATATTGAATTATGTCCAGCATTGACTGTTGTGCAACTAAGTGAAAGTTTCCAGGGTGTGCTACCTCACCTTATTGTGGTGCATCTTATACTGGTTTTAATGTTTTTATTTGTCATTGCTTTATTTTGTATTTTAATCTTTATTTCATTCTATTTTGTATTTTTCCTGCAGTATCCCACCCAGACAGCCTTATGGCTAATGTGGCAGGTTAGAAATTTAATAAATAAATAAATAAATAAATAGTAAGGCAAGGCCAAGGACTTTTATATTAAACCAACCAGAAGTGGCTGGCATTGCCCCAAAGTGGTTCTGTGCTGGTATTTGACCTCCATCATTCCCCACTTCTCATATGTGCTCCCCAAACAGTTAAAGTGTACATCCTAACTAAAGCCTGTTAAGGGCACAATCCTATGCATACTTAGACAGAGAAAACCTTTATACTTCTCAGCCTTCTCCAGCCAGCATGGGTTGTTTTTCCTTTTAGACATACAGAGGATTGTGCCATAAATTGTTTTTCTTAATCCTGCAACATATATGTTCCTTTCTTTCTTTCCAGAAATGTTTGAAACTGAAGTGAAGGAACTAATTCTTGATATAAAATATCCTGCTACTAAAAAACAGGTAATTAGACTCAGATACTTTATTCTGCAGATTTCAATTAGTATTAGGTAAATGGTTTGTTATGGCTTTTTGCATGTTTGAAATCTCCAGTGTGGTGATTAGAGTGTTGTGGTATGACTAGAGAGTTCCGGTTCTAACACTCAAGCCATGAACCTTGCTGGTGACCTTGGGTCAGTCACTCTCACAGCCTAATGTTCGTTTCATATGCAAGTTCATTCTCTGAACTGGGGAATCAACTGTTGGATTGAAAGATTGTTCAATTTCCACCAACACGCAGAATCCATAGCACCCTATTTACGGGTGCCAAGCCCTTCTACCAAGACATTGGTTTGTAGGATGGGTAAGGATATGAGTCTCTGCAGCTGACTGTGCCTCTCTAGGTAGACATATCTTACACTTTGAAAAAAATGGTATGTTAGATATCCTTTTAATTGGATTAATTCCATTAAATCCCTGGAATTTTAGTTCTGGTTTGTGAGATCCAACTTATTTTTGTAGAATGAATGATAAACAGAACTAATGTTGTAGTATTTTTTTAAAACAACCCTGTTCTTTTACAGGTGGTCCATGCATCCACCTTATGTCTAGCAAAGCTTTCCAAATCAGTGCATTAAGCAGTATTGAAAATTATTCTGGAACATATGAACATATATTCTGGAATGAGGTCCTTCTGAAAGAGCTGTTCCTAAAGGAAGTAAAAGGGATGGCTATTACAAGAAGGGCCTTCAGTGGGATTGTGAAAATATACAAAAGATTTGGATTATGGTATTTAAGGAAATTGGAGAAATTTTACATATAGACTTAGAAATGTCACCAAGAATGGTGTTATTACTGTTGATAGAAAAACGAGATATAAATGAAGCTAAGAAAGAATTGATTGTAAGTATGATAATGGCAGTTAGGCTAGTGATAGTTTAATATTGGAAACAGAATTGGGTTTTGCAAAGGCATGAATGGTATAATGAAATATGGAACATAGTAATTATTGATAAACTGACAGAAATAAAAATTAAAAGAGGGTTAATGAAAGCAAATATAATGAAATTTAGGAAACATAGAAACATAGAAAACAGAACGAGTCAGAAGGGGTTTCCCGGGCCATCTAGTCTGACCTCCAGCACCAGCTGGCTCCGCTCACGACATGCCCACCATGTGGACGTCCAGCCTATCCTTGAACTCCCGCACCAGTGGGGCCTCAACCACCTCCCAGGGAAGCCCATTCCACACCCTCGGGGTCCTAACTGTCAGGAAGTGCTTCCTGGCATCCAAATGGAACCTTGGTTCCCTGAGCTTTGCTCCGTTGGAGTGCGTCCTGCCTTCCTCTGCAGGGGAGAACAGGTCTCTACCCATCTCTATGTGACATCCCCTCAGATACCTGTATTTCGCCAACATATCCCCTCTGAGTCTCCTCTTCTCCAGGCTGAAGAGACCCAGTTCCCTCAGTCTCGCCTCATACAGCATCCCCTGCAAACCGGCCACCAACCTTGTGGCCCTACACTGCACTGACTCTAACCTGACTATATCCTTTCTGTAATGAGGGGCCCAAAGGAAGATTTTGTAAAAGCAGTACTGATAGAAGGCAAAGGCTGTAAACCCAGTCAAGTCTATATGAACTTCTGGAGGGGATACGGAAATAATTGAAGTATATTACATATTATTAATTGTTATGGTATGTGAATGGTGGTAGCATTGGTCTCTGGGGTGGTGGGGACACTTTATTATTTACTTTTTTATTATTGTGTTTTTGTTATATTATTGTTGTTGTGATGTATTGTAATTATTTTTTTGTCAAAATAAAAATAAAAATGGGGGAGGGGAGAAGAAGGGCCTTCTCAGCGCCTGCTCCCCACCTTTGGAATGGCCTTCCTAGAGAGGTCTGCCAGGCGCCGTCACTACTATCATTTCAGCGCCAAATAAAAACTGTCCTCTTTCATAGGTATTTTGAGACCTGATTTTGCCAACTAATTATCTGTAACAGCTCCTCCCACCCCCCGCAACCCCCATAACCAGGAATTTTAAGTTGGTCTGCATTTTGTTATTGTTCACTGCTTAGAAAGCCCTGTCAGGTTCTTCAGTGGACTATCTCTTCAGGAGAAATATTTACTTCAGAGTGTGTGTGTGTGTGTGAATGGTTTTAATTTTTGAAGCACACAGTAACAATTAATTAGACAAAATACTTTGCTGACAGGCTTTGGAAAGCATCCTGGCAAATGAGCGATTGCCACTATCTTCACTTACAAACATTGCACAGACATTGATGGATACATTAAAAAATCAGGGTAAGTGAACGTTCATTTTCTAGCTGTTTGTTCTGTTGCAAAATTCAGAGAGCAAAAATGGAGGTGAATACAACGATTCAGTTTCCTTTCAGCATTTGGAACTTGTGTCTTCATTTTTCAAACCTCTTGCTGCTTTTATTTATTTAATTTCATTTCTGTACTGTCCAAGTTATGTGAAATGGAACTGAATTTCAAATAAAAGAAACAGTTGCAGTCCTGCTAGGAACTGAGGGAAGGCTCTTTTTGTTTTGTCCTGGTAATAAAATTATAACTGGGGTCTCTAGGCTTGGAGAAAAGTTTTCTGAGAACCCAGGATCAACCTTCTCCCTGTACACACAATTACTCTGTCAGATATCATTCATTCAACTGGTCCATACATAATAAGTAATGGATCGTTTAAGCCATGGGTTATAAAGCATACGTGCACACGAATGTGCTGCTTGTGGTACGCCCTTAACTTCCACTTATGTAAACAACCTACAGTTGCTGTTTGTAGGCTGTGAGCATGTACAAACAGGCATGCGCTTGGATGATTTAGAAGGTAAGCAATCCAGAGTCAAACCACAGTTTTGTTGTATTAATTCTAGGTTGTTTGACCACGAAACATCCCAGAATGTCTGAGTTTGATGTCATGCTCACACCATGTAAATAGGACGATTTTAAGTTATTTACTGAAAACAGAAGTTAGAAGTGTGCTGGAGGCAGCTCACTTGTTTCCCCTAACCAATTTGTGGGTTGCATAACCCATGAGTTGGCATTTCAGGCAAATTGGGTCTCTGGGCTCAGTTAATGCTTTTATGGTGAAGGAGGAATATCTTGTTTGTCAGACATACAGAACCAGCCATGTGGTCACTTTGTTGCTTCACTGGGTGAGGGTTGTACCTCCACTTTGAGAGATTCCAGTAGCATTAGGGAAGCAAACATGTTACCTTTGGCTGTAGATGTTCAGTCCCTTATTTCCAGAAAAATTTAATTTCATGTATTACATATCTGTACCATCTAATAGTTGAAGCTCTTTTGAGAGATACAATTATATCTCAGTCAGTAGAGATAATTCTCTGCATTTGGTTTGCTCATAACCTACTTACAAATGTCAAATTTACAGATTTTTAGTTGGAAATCCTTTCAGTGTATTAGGTGTTAGATGAATAATTGAATGGGAAGGTCTCCTGTTGCAATGCTTTTAAAACAGGGCAAGTTAATTTAGTGTAAATCTGGACTTGCAGCTAAACAGTTCCCTGTTTTTGACTACAATATATAAGCTGTAGTCTGTGTTCAGAAGAACCTTTGACATTTCTTTCTTCTGCACGCTAGATGTTGGCTCTGCATTTTCATCACCTTTAGCTGCTTCTCATGTCAAGGTGTCTGCTGGACTTTTGACCATGGTATAGGATTCCTGGATCTCTGACAGTATTCCTGGGTACAGTCATTCCCATTGCCCAATTCCACTGAATAGCAAGGACTTCAACATGCCACCTAAAATGCACCAGGGCATTCCAAAGAACAACCAGAGTATTCAGATAGGGCCGTGCAGCACCACAGATTGCCAGCTGTCCCCAGCTTCTTCAGTTGATGGCTCATTCAGAGGCAATGGAACAGTCATAAACTTTCCCATACCTTGAACATCTCCACCTGAATCTGTGTAAAATGCTACACTGAATTGTGACCTGCGTTGTATTTGTTCATATGCATATTGGGACCACCCAGAAGTCCAGAGTTGTTTCATTAGGAGGGAATCACTGTGTGGACACTGGAGTCTCTAAAAAGTAAAAACCTGTGTGACTGCGCAACTGAAGCAGTGTATGTTATGTGAAATGAATGTATCTTATGCTGTGTTCATGGTGAGTGTTCATGGGTTAAAATGGACATGAGGAAATGTTACCTATATAAAAAAAAATCTTGTACAGGGTTGCTATGAACAGCTTATTTCTTAATTTTGTACTTCTTTCTTCCTGTATTAATTTACTCCATTTTCTTGAGGCATAGAATAGCTCCCACCAACAATAATAAAATAACCAAAACAATACATATAACAATTAAAATAGGAAAATACTGTGTGTTACGTCTTGTGCATTATTATCCTTGTCCTGTTTAAAATTCCTTTGACTCTTCCTTTGCCTCTGGGCAAAACTCAGACAGACAATAACCTGATAAAACAAAATCCTCATGCAAGGAAGTGTGCATGAGAAATATTTTGCTTAACCCGCAGCTTCATGAAGCTGCAGAGAGATTTTACGGCTCCAATGTGTATTCACTGGGGCTTATGTGCATCTTTTTTTTTTCTTTTTTTCCAGAGGTGGAATGCATCGATGAAGGGCTGTTACAGTTCTGTGAAAACAAACTAAGGTTATTGCACCTTCATGAGTCAGTCAACAAATTGAATTCTGTTACAGTACAGTCTGAGACAATTCCATCTAATACTGTGAGTAATACTCCAGGTGAACATTTTTGTATGTGAAAAGAATAAAAAATACTTGCAGAATGTTTGGGGAAAATACAAAGCAAAATATAAAGACAACAAATATTGCTTTTAGAAAGAGGTTGAATAATTTAAAGAACTCATAATAATATGTTAATGCTAACTTTGAGCTAATCTAATTTTCTATAATCAGGCTGATACATTCTGTGACAAGGATGTCTGGGGCTTGTTTTTTTATGAAAAATCATCATGTTGCTCAAGTTCATAATGTTAGTTTCTCCCCTCCATTTATGTTATGCGAATCTCACCCAAACAAAACAAATGTAATCTAATTAAAAGAAATAGAAACATAATCTCCCTCAAATTAACAATTTTAATATGTAAATATCAGATAGTGGCATATATCCAGGTGTCTCAATTATAAACTTCAACAAAGGCAAACTATTTCCCCATTCAGGAGTGAGATCTGGATGTCATCTCCTTAAATACAGAAAATGTCTTTAAGTCTCCAGTTCATTGGGTTATAGTAGTGAGCTTTTATTGACTCTTTCCAATGTTGTTGTATCAGTTCTTCAGCTGTCAAAAGAGATAAGAGATTCCTTTAGATCGACCCACCTTTAGTTTCCAAGAAACAGCTACACAATTCAGGTACACATATATAACAGAGTATATCAAAGAGCATTATATTGTACCCAAGAACTTCTTATAATTTCTACTCAAGAAGAATCAACTACTGGATATTGCTAAAGCATGTGATTTAAAGAAGCATTAGCAATATTACACCTTCAGCAGTTAGTTGGCTTAGACAAACCCCCATTAAGAAGATATTGTGGTGTCCAGTTAATGTGGAACACAAGTTTTTGTTTAGTAATATGTCCACTGAAATTGCAGATATGGACTACAAATTGACATTCCACTTCTTGGACTAAATAGAACACTCCAATTCTCTATTTTATTCCTTTGTTAGACCCAAAATATAATTTATTCAGCAATAATAGATGATATTTATAAATATGGTTTGTGGGTCAGTATAACGAATCATCCCCAATAACCATTTCCAATAACTGACTGTGAAGCTGGAAAAACTGCAGAACCACACCTAGATTATTCTAACAAATGTTGTAAATATTGTCATTCAGCCCACCATAGGGAAATCATATTTGGCATGTAAATCTGGAAATGACAGGTGTAGCAGCTCCCCCCATGTCTGGCATCTGCTTGTTGGATGAGGCTGCTGGAATAAGTGGAATTGTGTGATAACTTTTCCAGGTTAATATTATCTTCACTATTAACTATTGTTTTTAAGGACTTGGCTCAATTACTCCGATTAGATGAAAAAGAGTTTACTAGGCTGCAGATGTTACTGGAGAATTACAAGCAGCAGAACACCCAACTGTCTGTGCATTTTGTGGAAGATAAAGATGGTGTGCTGCCTGTGAAAACTTTCTTGGAGTATTTGGATTACGAACAGGATGTGATCGGTGTGAAGAAGCTAGATGAGAGAGAATACGTGGCTTTAGGTATGAGCCATTGAGAGTTGATTGTGCCTTTGTTATGGGATTTATAGCACTCCTTTGTGTAACAGAATTTCTGGCCAGAGCCTGCCCTTTTGTAGAAATAAATTGGAACACTCTTTTTTCTAGAATTCCTTAAGAATGTTGGAGCAAACCAAGGGCTCAGGATTGAGATGGTTCTGTGACTTGTATGGAATCGACTCGGGTTGCCACAACCTGTTGGGTTGCATAGTGGGGTACCTTAGATCAAATACAGTAGCAGAGGGGATAAAGGAAGGACAGGGGAGAATGTATATACTCATATTATCAATATTTATTGCCCAGCTATCTGAATTGGCCATATCTGCATGCATTGCTCTGATAGGTTGCTTTGTTCGCAAGCAGGGAGTCCTCACTGGGTGGAAACGTTTAATGACTAGGAAAACTCTGGTGTGTGTTTAGGAAGCTTTTTTTTCTGGAAATGTTTACATGGGGAAAGTTCAACGGAGGAAATGTGCCAGATGTTGGAGTCTGCAGGATTTAGTCCTCAAGTGTTACTGGTGAGTATTATATTTAGTTTCCTGTTTCATTCGGTATAGTTATGACCAGGCCTCCATTCTAGATGCTGTCTGCCAGTGAGCTGTTGCAGCTTGACAGTCAGTATTAGTCAACTGGGTTACGTATCTGAGTAGAAATAATCCCATTGAGTGGACTGTTGGGTGGATAGATGAGAACATGGAAGACCCAGAGGGGGACAAGAGATCAGATACTGGGTTGTGCCGGTGACTCATCTTGTATGTTCATGATTGAAACAGGTTTCATTATAGTTCATGTTAAATTGCTGTTTTTGCCAAAGTGACAAATATAGAAATCTACCGTTAAATGCCTCTCATAAAAATGGAATGTCAATGAACCCAAACGCTTTGGGATACCTCTGCATGGAATACATATGGGGAGGACCTGACTTTTTTTGAAGAAAGCGAAAGAGAGTAACCAATATGAAACAGCAAAGTTAACAGCAGAGAACGAGTACTTTGGTACAGTATGGAAATGCTGCAGGGAGCTGAGTGCTGTAGATAATGTGAAGAACAACAAATAACATTTTGATTATTTCTAACAAAGGCCCTGCTCCTCAGTTTTTTTTAAGTAGGGTGCTTTGGAGAGGTGATCTCCTCTTCCCATTTTAGCCTAAATATTTTCCCTTTTACTCTCTCTTAGTTCTTGCTTCTCAGTGTGTGGCTGTCTAAGGAAAAAGATATTCTTCAGAGAACACAGTCAGTTTGCTGCCTTCACGCTGCACTGTCCCTTTTAAGCAAAATGACAGGTAAGATGAATTTATTGCTTGGAAATGGTCAGTGCTCCTTTCTTGGAAAGGTGCATTGACCTGACTCTACAAGCTTTAATTGATGATGATGATGTTTGTCCATCGTTTTTGATGAGAACCTTGACATCTAACAAGCTTTAATTAGAACTGTGAACAAAGTCAAACCTAGTGTTGCATGGGAATGTATTTTGAAAAAAGTGAACAATTTAAGAAGTTGTTTAAAGGCCCCAGGTTGATTGGGCAGTGTCTCTTTATAGTACTTAGAAGACCTGAATTTCTGCATATTTGGATGTAAGAGACCTTTCAAATACTAACTGTTCAATTCAGCTGGCTTTGGAAATTTTACCTTTTCTCCACCTTTCTGCCCTCTGCCTTGTATTTACTGCTGGCATGGACTAAATCTTGTTATTCATGGAGTATTTTTATTTGTTTAGAGTCTTACAAGTTTTTTTTCTTCAGCTACACAGTATTCAAACCCTGTAGATTACAGTTGGAAAACAAAAGCTGTGACTGTGATACAAGCCCAGAGCTGTACAAATGAATCTTTAGACTAGGTCCAACTTGGTCCCAGGTCTGTAGTATGCTAGTCCATCTTTGCAGTCCTGGTCCATATGGATGCTTTTCCATGTCTTGCTTACTACTTGGTTTTTGTGTCTGATAAATATAGTCAAGGCTTTAGTCAAGAACTCAGACCAGCCTTATGCAACATGGTATTTTCTGGACATTTGTCCTACAACTTCCATCATTAGCCATGTGGATTGGGGCTGATGGGATTGCAGTCAAGAACTTGTACATTTTTTTCCTGTTTTTATTTTAGTTGCTGTAGATGAGTCGTGGGACTCTCAGTCAGTCTCTCCCTGGTGGCAGCAAATGCGCACAGCTTGTATTCAGTCTGAAAGTAATGGAGCTGCCTTGTTATCTGCCCATGTTGGGCATTCTGTAACAGCACAGATAACAGATAGCATAGCAGAGAAAAAGGTAAGGAACTTAGATTTCTTTCCCTTTGAAAGAAAGCTGTAATATTGTCTGCTAAAGAACAAACTTAATACTCACAGATATTGAACACTTACACTGAAAGATACTTTTCCAGAGCTATAAAACGGCTTATTGTTGTAAGCCGCCCTGAGGCTTCGGCGAATGGGGCGGCATAAAAATGTTTTAATAAATAAATAAATAAAACATAAAAGCATCATTGGCCTCTGGTTTGTAAATATGGGCCATACTGTCAACTCATTGAGCACCAGCAGGATAAAATAAACTGCCCTATTCTACTTATAGATTGCAAACACCACAGGCTGTTTGTAGTCATGCTGCTTCTCAGCATCCAGGCAGTGAAGTTGTCTTTTGTTTTTGATCTTGCTCAACTCTTAGAAAAATTAAGTTGTCATAGCATTCCTTCTCCCCACCTCTTAGTGTCTTCCTTTTCTGTGATGGTAATGGTTTACATCTTTTTTTCCTGAGGGGCTTGCACCAGCATGCCTTCCTCCCCATCCCCACCTTTTACCTTCTATAACATCCAACCTTGTGCCTTCCAGTCATATTTGGATTGCAACTCCCAGAATTCCCAGCCAGTAGACCTGCTGGATGGGAATTCTGGGAGTTTTCGTCCAAATGCTTCTGAAGGCCACCAAGTTGGGGAAGATTGTTCTATAAAATTACACTGGGAAATGGTGATTGTTTCCTTACTTAAGACTGATTTTTAAAAATTGCCGGTGCAAGTTGATAAATGTAAAGCAACATTAATTATAAGCATGTTAACTGATGAAGACCTTTCCTTGAGATATTTATCCTCTGCTCTTCCATCAAACACAGATTAATTAGGCAACTATAATTTGATTGCAGCTTTCTGTTGAATGAGCTTTTGGTACATCTGGATTTGCCTCAGTGTCATGTGTGAAATTGTGAGCTTAGGTGGACTCTGGGGGATGGTGGAGGACAGGAGGGCATGGAGGAATGTTGTCCATGGGGTAGCGATGGGTCGGATGTGACTTTGTTAAACAACAACTATGTGTGAAATAGAGCTGATGCAACTTTTAATTCTTTAATTTAATGCTCTGGAGATGTCATAAACTATTCTTTTTTGTAAGCTTTCCCAGATAACTGTAGGTGCTGATACAGACTCATGGGAAGCACTCTCACTCGACACTGAATACTGGAAGCTGCTGCTGAAACAGTTAGAAGACTGCCTAATACTTCAGACACTCCTGCACAGTAAAGTGAGCAGGAAGACAAACCAAGTCTCATCTCTGCAGGCTGAACCACTTGAGAGACTCTCTGTGAAGAAGCTGCTTGAAGGAGGAAAAGGTGATCTTGCCAAGAGATCTTGGCTTAAGTTCAGATACGCATGAGCAGACCTTCATTTGTGAAAGGGGTGGGAGCAGACTTTTTGATGATTTCCCTCTCCCTCTGTAACTTCTTGTGACCTCTGAAAGTCTCTTCTAGAGCTGTATGTAATATGGTGCCAGATGTTGGACACTTCTACTGGAGATCTGGCCTCTCTGCAAAATGAAGGACTCTTGTCCATGAAAAAGCTGTGCTGAATGCAGCCCTTTGGATTTTTGTGTTCATCTTTCATCTTCACTAGAGACTAAATTATGTAAAATGTAGCTAAGGCACTCAGTACTCTATATACCTAAGTTCTGGGGTTGTCTTGCTGGATCCAGAGTATTTTCCCTTGTAGGGATTCTGACATATTTCCCATCTGTATCCAACACTGAGCTAATTAAGAGGAAAGAACATGGGATCAAAGATGTGCAAAGATTTTGTTTGTCTTTGAGATTCCACTAAATCGATGTGGAAAAGTCTGCAAGCAGACCTCATAGCAGTCCTTGGAACCAGACATATTGCACTTTCAAAGGCTTTGAATTTTTATATGTGCAAACTCAGATTGATTATATATATTCAGTTGTTAAGTTGCTCCTAATTCCTTGCTGCTTATATATGTTAACAAACAACTTTAGACATCTGGGCATTTAGAGTACTTACAAATGCAGGCAAGTTTGATTTTGTAAGAATTCCAGAGAATCTAGAGTAAAATATTGGGAATTGTTCCATAGTGGAAACGAAAAGAAAGTCTGTAGTAGAGTTTGTATGTGTAAGGGCTCTTATTAAATCTGTTGCTAGATTCTGTTATGTTTTGTTGCTGGGAAGGGACGGAGATTGCGTTTTCACATATTATATTGGGTATGAAATGCTGGATTTCATTCAGCTGAATCAAGGATTCAGACTTTGTCTGGATGCTTTTGTTTCAGCCTGCATGCCTGCAGTTGCACATTTGGATGCTGCCCATTGTAAAAACACAACAAGCATTCTGCAAGTGTTTGGTGGGGGAGGGGGCAACCCTTGAAACAGGATTAGGCGGCTTTTTGGATCTTGCGCAGATTTGGAAATTTGAAAAATTGCCACCACCACTAAATGACGGGCATGGGAGATGTGGCAAAAGATTTAAAGACTGCATAAAGATCTAAAAACTACATAAAAATCAGGGGTGTGGTCTGGGACTTACTCCTCCAAACAGCACTTTTAATCCTATAGTTTTCAGCAACAACAGAAACTTGTTTCACAGCAAGAAAATGTATTACTTTAAAAAAAAAATGTGGGCACACCCATGTCTACCTTGCCTACTCCTACCCTGCAATGTTAGGGAGAGGGCTCATTCTAGCCTTAGCTGTGATTTACAGTGGTACCTCGGCTCATGAACACCTCAGTTCACAACCAAATCGGGTCACGAACAGAAATTTCAGAAAAAAATTGCCTTAGGTCGTGAACTCCACATCGGGTGACAATTGCGATTGCACCTGTCTTCCCAGCACAGACGCGATCACATTTGTGCACGGGGGAGGGGTGGGGGAGATAGCTGCGATTGTGTTGCGGGGGAGATGGCCGTGATCTTTGTTGTTCTTTGTTACCTTGTTGTTCTTTGTCACTTTGTGTCAAATTTTTGTGATTAAAAAAGCTTACAGAATGGATTAACTTTATTTACATTGCACCTTATGGGGAAATTTGACATGTGTCATGACCAATTTGGGTTGCGACCAGAGTTGTGGAATGGATTCAGAGTCATGAGTCAAGGTACCACTGTATGCCTTTCCATTTGCAGGAAGGGGATTGTTCCCATGTAGGACTGTTTTTAAAAAATTAAACCCCTTACCTGCAAGCTGAAACTACAGACTCCAGGAAAATACTGCACTCTATATGTTAGAGTGACCCTGGCTCATTTTCAAACAAAAATGTGTGATTTTGGGCTGCCTTCCGCTTCTGTTGCAGGAGCCATTGCTGACAGAGTAGCAAAATGGGTTTTCAAGCACGACCTTGGCCTACCATTACTGAGACTGGGGTGGCAGAAAGAAGAATCTGAAAGTGAAGAGGAAGTGCCAGAAACTAGCAGAGCTGTTCTCACTGAGTGTGCAGAAGACCAGCCAGGCTTAGAAACCATACTAGGTAAAGATGCAAAATGTTTGACTGAAAAGCTGCTTCAGGAGCAAACTAAAATCACTGGATAATTTCCAGTTGACAAACAACTAAGAAGAAAAAGCAAACATCATTCATGATCTTTTACCATTTATTTCTAGAATTACTCCATTTAGCATATCAGCAATTTCCTTGTAGCCTAGAGACGGACGTCCTCCATGCGCATTGCTGTTGGGAATATGTTGTGCAGTGGAACAAAGATCAAGAGGTAATGAGGCACTTATGTTTCTTTTCCCTCACATTTCCTGTTAACAAGCATTGCTGCAGTGTAAGGTAAATAATGTCAGATGGGTTTTGCTTACAATTTTATGTATGTGTGTTGCTTTGGTATGTCTGTTGTGAGCTGAGGGCACCCTTTGCACTGCTTTGTACACTTTCAGTTCTGCTGTCATAGTTTTGTAGAAGCTACCAGCATATAGATACCTCCTACCCTAAAACTACTTCATTAGCGTGCCCTGAGAACTAAAGCTGATTCAGATACATATCAGGGCAGAGCACACAGAGGTTTATGGGAAGCTAAGGCTGCATGTTATGATACAAATGGAATCCCAGCCCTGTCCTGAATTGTAGGAGTTTTCTTAGTGTAAAAACATTGAACAAAAAAACAGCAATGTTGCAAATGCCCCCTTGAATGGTACTGATGAGAAACCAAGTGCCTGTTACTGTGCTTCACAGATCGTTTTCAAAGGCATGTTACCTCTTTTATCTTTTATTTTTCATTGCCGGTTCTTAAGGGAGGAAATCCCTGTCAATGGTTTTTCTTCACTTGCTCCTTTAATGTTATAACTGTTCTCTCAGATGCTGAAGAGATAAATATTGTTCTTCTCATCAGGATAACCTGTTCAGAAAAAAAAACTTTTGAAAAGCTAGAGAACTTCCCCTTCTCACCGAGGTTCTTTGGGTTTTTTTGTTTTTGTTTTTAATACTGCCTTGTGTGCCTGTCACGTTCTAACCTGAAGCATTTAGACTTCAGGGCCCATAGATATGCCATCAAAGCTTGAAGGGTTAAATCAGAACCATGACATTTTTAACAATTTGATATAGAGGTAGCTTCCATACCTCATTAGACTGACTGATTTTAACACTTGATCTCTCTCTCTCTCTCTCTCTCTCTCTCTCTCTCTCTCTCTCTCTCTCTCTCTCTCTCTCTTTCAATACAAGGAAGCACGTTTTCTCATCACGTCTATAGAACATCTCAGATGTATCAATAACGCTCATGTTCAGCATGGTAAGGACAAAATAACTGTTTAATAGCTCAATAAAATATTTGAGTAGGTCAGAATGGTTAATTTGGTACCTTGCATATATTTTGGGGGTACAAATTCTGTAACAGATGGGTAGGTCTTGTAGCAGAAAACATGCAGAGCAAACTGCTAGCCTGAGGGTAGATTGCACAGCTGTCAAAGTGCTGATTTGTACAGTATGGTGGCAACTCATCATGAGTAACTAGTCAAAGTGGGTTGCTTCCCCCAGAGAGGCTTAATTTTGGGGCAGCAAACCATCATGAGATTCTGTGGCTTGTTCTAGACACTGTTCAATCCATGATTGGTTGTCATGTCATTTAAATCAGGGAGAGCAATTTCATTGTGGGTTTGCAGGGGCTGGCTAGAGAGCAGCTCTGCAAAACTGACAAAGAAGCCCTCTCCGTAACCTCACCCATGCCACCACCAATGGCTGCCCCTCCACCAATGCTGAAGTAGCCCTTTGGAGCAATTGTCGTTCATTCTCCACCATTTTTTTCAGTTCCAGAGAATTGCATAATTGTGTTCTTATTTTTATTGTTCTTGTTACTGTTGGTTGTGGTGACCTCTCGCAAGTATGCTCTTCCAGCTCTCAGATACGTGCAGTTTGCCTGGCCAATTTCCTTCCATGTTTTAGCTGTCAGAAGGAACAGAGAAATGGTGTTATATGTATATTTATTAACTGCTCCAAAGAATTAGAACATGTATTCCCTGCTCCAGCGAAATTGACCAGTCAAGACTATACATACCTGACAGCCATAAGAATGCCCTCTTGTGAAAAACTGACACCACACATAGTAATAAAAGCTTATGAACATTTTAATGCAGCTTTCTCGGGCCAAAAATAAAAAGTGTGATCCCAATTGCACATTTTTAAGGTTATGAAAATTTAAAAAAGAAAACCAAAAGTCAGCATATGGAAAGGGCGACAGGTGGACTGGGGAATGGGAGACATGCTGGGCTCTACTACAAAGGACGCTGGGATAGTTTCTAGAAGACCAAGGGGAAGAAGAAGCCAAGTGAGTCTGGCTGTCTGTTGTGCACACAGTAGATTGTTCTGTGACACGTTGTAGTTTGTTTGCAGGGTGGTTTAGCATGTGGTGCAGCCTGCCAAGGTAAGGTGGAGCGGCTGGCCCCAGGCTTATCAATCTGGCATGCATGGTCAGGAGTCCCCAGCTATGGCTGTAATTTATGAATGTAATTTACATTCAGTTATGTACTTATTATGGGGTGAGTACCATTGATCTGTGGAAGTTTGTGTTTGTTCGCAAACTTTCACTGACAGAAGTTTTTGTTGTTGCTAACACTCTACTCATACTGTCCGAAGCCAATTCCACGAGGAATGCACCTTCTTATCCAATGAGTATGTGCCTAACAAAACACATCTTTATATTACATGTACTGGATCTTAAGTTCCTGTAACTTCTTTTCAGGAATTGCTCTAATGATGTGGAACACATTTATAGTGAAAGGACTTTCTGCTGCTACCTACTTAATGGACAAGGTAATACTGAGTTATAGCTTCTGCGTGCGTGCGTGCGTGCGTGTGTGTGTGAGAGAACGAGCGAGAACGAGAGGGCGCAAAAGAGCCTGTGCCAAAGGAGGAGGGAAGATGCTTCTCAGAATAAGCTTGCCATCTGTAGCTTTTACAAGTACTTACATTCAGATTTCAGTGGTCATTGAGTTCGATAGGTATACCTTTTTAACTATACTTAACAGATTAATTGGATATATATTGCAGTTGTATTTGAAACACATTCCTTGCCATTATTTGCATGATTTTATTTCAGCTTGATTTAATGATGAAGTTGAAAAGAGGCCAGTATTAATACTTCAGAAGTCAGCTTCCTTTGTTTATTGTAGACTAGCCCCTACTTTTGAAGAGCCTGTATTTTTCAATTTTCAGCAACCATTTGCCTGCAGAGCTTTATCTAATGTTGTCACCCTGCAGTTGTCTTTTGTTGCCACTCTGAATATTGTACCTCAAAAATCTGAAGCAGTGCTCTAATCCTGGGAAATAGGGGAACCATTTACCATAGTACCCTGAGCCTTGTCACAACTACACATAAATCACTTCATTACTGAAGCCCTCGTGACCGGCAAAGGAACAAGTAAACTGTTTTGTTACAAGTAAGCTTAGCTTGAGCAAACCTAAGGCGCTACATTGCTCAGGTGATGGTCAGGTGTATATGAAGGGTTAGGGCAAAATGAACAGGGACAGCTGTGCTAGTGGTTAGAATAACAAGTCAGCCCTCCATTAAAAATATATTCTAATATAGTCCATTTATTTTGGCCCCTGAATCGGAAAATCACACAAACAAGTCTCCCTGGGATTAAAAAATGAAATTGCTAATAAAATGAAATAACAAGTTGCTAAGCCTTTCACGAGATTGGAATGCTGTTGTCTGAGGCTGCTGGCACCCTGCCTGAAGTTGGACCTTCAGTTGTTTTTGGAGAGAAGAATTTCAGCAGATGAGCTTTTTCAGCCACGTAGCAGTTGACAACGGCTAAGAATCCCTTGGCAGTCCAGCTCTGGAATATGACAGGGCTTGGGTGCCTATGCCAGCTCAGCAGCTCATGAAAACCAAATTTATCACAGATGAAGAGAAGTATTCCTGTTCTGATGAACAAAGGTCAGCTGGAAACAAAGCATTTGAAAAGCAATCTGGTGGAATAACATCTCTCCTGTTTACATTTTGTAAAAATTGATGGGAGACAGAAGAAAAAGGAAGACATCACCAGCGTTTGCAGATGGGGCCAGAGCAGTTACTGGTAGTGGTTACTTTTCTATCTGACTGGATTCTTATGCTTAACTAGGATACTTTTCCATTATAGGTTGGAAAAGCACCAAAGGACAGATTATGCAGACGGGCAAGTCATTTTAAAATTATTTAATTATTGAAGGAATGTGTAAAAATGGTACATCTGATGACTGCGCTAAGCTGAAAAGGGTGATTTCTGTCGGTTCAGACTAAGATCATGGTTCTGTTGCCCACTCCTACTAACAGCTCTTCTAGTCTTTAAATTTTCCATGCTCCACCATTCTATTAACTTTTAGGAAGAAAGACCTGCCAACTTACTTGTTCTTGTCTACTTTAACCCTCAACTATGATAAATCTAAGCATTCCTGAAACCTAGACAACTGCAAATGGTTTCACATGTATTCATCATGTTTCCTTCTGCTTTTGTTTTTGTTTTTGCACTAGTACTGTGCGTTGAAGAGTTTTATGGCACCTTAAACAACTGTTTTTGCATAAGCTATGGTCCACTTTGTCAGACAAATGCCATATTGTAGACAGTTTCAATTTTATATATTGTGTGTGGGGGGCGGTTGAAGGAAAGAGGGAGAGAGAGAGGAAAATTATAAGTCCGAAGAAAATTAAATTCCTGGTTCCACAATTACCATTTTAAGGTTAGTTTCAGGGTATTATGGAGGACTAAAGCCCTTCTGGCCAATAGTTATCTTACATTTAAAACCCAGATCATTTTTATTACCCATTCATTTCAATAAATAGGCAGTTTTTAATAAAGGAGCAATTTTCATCTCTTTACAATTCTAAAACATTCAGCTTTTAACAAAGCATTTGAATAATGGGGTATATCTTTTTTTATTTAATTTTAGCTGGCTAGGGAATATTCCCCTTGAAAATAATTTCATTAGGATTGATATTGAACATTTTGCTCCTATATTTAATTTGAATTTTAGCTAAATTTAATTGACCTATATGAATTATAGTGAAAATCTTGAGGAAGTAAATTTTCATCTGTAGAGCCAATTCCTCATTATCATTACTTTTTTAGTTTCATCAAGGAGGTCTTTTGGGTAATGAATATATTAAACTGAGTTGGAAGTGTCATGATCTTCATGTATATTATTTAAAAATGTGTGTTGCACATGGATTATCTGCATTTGTCAGATGTTCAGATATTTATATCTAAGTTGATTGTAATCAGTTTAGTATGAACACAATCTCTTCCATCCTGCAAACCAGAAATATGTTAAAATGTTTTAAGGAGAAAAATAATACTAGCAGACTAACATTTTCTTTTTAAATGTAGGACGTAGGAATGAGTGACAGTGCAATGACTTGTTTTCTTGGCTCTTGTTTGGATCTTCTTCACACTTTGATGGAGGTAACAAATCTGAACCCTACTTCCAAATGTCATGTAGTTTTAAGTGGTGAAAAATGACTCCTGTATCTAGGCATGTTGAAACAAAATTTGTCTGCAAGGGAGAGGAAATCAATGTTTCTGTACCATGAAGGTCCTTTCCTCTCTTCAGAAGGAATGTTTCTGGATTTTTCCGGAAAGACAAGGCTAACACGGTAATGCAGAAATGTTTAGCTACCTTGTAGCTTTTAATTTGTTCTAATTTTTTTTCGATTCCTTTGAAATTCTGTAGTTTTGCAGGTGGAACGCCTTGATTTCTGCTTTCTCATCTTTAATAATAAAGACACTGATAGCTTTGAACATGGTTAATTGCATTAGATGGCAGTTACTTTTAAAATGTTGACATTTTTCTCTCCTCTACTACATCAGGCTGATGTGCGGAGTGATGAAATGCAGCTTCCTGTGTTGGACACAGAAGATGCCTGGGTGTCTGTGGAGGGACAGATCTCACTGGTGGAGCTAGCTCTTGAACAAAAACACATCCATTACCCTCTGGTTGAACACCAGTCTGTGCTCTGTACTGTTCTTTATGGAATCATGAAGTTTTCACTGAAGAGTGTGAAGCCCCTCTCTCTTTTTGATAGTAAGGTATGTCTAGAAAAGTCTGCCAGTGCCTTCCTGCCCTTTAACTTACAAGGGGTTTAAAATCAGCCTGTCACTGTGAAATGCATGTTCATTTATGTTGGATAGTGTGAGCAGTTGGAAGACCAAGTTCAAATCTAGCCAGCAGGGCTGTCTTCATTCTTCTTGAAATGATGCAACTCAAGTAGCTGCACCTAGAAAATCAGAAACACCAATACCTGTGGTTCTTTAGATGCAGGGCCATGTTTTGTCTACCATCAGCTTACAATAGTGTGCAGAACTGTTTTGTCTTAGACAGTCCCAAGTAGAAACTAATACCAAATGCATAGGTAAAGTGCATGCAATAGCTGCCCATGTGAAGTTTTTTGCTTGGCATTTATGTGTATTGGAAACATTTTCCATTCAAATTTTCCATATAATTTCATTTATCTGAAATGTGAAAATGTTCCCCTTCTTGATGTCTGTTTGCTCTCGATGTTCTTTTCTGAGAATAGAATACTCAGAGGAAAAGAAATTGTCTTCTGTGTGTGAGTAGCAGGCTTACCTTAGTCCCTGCCCACAATTATTATATGTACGTATGTATAGTGTATTGTTGCATTCCTTCCATGCAGGGTAAAAATGCCTTTTTCAAAGACCTGACTTCAATTCAGTTGCTACCTAGTGGGGATGTGGATCCAGCTCTGCTGTCTACGAGGCAACAAGTAAGTTAAATTCTTGGAGGAAATTGGTATCAGTTGTGCCTTTGTAAACTAACACAAACTGCTATGACATGGTTGCCTTTTTTTCTTCCAAAAGTTCTTAACCAAACTAGTGAGCGCAGTGGCACAAGCCCAGTCATCTTCCCAGAAAACAAAAAACAACCCAGCAGAACTGGTGGTTCTGTCGGTGAAAGACAGAGACTGGCCAGCCCTGGCTTTGGATTTGGCGCAGCACCTTCAGGTCACCGAGGATGTGATCAAACGGCACTATGTGTGTGAGTTGTATAATTACGGCCTGGATCAACTTGGAGAAGAGGTAAAAAGACTGCATGTGGCAATTTGTGTTGTCTTTAGCACAACAGCAGAGTGACTAGCAACAGGATGCATTATAGAACTTCAGGCACTTCGTTAGATCCCACTAGTAGATGGGAACTTGTTTGGATTTAGCTGCAGGAAATAGCCACCCTTGGGCAGGAATTCACTTCACTGCTGCTCCTGGGCCACTGCTTCCTCCATGCGTCTGCTGCTGCCACCAGGCACCCCTCCACAATGTGTCCTTGGTGTGGAGGGATGTCCACCTGCTGGCCTTCCTTCCAAGTTCAACTGCACCGAGTGGCTGTTCAAATCTTGCTGGGATTCTCTTCAAATCTTTCTCTCGTGGAAAGAAACACAGCTCAGCCAGGGCTCAGTGGCAGCTGCATGTGGCTATTACTCCATTTACTGCTGCTGTGCTTGGGAAGGGGCAGGGTTAGTCTTCACCCCTCAGTTTGTCCCTCTCCCCACCTTTCTTTAACACAGCAGCCATGCAAAGGACACCCTGAATGCCATTCTGCTAGAACTGGACTACCTGGAAAATCCACACTTGCCCATGCTTAACATTTGCAGTCCTTTGTGCCTTACAGCCGTCTGAAGACAAGTGATAGGGGCGGGTAGTGAAAGAAGTTTAGAACACAATCCTAAGCTTGCCAATTCAGAAATAAGGCCCATTCAGGTCAATTGTTTATAGAATTACAGCCTTTATCTCCAAGTGGGGTGGGCAGTGCATCTCACCACTGATGCCCATGACCAGGAAGGAACCAGGCCATGTACAACTAACAACTTTGCATGTTAGGGAGACTTGTTTTGAACTGTTAGAAATATTATTTTTTATAAAATCACATGTTTATTCTGAGTGGCTCTTCCTTTGCTGATGTTTATGCTAACAGCAACTCCCTGAGGTAGGGTAGGCTGACAAGTAGCAACTGAACAGTGGCCATCTAGTGAGCTTGGTGACTCAGGGAGTATTTCAGCCCGAGTTTTTTCCTGCCCAAGGCTGCCATTAAGCACTGCACCATGCTGGCAACAGAGCAAAGTCTTAAACTTGAGATCAATGTGCATGAATAAATATACCAGCAAGTATGGTACAGCCTTGGGTAATAGTGTGTGTGCCTGTGTTTGCACAAGGGGCAAGGGTAGAAAGTAGCAATCCTGTCTTTATCTGAGGGCAATCCAGTCAAATAGAGGGGCAGCCGTGAACATTGCTACATGTGCGTATTTTGCAGCGTGATAATTGCCTAAGAACACTATTTGTTTTCAGGTGGAAAACCACCTGATCTGGATAGTAGTTTCACTGCAAGACAACAGTTGCCTGCCCTGGGAGTACAGTGCATCCAGGGTGGGGTGTATTCGCTGCATCTTCATAGGCAGCAAAATGTTTCGGTACAACTGTTTCTTGTGAATGTGGGCTCTACAGGAAAAAAGGCATTCTCTGGATATATGTATAGTAGGTCTCGGATTACAACTGGCTGTGTTCACATGTTTTCTGATATGCAGGCCATTCTTCAAGTACACGACAAAGAAGTCCTTGCATCTCAGCTACTGGTGCTGACGGGACAGAGGCTGGCTTACGCCTTGCTGCATACCCAGACCAAGGAAGGCATGGAGCTGCTTGCCAGGCTGCCACCCACACTCTGCACTTGGCTTAAAGCTATGGCAAGTTCCTTTGGACTGAAAACAGATCATTTTCACCAAAGAGCACAATACGAAATAGGGTCCTAATGTAGTATTTCCATTTTCTTAGTACAGCATAACAGTTCTGATATTTACAAAAGCATTTTACATCTGAAAAATTGTAGAATCTCCCCTGTTCTCACCACTGAACACTCCACTTATTTTGGTACAGTGGCTAACAGTTAATATTTAGCCAATGCATGCTATGTGGCAGGAAATCTGGACTTTGATGCAGATTTAGATTTTGGAGATATGCTTTGCGTCTATTTCTTGAAAAAAACAAGTCACATTCTGCCTTGCATTGTGTGAACACAGAAGTAAATAGGAATCAGATGCATAGTCTGGCTTCTCTCAGAACTCTTTTTATCTTCCTTAAAAAAGCAGCAGCAGCTGCCAAATAGCAATCTCGGCGGAATCGTACAATTGGTTGTAGGATTTCCTTTAATTTTGAATTAATTCCTGCTTGGTTCAGTGGTGCTGCCTTATGATTGCAAGCAAATGGGACCAAGACCCTCTATCACTCCCAGCCCACACAGTCATTCCCAGTCTAGCACATTTGGGGGACGCCTGATTCATGAAAGCTGCACTTAAAGCAGCAGTGTTGCATTTTCAAGAGTCCAAAATGAACTTGTTGTCAAGTATTAGTACAGGAATTGTTATTGCAACTATGAATACACAGTTACCATTACACATCCCTGAAAAATATTGCACAAAATTGGAATCTTTAGTCTAAAATTCTCTATTCCATTGTTGCTTGGAAAAGTAACTTAAAATTGGCTCTTATTGATGAATAATTGAAGGTTTTTTTCCTCTTCTCTACAGGACCCACAGGATCTTCAAAATGTAGATGTGCCAATTACCACAACTAAAAAACTGGTGGAGAAAGTGATAGAACACTTGCCAGAAAACCATGGGCAGTACAGCGTTGCCTTGAATCTAATTGAGGCAGTGGAAGCCATGTCATGATGGTAGCTTTATCAATTCTGCTGATAGTTTCACACCGTTCTCTCCACTAAGTTAAGTGCATGGCTTCTGTACATACAGAAGCACAAGCATCTAGAGGAAAGTATTCTAAATGACTTTTATAAACAACTTCAGAATTTTATGAGGCGGTATCCATGTGAAGTTCTACCTTACTGTGGTAGGTAAGACCAGCAGTCTTTCACCTTTGTATATTTGTCTATAACCCTAAATATTTATTTTTAACTCTTAAACATTTGTGTAGTAGTTTAGGTTTAAGAACAGCTTTGATGCTGTTCAAGTCAGCACATTAAGAATTTTTCATATGCTTAAGATAAAACTGCTGCTTTTTAAACATTAAAATGACATGAATTTAATCAGAAGCTAAGAAAACAGAGCCTCCCCCCCTCCCATATGCTTAGGTAATGCTTCTGGTTTTCAAACTGGTAGCTTGACTACTTTAGCAATGAGGAAGCTGCTTGTGGCATTAAAGGGCTGCTTCTTCCCATCATGGTAGGCCAAGTGGCAGTTGTGCTAGCAGTTACTCCTCTCTAAAAACCAAGAATGCTTCTTGGGAGAAGAGAGCAGGTCCACTTTTAGAAGGAAGTATCATGGCAGAAACTGAAAAATGATTTTGACTCTTAGATGGTTTGATAAGTTATCAAAAAAGAAATCAGGACTCTAACTGAAGCTGATCAAGTTCTGTAGAAACATTAGTCTTTTTTGTAACAACTTCTGTTGTTGTACAGTCTGTTGTAAAAATATTGTAAATTGTGTGTAACACTAGACTCCCTGTGTTGAAATACCTGCTTTCTATACGCAGCTGTCCAAGATATGAAGCATTAAAGTTAAAATTGACATTCTTCTGTGGTATGCTTTGTGTCTTGTACGCCAGTTTTGGGGGGGGGGGGTTGGTTCAATAATCTCTGTCTACAGTCTTTATTCAAATAGTCACATTTCCCACAGATAAGTTGGAACAGGTTTTGAAGAGGGCATTTGAGTATGGTATGCAAAACAAGCCTGAGATGGTAGGGAAAATGTGAAAATACCTTCCACATACCTGAATTAGGGCAACAATTAGGCGAATTCTTCCTAACTTGAGGTATTCAAGCAGGTAGGAACACTTCACCTAAATGTAATCCCAATTACAGGTACACACTGATGGGATCAGAACTAGCAGTGACACAGCAAGAAAGGGATCTTGGGGTGGTAGTGGGTAGCCCAGTGAAACTATCAGCCCAGTGCATGAACACTGTGAAATAGACAAAATCCATGCTAATTGGGAACAGAGTAGAACTGCCAAAATCTTACTCCCCTTGTACAAATCCTTGGTGTAACTGCACTTAAAGAGTACTGTGTTCAGTTATGGTCATCTCACCTCAATAAGGACATTACTGAGTTAGAAAAAATACAGAGAAGAACAACAAAAAGAGCAAAGAGCCAGAGCAACTCTTCTAAGAGGAGGAGCTGCAAAAACTGGGAATGTTCAGTTTGGAAAAGAGGTGAGTGAGAGACATGAAACAGGTGTTTGAAGTTATGCACAGGATTGAGAAAATGGAAAAGGAGACTTTTTCCCTTTCCCATAACAGTCAAACCAGGGTCATCTGATGAAGCTGATTGGGGAAGAGTTTAGGACGTACAAGAGAAAATATTATTTCATGCAATGTATAAATTATGGACTTCACTTGCTATGGGAAGTAGCGATGGTCACAAATCCAGATGGCCTTCAAGAGGAATTGGAGAGATGCATGGACTGTCTGTGGCTACTAGCGTTACTGGCTGTGTGCTCCTTTTCTCACCAAAGGTGGCCTGCCTGCACACACCAGCTGATGAAAAGCTTGCACAGGCCGAGGGCTTGCATTCATCCTGCCTGACTGATGCTGTGGACCGCTGGACCAGCATGGCTGTTCTGGTGTTCAGTAGCAGGAATGGGAAAGGACCATGTCTGTCCTCTGTGCAGCTGCATGAATCTTGAAGTAGTAAAGATTAATTGTAAAAACTCGTCCTAGGTAGCACTAACCTCATGACCTGACTGTTTTTTTCATATCTAGCTGTACTAGGACTGAGTTTGTCTCATGTGTAAGCTCAGATGACCTTTGATCATGAGGGCAATGGACAGAATGTTTAATCCTAATCGAGTGGTCAGTTCCACACATGTATGTAATCCTCCTTTTCTCTGTGGTAATGCAAGCCAAGGAGTGAAGCTTGTTAGTGTTCTCTGTAGGGTAAGAGCATGCAATCCTACAGCCAGCAATAAAGCTGCACCAACCCAGTACTAAAGTCCAGAGGAAATTTTCCTGCTTACGTAAGGTAGCTGAATGCTCTGTCAAAGGAGATATTCAGGCAAACCCTGAAACAGATCTGTGTCCATTTATGTACTTGAATTCCCCTCATTTCTACAAGAAAGTTAAATTATGACAAATAACTACATGTTAAGCTAAGAAAAAATGTATAAGGGTATAACAAGAATGAAAGGAATTCCTGATAAGCATTTTATTACATGTACAAGCTTAAGTATTTACACACCATTACTACAGTCCTTTAGGTTGTCCAAGTATATCATAACTGCTTAGAACACACTTCAAGATTTGACTGTTGCTTGAACACACATCATTTCCCACCAAGTATTTTCATGCAACGTGCACATGGTGTCTCTGCTGAATCAGCAGTGTATCTTCGACAGCGGAGGCATTTCGATTTGGTAGCTGGTAAAACAACGACTTTATAGGATGATTCTTCTCGGATATCACCACCTATTAGCAAAAAACAAAAAAGAATGAGTTAACATTTGTAGGGACATCATCAGCAATTCTACCCAGGAGACATCTGGTTATAATCTGGCCCAAATATAGAACACTACTTAGAATGAACAGGAATTTCCTTCTATACGTACCTTCTAAGTTTATCAGAAATGTCCCTTTAATTATGTCATCGGTATCCACATCTCTAGGTAGTTCAGTCAGCAGTGTGGTCTGTGATGCCATCATTATTTCATTTAGCTGAGATGTACTAGAACACTCCTCATGTTGCAGCACCTGGAGATAACTGATTGTCAGAACTGACTAGTTGTAAAAATGGGTATACTGAAAAAAGGGCTATAGCTAGGGAAGCCGCAGTACAAGCAAACAGCATATGACAATCTTTGATCAAGAGAAAACTCATGTACTTGCTATCTGGTGTTGTTGTTGTTGTTGTTGTTATTACATTTTTATACTGCCCATAGCCAAAGCTCTCTAGGCAGTTGACAGCAATAATCATAGAAGCATACACTCAAGTCACCCATCCCACTTCTGCCCAGGCCTGACCCTGCTTAGCTTCCAAGATTAGGCAGGATCAGGCACTTCAGGCTGCATGGAAGCTCACTGGTCCAGTCTCTACTAGCTGTTTGCTCTGCCAGCAGGATTGTTTAAAGGATTTACTCTGGCTGACAGACTGGCCCAGGAGGCCAGAAAACAACTTAACCAGCCTGACCCTGTCAATGGACCTGATGGTCTGGACCTTTTTAATGCTGGTTCCCACCCCCACATGCTGTTTCCACTTCTAAATGCATTTCTACTGATACATCGTATTCTAGGAGTGTATAGAAGGCAGCTACACAACTAGTAGGACCAAACTGTGTCTAGATTGTGCTGCATCAGGAAAACCACAATGCTTTCAGAACTGAAGACTGAAAGATAGGATAAGCCCTAGGTAGGTCTAATGCTTTGTAGGCTCTCTGCAATCACCGTATTTCTGTCCTTAGAGACATTCAGCAGATTTTACATCATGTTTCTGTTAACATTTCTGTTACATTATCATTTGCTGTTGTAATGTACAACAATGTCTAGGGTTGCTTATCATTTCTACTAATTTTTGAAAATTCTGTGTAGTTTAATTTCCTAGCAAGGGATGTTCTAGGACTACTTAGTGAATATTAGACATTGAAGATGTAGCCTGGAGTTTATATTAACATATATTAACATATACTTAATACTGACTTTCCTGCTTACCTCCATTAATTCAAAAAGCAGTCCAGGCTCAATTGCAAGGACTACTTGATACTGCAAAGCGTTTTTGCCTGCAATGGAGCCAAGGAAAGCATCTCTTATTGCGCATGCTCCTTCTACTGCTTCTTCAAGGCCTGGTTTCTTCCATACAGGGCTTGTATTCATCCATCCAGTGCGAAACACACTGTCTGACTCTTGCAAAGGGAAACAAAAAGGTCAATATCTAATACATCTAATAGCTCTGTAATACCTTTGAGCACAGAACGCTGCTAGCTACTTTGAAATCTGCCGATTAAATGTTTGCTTATTTTTAATCAATCACTGAAAAATCTGGAGAATCAGTATATCAGATAGCAAAGACTTGCCTTTATCTATAATCATTTGAGGTCCCTTTCCAATTTTTTTAATGATTGGATTATCTAATAGTATGCATATCATGGATTAGATTTCTATGCTTGGAAAGAAGATTTACATTCCTGGGGCAGAATGTGCTTTGGCTCAGTTTTCAGGGGTTTGTTTGCTTGTTTGTTTATAGCTTTTAAACTGTCCCTATACTAGCGTCTCAGAATTGTTTACAACAAACAAGTAAAACAGAAATTAAAATAGCACAGCATACAGTATAAAACACGTTAAAACCAATTAGACATTAAAAGAGCGAGAATAAAAAGGTTTTCGCCTGGTGCCAAAAAGAAAGAAGAGTTGGCACCAGGCGAATCTCTCTGGGGAGCGTATTCCATAATCAGGGCGCCACCACAGAGAAGGCCCTCCTCCAGATAACTACCCTCCTAATCTCCTTCAAGGAGGGCTCCCTCTAAGCAGTACACCCAATTCTGAATAAATGCAGCACTTTGTACTATTAAGGCTTCTCCTATGTGAGGAATAATTTGGTTGCAAGCCTCAAAGTTCTTACTGCCTTGAAAGCTCTCATACCTTTCCGATAGGGAAGATACTGGAATACCTCTTCTGCCAGGTGTGGTAGGAGTGGTGCAAAAGAACGAACCACCGTGTCCAAAACTTCTGCTAAGGCTGTTTGACATGAACGGCGTTTAAGATCCTTTTCTTCTTCACAATACAGTCTGAAATTGAGGTGCAAATGGAACACTTACAGCCATGTGATGCCATTTTAGTCTAATAATTTTCATTTTTAGTTTAGCATTTGGCAGGCAACAAAAGAAAAGGAAGTTAGCCTGGGACTGGCAACCAAGTTGGGCATACATAATGAACTTTCTCTCTCTCAATCTCTCGGGCACTGTTGGACTGAAAGTGCTTATGGGGCAGGATCACAGACCTTCTGCAGGCCCCTAACCACAGCGGCACCCATTTCACCCATCATTTGCACACCTGAGGTCATGGTCACCAAAAAGAGAACCTCTCCCACTGGCAAGCAATATGCAGCATGCTTTTATCATTCTGAGGCTTCCTAAGAGGGTGGATAAAAATTGGTGATTTTTTATATTAAAAAAAGATTTTTAAAAATTAAACTGAATTTTTGCAATTTATATTGGATTTTTTAAAAATAATTTTTTTGAGGAAAAAAATCTAAGGAGAGATCACATGTCTGCATAGATCACATGCCTCTTCTTCACACAAAAATGTTATAAAATAATTATACAGCATTGAAAAAAGACCTTAAACCCACTGTTCCTTTGCAATCTATGTACACAGAATCAACCCCTTATCTCTTAAGTGCTAAGTTTCAAAAAATTCAATGAATAGAAGAAGATTGTTGAGAATGCAATAAATCTACTCAAGAAGTGAAGTGTGAGGCGGGAGGGGCAAGCAGTAAAACTGAAAGTGAAACCTTTTAAGCAGAATGCTCCACAAGTCTTTAGATCTTTTTTGTGTATAGCTTGAGGTTTATCGTTTTATTCTTTCCCTGGAGGAGAAAAGCTATAATGGCAGCAGGCTATACAAAAGACTCAGGATGGGAATATTTTAATGAAGTTTTTCTACTTATGGGTAAGGCAAGAATGCATGCAAAATCATGATTTAAATCAAGTCTTACTAGTGATTTAAATAGATTAGATATAAATAAACTCCACCCTACTTCCTAAAAACAAGCTTCCTTAACCTAGTAATCAGGGCTATGAGGATCATGGTAGTAAAGAGTAGTTAGTGCACATACCTGTCTTTGACTATGCTAAAGTAAAAACTAGACAACTCCCTAGCATGGAAGGCTTGCAGTAATCGGATGACTCTGCTGTAGTCATATTCTTTGTAGGCCTGTGTAACCTTTGGAATAATGTACAAAGAAAAACAGTTTATAAAGATGCAAGTAATAACAATTCAGAAGTAGAATACAGAAGGAGGGTGATACTGTAGAAGAGAGGAGACTGGGAAATTTAAGTGTGCATTAAGTCTGGCCTGTTGCTACCCACTGGCTTGAATAGCTATTGTGCAAATGAATAGTAGTGGCAACAAGCCATGATAAGAAAAAAGGCATCAAGAATGACTAAAGGGTTTTGCATGCTGCATTCATCCTTTTCATTGTTGTATCACTAAACTTCCATAAATCTGCTGACTATGGCAAGGGTGGTGTCCTCTGGCCACCATAAACAGCCACCCACACTTCCTTCCTGGAAGCTGCACGGCTGGGGCAGTCACCCAGCAGCCCCATGACCCTCAAAGTTGGGAGGAAGGCTGGGCATTTACAGTTGTGTGGCCAAGTTACCTGGAGAGCCGTGGCCACGAAAGGCCAATAGTGGGCCCAGCAAGCACTCCACACTGAGCAGGGACAGAGGAGCTGGGTGGGGTGGGAGAGTCTTGGTCCCCGGCCGGCTGCAGACAACCACTGCACATGCTGCTTGCCCACTGGAGTGGGGGGCAGCTACCTTTTCTGGCCTGGCCAGCAGGCTAACCAAGAACTGTAATTATTTCTCTTCTGCTACAGCAGACCCCTTTCATGAGCTGCCTTCATCCTCAACTGCCCATCCATTGCAATCTGTGATTCCGACCCCCTTCATGAACCTTAATGGCTTTGCCCACTCCTGCTTCACTCATGAAGATGGGAAATGTAGAAAAAGAAACAGAGCGAATCAGAAGGGGTCTCCCTGGACATCTAGGCTGACCCTCGGCTCCAGTGGGTCCACTCATGAAATACAGATGACAACCGTGTTTAAGAAGTTGTTGAAGACACCATGTTGTGGTGAGCAGCAGGTTAGGTGTGCCCCTTCATGCTTTGGAGCACTGCCTGTGCCAAGTTATCAAGCAGCATTGTTTAAGGAAGTTCTAACAGCATAGCTCCTGATAAACAGGGAGATTTCTTAGAAAGTGGAATTGTTGACTTGCAAGATTTAAAGGCAAAAGTACTGCTAGAGGAAAAAATGGCCCAAGTAGCTCTGGTTTGCTCATATACACAGGAAATACCTTGGATGAATTGTGGCCACCTTTTTTCATATATCTCTGAAAATCTCTCTGCATCAAATACTGTATCCAAAAACACATATAAGCCTGTTGCCATCAGGAGCTATGCTAAAGAGATGTCTCTTAGACTCCAAACTGGCAATTATGGAAAAATGTCATCCCACAAATATCTCTTGTTGAAGCATAATCTAAGTAACAAGTTAGTCCAATTTATCAAACTGGAGTAAAATCAGAACTCACAAGCCCACAGTTTTGCTGCTACAGGAGTATCTACTAGCACCACGTTCCCACTGCTTACCTTGTTTGCATAGCCTTGCAGCAGGTGGAGCATGTACTGGTCAATTAAATACATTTCGGATGTAGGGACTGAGTCCACTTCTGGATTGAAGCCAGCCAGATTGCCCAACACAAACCGGAGAGTATTCCGAAGCTATTGCAACCAAAAAGTAATGTGCATTAAGCAAAATGGCACCTCATAACCTTGTGGTACAGGAGGGACTGTTTAATAAGCTTTTGCCATCAGATACAACCAAAAGAACATTGATTATGTTTCTAATTTTAAAAGAGTATGGAGAACACTGGAAGCACCTGTTGTCAATTTTCCACCTTAAGGTTTGTATGGCAATTCAGGGGGCACAGTTGTCTGGAAATCACTCCAAGTAGCCCTGCCTGGCCCCAAAGCAGTTTGGAATCACATCAAGAAACTGCTACATAACCTCCATGGAAGTTAACCTTTCTCCTCTTTGCTGCCCAAAGCTGCATCTTGCTGTGATGCACAGCAGAGGGATCCCCAAAAGGAAGGGGTGCTGAAAGGGAGTGAGTGCCCAGGGCCTAGGGCTGGAACAAGACTTTATGGCAAAAGCAAGCATGGCAAGCCTTAACACCTTCACGACTGGTCTTTGTGCCAATAGTTCCCCCATCCCTGCAAGCGGCAAAAGTTGCGGTATGACATCAAGAACAGAGTATCCTGTTAAGGAGGAAGAGAAATGTATGAGATTGCGGGTCCTAACGTCTCATCTACCTTAAGGGACCCACTGCAATCCCTGTGCTGAGATCATATCAAATCATGAGGTACAAGCTGTCAATTCCATAAATGTAGAAAAAACAACGGAATGCAGACATATCACAAAGGATTTTATTATCCTATGATACGTAGCCCAGAACTGTACCATGGTTCCCACAGAAAATTCCTCTTACAGCTAAAGCTTAAATGAGTGATTTCCTCGCTGTGCACTCAATCTGGAATGGCTCCAACTGAAGAACAGCACTATTGCTTCCTACCTTGTTGATGTCGTCTCGGGCAGAGTTAAGCACGGCAGGTCCAATCAGCACTTCCGTAAAGACATTCGACTCTGCCACCCACCAGCGCAGGATATCCGCACCATAGGGAGGTTCTGTGCTGTGGTCCTGCGCATTGACAAGATTGGGGTAGGAGGGACTTCCTTTAGTATTTGGTGCCTGCCCAGCCAAGAGCACGATGAGTATCTGTGACCTCACTCTACACAGCACACTTTGCCATGATGCTGAGAAGCTGACAACCAACACATTCCTTAAAGCAACATTTCCTTAACAGCACCAGAATGTTTGGTGAGCCATAGCAAAACAGCCAAACTCCCTCCAGACTCAGATCAGTGCTCCTCAGATATTGCAATGGAATATGGGGTGGAAATTTAGCAAGTATTTCATCAATTATGGCTGTTAACCATATGATTTGGTGATACCCAATTGTTATCTCTTTTTCGGAATGGATGCCAGCAAATGGATTAATTGGACTATACACACACACATATGCTATCTCTATATATTTATATAAAATATATAACTATACAGTTATACATATAACTATCTATCTATAACTATATGGATATTTATTTGGATATTTGGTTTGATTTTGTTGAAATTTATGTGTAATTCTTAGGAAACCATATATACACATTTCATACATATGCACTGAAACACTATATTCCAATTTATCAGGGTACAGTTGGTTGTTGGAATCTCTCTCTCTCTCTCTCTCTCTCTCTCTCTCTCTCTCTCTCTCTCTCAGGAGTGAATTCCCTATTTCTGGAAGCTTCATTTAGCTGCCTTCTGCTCTAAGACACCACTGCCACCTACTGTCTGGATGCTACTATAAACAAGCAGAAATACTACAGAAAATAGGAAGAAATATTAGAACCATATCATGTCCCAGCCATTTCCTTGCCTGCTGGTGATGATGCAAGTTCCAATCCAGCAATAGCTGGGGATTCAAAACTGGTGAAGGTCCTATAAATGAAGGACTGTCTTCACATTCATTAAAATCAGAATCACAAAGAGTTCAGTCAACATGCACAGGATTAAGCAAAGATGCAAAGAACTCAGTGCAAAAATATTTTTGCATAATAGCTGGAAAGTTGTCTAGGATATCCAGTCCTGTATCCCAGTTCAAAGATGTCCCCTCTCCTTGTCCACCTTGTCACACAGTTATGGTGTCCAGGAGCTGAATGAGTTGTAGCCCTTTATTCCTTCAGGGTGACTCCTCCATCCACATGCCTGCATGGCAGCAAAGTTATTGGCGGAAGAGAGTGAATTCTTGAACTGTTGATGGCTGCTCTATGAGAGCCTGAGATATGGCCTTCATGATGAACACAACTAATATTATTAGAACCATAAAGGGATGATCAGTAAATCATGTCTTTAAAGAAAAAGTAACTCACTCTCTTTCACAAAGGAATGATAAAGGTTCAGAATTCAGTATAATCTTATTTTTGTTAGGAGAAATTTAACTGCTATGACTTTGATTAAAACTTTGTTATTATTTGTATGTATGAATCCATGTCAGATGATGTATTTTCCTTTGTTTATCTACTGGGAGAGCTCTCCGCGCTGGCAAAAGAATAATGAACTAAATAATAAAATTCAGGATACAACAAATCTGGCCAGAGTAGCTGAAGGAAAGCTGGACAGAGAACAGAGATACAAAGGCATAAACGCGCAGATGATCCAGTTGAACAAAAGTGACAGGCTGATCCCAAATGGCGCATGGGAGACCACTCCCATGCCCACAGGGCAGGCACTGACAGGCAAGGAAAGCAGCAATAAAAGCACTCCATGTTTCCATGGCTGCTTTCAGATACATAGGGAGGCTCAGCTGAAAAACAGACACACTCTGGACAGCTTTACTATTAAGGACATTAAAAATCCGTCCTTTCAAACAACCAGAGCTACTTTGAGGATTGTTTTTTTAGATTTGGGAAGAAAATGGTGTAATTACTCACACTGCCTCCATTGATGACTACATCTGGGTCAACCACGTTGCCAATGGATTTAGACATCTTTTCTCCCTTTTCACCAAGAGTGAAGCCATGAACCATGAGAGCCCTGGAATGAAGACCCCGCTCACTGAGTAAATGTTTCCTTTGTGCATCAATAAATGCATGTGATAATTGTGTATTGCTCTAGTTGCCCAAACAAACGGTTTCCCGCTATAGTTAGTTCCAGAACCGCCAACTCACCGAAACGGAGCCTTTTTTTGCACTGCCACGCTAGTCAGGAGAGAAGACTGAAACCAGCCTCCCAGCTGGTCTTTTCCTTCCAAGTATAAATCGGCCCTTTCACCTGCATCTAAACACACAAGGAAAGCAGGAGCTTTAAAACAATTTTGCTGCTTAAATAGTGAACTATATAAAAATGTAACCTATATGTTAGATGTATGGCAAAATGTACACAAATACCTTTTTAAGAAGGAAAGAAGGAAAGCACTAAACACTTTTCAGAGATCGTGACGTGCAATTTTAAAAGGATTGAACAATAACTGAAGATACCAGGCACTGTAAAACAAACAACCCTCTTGCCAGTAAACAAACAAGGGTGCTCTTATTCCAGTTGTCAGCTTCAATATGGCCCCAGGACACGAGTGCATCTATTTGTAGTAGAGAAGGCAGCATTTTGGCAGGCGCAATTCTCAACCTCCCTGAAGTCGGGTGGAAGGCATCCTTCATTTAAGATGTCATCCTATGCATGTTTAGAGCAAAAAGAATGAAAGGCCTACAATTCTCAAACTGCCCTCAGCCAGCCAAGCTGGAGCAGGCAGGGTATCTAGGAACTTCTTGCTATCCATACATGTGTAGTATGGCTTTCTAAGTGGATTTATATCTGCTTTTCAACTAGCACCTTCCAAACAGCTTATAATATTTGCAAAATATGATGCACCAAGAACCAGAAGCTTTTTGTGGCCAAAGCTCAACGTGAGGACATTCTCCTTTCAACCAAACTACCACAGGGTCATGCCCCAGATTCAGTCTACCAGCTATAACTCTTGTGAAGATGATGGGGTGGGGGGGATAAAATTTGCTCAAATTTGCTCAAGTCAACATTTCAAGTTTTCACAACTGTATTTGCAATCCCCCTTTTTACAGACTTCCACTATCTGTTCAACTTTCAGGAAGTTGTACTATTTAGGCCTGGCTGCAACAAGTGCAAGGTGACATTGGTCCCAGAGAGCGATTTACTACACTGCATACTGAAATGCCCTTCCTGACCAAGTGGGTACCACACACACACGGACAAAGCCAGCCCCGTCTGCTTTATTGGCAGGGTGTTGCCCTGGCCGTGTAGCCTTGCAGTCACTGCCCTGGGCTCCGCGTATCTGGCAGCCCAGCCACAGCACGCACAGGAAACAGCTGCAAACCATGGCATCTGGGCTGATCATAAGCTGTCCATTTTGTAAATCAATTCTTCTTGTGAATTTCAAGAAAACAAAACAAAGGAAAGGAAGAAATCATAAAAAGGGGAACGCCCTTCCATTTGACAAAGCCTTCCACTATTAAGGTGGAATCCTACACAGGCTGACTTGCAGTAAGCCCTGCTGAATAAAATAAGTCTTACTTCTGAGTGCACATGCACAGAATTGTGGGGAAAGAGTGGCCTGTCTGTGCGCATGCAGCGGCAGGTGGGTGGAGCAGGCCTTTTGTGGCCAAAGAGCGCCAAGCCATGGGTCTCTCAAATCCCTGTGAGAGTCGACGGAGGAAAGGTAGAGGGGATGCAGCTTAGAAAATATGTTCGTAAGATAGGCGAAATAGCTTCCGTGAAGAAAAAAGCACGTGTAGACATGTGCAGCTGTGCGCCGTGGGTCCTCAAACTGTGGCCCGTGGACTGCATCTGGCCCGCCATGCCCATTTATCCAGTCTGCCTCAGAGGTTTTGGACTCGCTCGGAGAAAGGATCTCCGAGCAAGCAAGCCACCGCCGCCCCCCGCCTCGCCGCACACCGACCACCCCTGCCCCCTCGCCAGCCCGTGCCCACAGCCGGTGCCTTTCAATGACCCCCCTGCTGAAAATGTTTGAGGACCCTTGCTGTACGCCAACAGTCATTGATTAAGAACTACGACGGACTAGAAATCACAAACTGAATTCCAATTCAAATTAAGGTTTGGGGCTAAAAGACTGGCCCATTGCAGCCTAAAGCTCTTCTCTCCAGTAATGAAGCCTTTTAAGATTTTAGAATGGACCGTCTGTCTTGTTAGCTACACATGTGTATTACACTTTTTCATTATTCTGTCCAAAGAAAGATTCGGTTTCTGCTCAAATACCTTCTGACTAGTGGTGGGTAAGGTTAAGATACTGGATCAAGTCTATGCAAAATCAGTAATGAACAATTCATTTTTGTTTGCACACTCATTCTGATGTTGATATTACCACCTCTTCCCACAGTCTTTTTGCAGTTTACAACATTTCACAGGCTTGGAAAAAAATAGATAGGAGACTCTGATTGGGGTTGTTATTATAGGAAGAGGGCAAAGGTCTTTATGATCCTTTTTCGTTTTGAGTGCCGAAATTCATATCTTTGATAATAAGTGACTTTAACCTGTAGATTAAACGAGTGTACTTTAATGGCAAATACAATTATCCAGGGCTCTTCCTTTAAATACACTGTCAGCACAAAAGCTCAAACAAGATAGGCTTGTTATAAAACAATCATATTCATTTAGTTAAACATTAGTGCAACAAGTCTGTGGGGAATTGCATGCCCCACATTATAACTGGAAAATCTGAGAGCTCACCCCAGGAAGGTGAGTGAACAGTTCAGGTGCTACCAGGATTCCCCACAAGTCACCTCTTTCTGTGTGGCTTAAACATGCAGGCAGAGCTGAGAACATGCTGTTCTGCTACATACAGAACACTCAGGCTGGCATTACAGCTGAGTGGGTCAGCAGGAAGGTGGACAAAGAGCTGCAGGCTGAAGTCACAACTAGGCCAACATTCTGCCAAAGAGCGGGGCGGGTTTCAACCAGCCATCCCCACTTTTACATTCCATTCATGCACAAAACCCCATTTCTTCTGTCAACAACAAGAACAAACTAATCTCCAGATTTTGCAAAAGGTCCAGTTAGAGAGTTGTCTTTATGAGCACAAAGAAATTGTATAGATTATGTGTCTTCGTCCAAATTTAGAAGTGCTCCACACCTATAAAAAACGCAGAGAGCTGAGCGGAGTAGTACAACAAAGGTACAGATGGCCTAGGTCCCCATGTACCCCATCCATCCTTCCACAGAGGAACACATCCCTTCCTCTATCCCCTTTCTCCAGCCACTGAAATTTGGGTGGTTTTCTGGCTTTTGTGCAATTTTCCCCATTCTAAAAGGTTGGCATCCTTCTTCTAAGACTGATTTTCTAGCAATAAGAGCTTTAAGCTACAACATCCTGGTATTATTTGTAGCTTTGACCCTGCCCATGTGCCTCTGGCCTAGAACCCTTTTGCCTTTGGCCGTGCCCAGCCCTGGAATGCAGGCTCCTAGAGCTTATCAGAAATGGAATTGAGCCACCAGAAGGAAAGAGGTTCTGCACCCATGCATTCCAGGTAGAGGGATACTGCAACTGTCCCCACTGAGCAGGAGCTGGACAGGACATCCAATTGTTAGTCGAACCAGGGCAACCTCTTGCTTGCAGCTTCACAGAATGCTTTTGATTAAAATCTAAAGTACTGGTTTGAACCCAAGGGATTTATTATTTTTCTTGTTCTCTCCTCAACTCTTGACATTGAGGCAGAAGTTTAGAGTCAAGTAACAATCGAAATCTTTATGTTTCATCTGGGAAGGCCAGTTCATTGTCTTCAGTTTCAGATAAGTCTCTGTAGAAATATGAATTATTTTAAAATGGAAGTATAGGAAGCTGGCGGAGAAGTAGTATGTAGCTGACACAGTATGTTGCAGGTAACATCTCACCTCAACAGGAGGAGAGAACTAGATGAGTTACAGGCCATCTTGAATGTGTCCTCAAACAAAGGTGAGAGGAAAGCACGGAAAACTGCACATACACAAAGATGTACTACCACCAGAGCTAGTGGTTTCTGTTACGAATCGCTCTGCAGTGGTTGCTGTCAGTAACAAGCCCAAGGTAATTTCTGTCCCACCTTCCCAGCTGAACCTTCCAGCACAAACCTGGTGCTGTTGGTCCCAAGTGTTCAAAGTCCATGTAGGTGAGCAGAAACTGTAAATATTTATTTACTATTTAAATATCCATAAATCTTCAATATGCATTCATCCATAAAACATGGCCAAATAGGCTGCCATACAGAGCCAGATCTTTACTTCATCAAGCTTCCATAACTACACTAGCTGGCAGCAAAAGCTCTTTGGGACCCAAATGGGAGTCTTCCTAAGGCCAAGGTGGAGATTCCAGGGGTCTTCAGACCACTGAGCTACAGCCCTTTCCAGGACAGCTGAACATACTTCTAATTTTGTGAACATCAAATACAGCATGAGGTATGATATACAGTATATCACAGAAGTGAGTACACCCCTCACATTTTGTAAATATTTTATTGTATCTTTTCATGTGACAACACTGAAGAAATGACACTTTGCTACAATGTAAAGTAGTGCATATACAGTTTGTATAACAGTGTAAATTTGCTTTCCACTCAAAATAACGCAACACACAGCCATTAATGTCTAAACCACTGGCAACAAAAGTGAGTACACCCCCAAGTGAAACTGTCCAAATTGGGCATTATTAGCCATTTTCCCTCCCCGGTGTCATGTGACTCGTTAGTATTACAAGGTCTCAGGTGTGAATGGGGAGCAGGTGTGTTAAATTTGGTGTTATCGCTCTCACTCTCTCATACTGGTCACTGGAAGTTCAACATGGCACCTCATGGCAAAGAACTCTCTGAGGATCTGAAAAAAAGAACTGTTGCTCTACCTAAAGATGACCTAGGCTATAAGAAGATTGCCAAGACCCCGAAAATGAGCTGCAGCACGGTGGCCAAGACCATACAGCGGTTTAACAGGACAGGTTCCACTCAGAACAGGCCTCGCCATGGTCGACCAAAGAAGTTGAGTGCACATGCTCAGCATCATATCCAGAGGCTGGCTTTGGAAAATAGACGTATGAGTGCTGCCAGCATTGCTGCACAGGTTGAAGGGGTGGTGGGTCAGCCTGTCAGTGCTCAGACCATACGCCGCACACTGCATCAAATTGGTCTGCAGGGCTGTTGTCCCAGAAGGAAGCCTCTTCTAAAGATGATGCACAAGAAAGCCCGCAAACAGTTTGCTGAAGACAAGCAGACTAAGGACATGGATTAGTGGAACCATGTCCTGTGGTCTGATGAGACCAAGATAAACTCATTTGGTTCAGATGGTGTCAAGCGTGTGTGGCAACAACCAGGTGAGGAGTACAAAGACAAGTGTGTCTTGCCTACAATCAAGCACGGTGGTGGGAGTGTCATGGTCTGGGGTTGCATGAATGCTGCAGGCACTGGGGAGCTACAGTTCATTGAGGGAACCATGCATGCCAACCTGTACTGTGACATACTGAAGCAGAGCATGATCCCCTCCCTTCGGAGACTGGGCTGCAGGGCAGTATTCCAACATGATAATGACCCCAAACACACCTCCAAGACGACCACTGCCTTGCTAAAGAAGCTGAGGATAAAGGTGATGGACTGGCCAAGCATGTCTCCAGACCTAAACCCTATAGAGCATCTGTGGGGCATCCTGAAACAGAAGGTGGAGGAGCGCAAGGTCTCTAACATCCACCAGCTCCGTGATGTCATCATGGAGGAGTGGAAGAGGACTCCAGTGGCAACCTGTGAAGCTCTGGTGAACTCCATGCCCAAGAGGGTTAAGGCAGTGCTGGAAAATATTGGTGTCCACACAAAATATTGACACTTTGGGCCCAATTTGGACAGTTTCACTTAGGGGTGTACTCACTTTTGTTGTTGTTGCCAGCGGTTTAGACATTGATGGCTGTGTGCTGAGTTATTTTGAGGGGACAGAAAATTTACACTGTTATACAAGTTGTATACTCACTACTTTACATTGTAGCAAAGTGTCATTTCTTCAGTGTTGTCACATGAAAAATATAATAAAATATTTACAAAATGTGAGGGGTGTACTCACTTCTGTGATATACTGTATACTAAGTAGCTTAAATAGCAAGAGGGAGATGAATGTGGCTTTAAGTTATAGTAACCATTCATAGATTCTTATCCTTCACAGATAAAACAATAACAAACATTTAACCCTAAAGATATAGCAGGCATAGAAACAAGAATAAAAGGTGTATCTACTGCATGCACACAAAGTTTTTGTTTTCAAATTCTGCTCTTTTCCATCATTGAGCCCAGTTTGTAAGTGGCAAAACAGGGAGCCAGGCAAGCACAAGTTATGCTAAAGCTACTTCTTAGCTCACTGCATGGCTTTTGCAACCAGGAAAGAAGGCAGTTCTCTGCAACCTCCAACAAGGTGGTGAAAATCAACAACTCAGACCCCCTGGGAAGCAGAGGACTTCACAAAGCAGGGTTGGCAGCTGCCACATGGTCTGGGACTACATACAACAATGGTCTCCTCCTTATGGCCACACACATCACATGGTTGAACATGGAAAAAGCACATGGCTTCTGGTCATCCAGATTGACCCAAAGCATGACAATAAACCACCAACATACCACGTAGAAGATATAATTTCATCTCTCTTTCAGTTTCTCTAAAAATGCTGTTAAGGATTTTACTGCAGCAAATAAGCTGGGCAAAATTCACTATCATTTAACTGAGTGGTTTCAAGACAAAGTGCAAAGACCTCTTAGATAAACTGTTTGCTGGTGATACTATTGCTTCCTTGGGTTGCTAGGATTTTTTTTTTTTAAAAAGCACCTGGTCCAATGTGTTTTATAGTCCACCAAGATTGCTATCAGACATTTGTGTACACCTGGTTTAAAGTTCAAAAGCACTTGCTGCCCTGAAGTAGGCTGAGATTCGAACAGCACCCCAGGTTGTGCTGGGGTATGCACAGGTGAGGACTGCTCTCTCTTGCTTCCACGCCATAGCGTTTAAATTGATTTTGCAAATACTCAGAATCTGTTTTGTACAAGATAAACCATGGAGACACAGTGCACCCACTGATTCCTTCACAAAGATGCTGGCAAAGCCACTGTTTGCAAACCACTGATCTGCACATAAACACAAAAAGGAAAGGAAAAACTCAGCTCTGTTGCTTGGTGCAAGAGAAATATTCTAGAGCACACAAAACTTAGCTCTGCACTTAGTACATGAAATGGGATAACATCGAAACAATTAGAACTTCTAAGCTTTCCAGGCTCTCAATAAATGTTTAACATTTGTTGTGTTACACACAAGTTCACAGACACATAATGCAAGCTTGAACTCACATCTCTTGGGACCATGATGAGGCGCATCCCTAGCAGTGCCTGGAGCTCCCTGCACAATCTGAGACACTGCTGAATTGTAAATTAATTCCTTACCTTCCAAAACATGAGCCCAGGATGTTCCACTGTCAAACCAGATATCCAAGACATCCTGCCCTTGCATGTAATCATGGACATCATGCTTACCAGCCTGATTCAGAAATACATAAAAAAGCAATCATGAACTAGGAGGTCAGACTGGGATTCTGCAACACAGACAGCCACATTTTGATTCCATTTAAACACAGAGGGCTAGTTACAATATGACTTTTGTCTCTCACTGCGGATTGCTTGTATGCCTCCTCCAGAGGGGTCCCCATGTTTTTGGTGCTGCAACTAAGAGTTCTGCAGCATGTCATCAGATCATCTGCGGCATGTATGACCGGCCAGTTGAGGACATCACGGTGAAGTGGACATTTAAGCCATAAGAAATGTAGGCTTCAATTCAGCCTTTAAAGTGCTAAAGGACTGTTGCTTGGTTCTACATGTACACTGCAGCACGGTTTCCTTCACAGAGCTAGTTTTTAGTGCCGCATCCTAGGTGAAGTGCCTCACTTAGTGCCTCACTCTGGGTGAATTCAACCCACCTTGATCACTTAGTCCAGCCCACCTCTAGAAATGGGGTCAGGCAATCCTCAGCCTGATTGCCTTCAGCCGCCTGGAGCCTAACCACTTCCACTTCCGACTGCAGACCAGGCCCTCAGGGAAGGACTCCCACTGGTCCTGGATTACCTGTGCCAAAGCTTCACTGGAAAGGAGCTGCTCAGTAGGGAGGGTCCACCAAGCATCGCTGCCGTGCTGCTCCACAAGCTTAATAACATGTTCGATGCTTTTTCTGCGGGGAAAAAGTAAACCAGTGACAGTCAGTCAGTATGACTACTGCTTTTCCAGGCTTTCCCAAGCAAGCTCCTTCTGGATGTTTTGGACTACAACTCCCAGCATTCCTTTCCATTGGCCATGCCAACTAGTGCTGAGGGGAAGCCAGTTTGGCTCTGCTGGAGTGGGACTTGGGAAATTTGGCCATGAAGTTCACTTGGCCATGAAGTTCACTGTGTGACTTTGCACTAATCACTGACTCTCAGGCTAACCTGCCTCACAGGGTTGTACAGGGTTTTTTGCCACTGTAGAAACTAGATGTTACGATTGAAATATTAACGCAAAATATTCTTGAGAGGATACATACCTCCATTAAATCTACCCTAAGTAATGACCTGGTAATATAAAGTATGTAAAATTATCCAGCAATTTTTAAAGGAAATCAACCAACTTATCAAGTAAATGGGAGGGGGGCATCATTCTCAAACTTTGCATAACTAATAATAATTTTGCGGCAACAGTTCTACAAAATGTTTTGAGATGTAAGGAATAAATATAACTTAAAATCTTTCCCAAATCTGTATGCCTCTGCTTACTCTTTCTTGCAGGTCACTCTTATGGCACTGGCTAAAAGTATATGAATACCAAAGTATGCTTCCTGCTTTCATCTGTACAGTACATATCTTGAAAAGACTAAGGCAAAAGTTCTCTCTACAGTGTACATTCAACACCTTCCTCAAATAACTACTTATCACTTTACAAACGACAAGCTTCAGTTTGAGAACCATAATTCAAAACGCAAGCAAGAGAAGTCCTGTTGTAAAACCTTGCTCTGCAGTCATACGCTGTATCAAATGGGCCTTGTATTACGTGTCCTTCTCTAGCATGAAAATCCACAAGGCAATTCACGCTACAATGACGCCAACCAATCATTCTGAACCCTGATATTGATTACGCCAAATGCTTATTTATTGGGAAATTAAACTGCACTGAGTTGAGTTCCACCCAAGGAAAGAAACAGTTGCTGGTGGCTGCTCTTCTTTCTTTTGTACAGGGAGTACCAGGTAACTTTGCTTTTACATAATGTGTACTTTAGTTTTTGTGTTATTTAAGCAGAAGAACAGTATAAATGTATTAAGACATTTTGGCTCACAAGAACGATCTATCCATGTTGAACGATTAAACTATCCAAGTTGGCTAAGATTTTTTTTAACTGATTAAGAATAACCTGCTACTAGGAAAAAATCAGAAAGACAGAGCCTTTAACTCATAGGGAGTGATCTTTGAAAAGTTAACCGGAGTACTAAGAAAGAAGCTGATTTAACAAAGGGGATTAATACAGTTTAAATCAGTTTAGCCAATTACCTGAGATTGTGAATCAGAAAGCATTTCTCTTATTTTAATAAAATGATTATCTACTTTAAACACTTAAATGCAAGCAACAAATATATCTACCAGTTTTTGGTTTTGTTCTAACATATTATTTTTGCTTTTCTAAATTCTCTCAAGGAATTTTCCAGTCTGTATTTCATAACTTTTAAAGTAGTTTAGACTATTGCTACTTTTCTTAGTGGGAAATATTTACTCCCAGTACTTGCTGTTGTAGGTGAAGATTATTCATTTGCTTATAACTTTACAAGATGTAACTTCTTAACAGTCAGTAACTGAGTTACAAAGTTATAATGATTTCATCAGTAAACATCTATTAATGTATTGTAACAAGCTGAACACTTTTTTAACAGAAGTTTTTGTGCCCTTAATCTTAATATGAAATAAAATGGTTTTCTGGTGAGGTTTATTCATGTGCAAGTGCAATTTTGAACATTTCTGAAGTGTCCTTGATAGACTACCACTATTTTTTGCAGCGTATTTCAGCTGTATACTATGTGTAGAATGCCACTTATACACCAAATCCCAGGGATGCATCAAGTTGGATATGGATGCAAGGCAGGGGTATGGGGACAGAAATGATAAACTTGATTTTCAAGTTTCAGTGGTATACCGGAATGATTGACTAAAACAAGCCTTGGTGAATGCTTTATGGGTCATACAAGACATCCCAATTTTACCTCATTTAACTTGCAGGGCAAAATGTCAAGATATTTAATTTAAATCTGAGGCACTAAGAACATTTATGGGAAAGGTGTTTGTCAGAAAAGAAGCACTTCAAATGAACAGTGTTGTCAAGTGTAACAGCAACTCCATGTGGATTACACATATTTCCAGTGGAGATGCTGTTACTTTTGAAGGCTGTTAACCAATTGTGAAGTGGATATTGGCTGAAGATCATCTTCACAACACTGTGAAGTCTGCTGGGAAGAATGACAAGATTTTTAACTCTGGCTACTCATGATCTACAGTGCAGCAGCTCTATTGAAGATACTGGTATTTTCTTTCCAATTTTGTATCATAAATGTCAGTCTTATATAATTTTGCATTAAGTCTAGCTATCCATGTCAAGCACCTTGGGTTAAGCAGAAAATGCTGTGAAGATGTAAAGAACTGATCAATGTTTCTCTTCAAAAGTGAGGTTCAGGGTAATGACCTATGATTTGACAGACTGTGTGTCTATGTCTGCCTGTCATTTCTGTAGGCCAAAACCCTCCATGCCTTCAATACTCAGCAAGGAATGTTTAACACACTTTGTGGGATATGCATGTAAAGTAAATGACTGTATTATACATTTAGGAAAAAATTCCATTAAAAACTTCATAAAGCTTTTCTTGATTGAACTTTAATTTGGTCATGCTTAAAAATAGAATTATAACTTAGAGAGTCCAAACAGGACTAGTAATGCAGAGTAGTAATGCAGAGTATAGGTTTATTAAATAAACAATTTAGTTTGTAATTCCAAAGAAGACAAGACTGACTTGAAATGCTTATCTGAAACTGCACTTAGTCTACACATGCAACAGGTAATACTGAAAATTTACACATTTGATTCTGTTCTTGGGCTTTTAAAAGATCAGCAAAACCAGTGGAATTTTCCCACAACATTCTTCAAAGTTCTCTCATGTCTACTCTAAATGGAATAACAGAGTAGCTTTAATAGTGGCATATGTACATTATACATGAGTGGAGGAAACATCAAGTAATACTGAGTTGCTGCTTAGACAACTACCTACACTGTTACTTTGGATCTAGCACATACGCTTTTGTCCACACACTCCCACAGAACCGTTCCACTCAGAATGTGGAGCGGCGGTGGAACTGATCTTAGCTCTTCGACATTCCCCAGCCTTCCAGAGAAATGCTCAGGAGGCAGGACAGACTATCGAGGGAGAATGACATTTGCCAACGTTGCCCTCGCCTATTCTGAAATAGCCCTTTAGCGCATTTTCCTTTCTAGCATGTATGGCTGCAAAAATGTCCAAGAATCTGATTCAGAACTCTGAATGGTTCAATTTGCTTTCAGCCCTATATGTGTGAAAGAAGAGACCTTATGATCGAAGGAGAGTTTGATTCAGTGAATGAAGTCCATAAACATTTACTTCCTGGAATATATAAGTCCTAAGTAGATGACTGCAGGTACCATAAAAAAGCAAACAGAGTTAAAGATTATTTAGAACATGCAACGGCCATCATTTCTGGCACACGTCTTTTGCATCAACCTTTTTTTTTTTAACTGAAGACAGAGAGGATTGTAGGTTGGGAACCTAACACCCAGTTACGATCCACTATACACATGCCCCCATTTACCTGCTATTACTAGTAATAAGCCGACTGGATGGGCAAGTTTAGGAACATGGTCAGGTTCACCTTACCTAGGGTAAGTGCATGTAAGTCAAATCCTTGTAGAGGGGGCGGTGAAATGGGCATGTGAGAGAGCACGGAAGCAGAAAAGGCAAGTGTGGTAATCCATTCCTAAAACTTTATTCCTGGTTCCAAAGTTCTAGTCAAGCTGGGTCCATCAAGATCTGCTTGTTCCATCAAGGACTCCTATGAAGCAGGAGATTCATCTGCATTCCACTGACTTAAGATGTTAACGTATAGTATTTTAATTGATTTATTGTGAGCCGCCCCGAGGCTTCGGCGAATGGGGCGGCATAGAAATGTTCTAAATGAATGAATGAATGAATGAATGAATGAATGATGTTGTAAAGCAGAGGCAGAATGAGGTCAGCTTTGTGTGGTCTACGCTTTATGCTACTTGATTCACCAGTGTATTTTTAAGACCTTCAGAGCAAGAGTGCATACTCAGGATGCCTTTAACAGTCAAGATGACAATCCAACTTAACAGGTCCTGAGCATGTATTCCTGCATGAGAAGGTAAAAAATACCTTGTTGATTAGGCCAAGAAACACATAATCCAGCATTCTTGGCAAGAATCCTAGCAACCAGCAAGCAGTAGGTATTTCACCGGAAATTGATCCACCACCAGACTATGGTCAACCTCCTGCCCACTTCTGTGCTAAAAAAACACTTTATCTACTGTAGAATGTTTGCACAGGGAGTAGTTTAGGCCGTCATCCAACGACAAATAGTAAGGTGTGTCTAAAATCAGAACACTGACAGTTTACACAAGCAAATCGGCAAGACTAAACCTCCACAAAAGCATGTCATGTTCTAATGCTGAGAATTACCTCAAGCCCCTTTGACAGTTCAGCGACTGATTCTCTAGTTGTTGGGTCACCATACTGCATAACACACTTGGAAACATGACCCTGGGAGGCCTGAACCCCCACCTCTTCTTTCAGCAAGGAACTATTCGCTCCATTCATTTTCTTTTGCACTAAGTCAACTAAGTCAGGCTTATCAAGCACAGTCAGGCGAGAGCAGCTTCTTCCCTGTCCTGTGAGCAGGTACGTTCCTTCCTGCTACCCTTCCTCAGAGGAAGTCAGGCAGCACAGGTGGGGACGGGGTTACACCGGAGCAATCCTCTAACAAGATCTCAACAGGGATGTATAACCTTTGGAGCCCCCAAGGGCCACATGTGAACCTGCTCAGGGGTCAGGGCTGTGGATGCCGTGCATATACATATGTACCTATATGAACACTCTTTCCAGATACTTTGTACAAGGATTTTGGAGAAATGGGGTGGAGAGTCTTCTCTCCATTCCCTCCCCAGAGATTCTGATACAGATCACAGTTTCCTCACGCTAACACCACCAAAAAGTGAACAATTTGTTCTGTGGATTTCTGGAGGAGGGACTGAAGAGAACACAGGTGGGGAATTCAAACATATGTTTGCAGGAATCAGGGCTCCCAGAGGAGAACAGTCAAGGTCTTGGGAGACTACATATATTTACTGGGCTGCAGATTGTGCAGTTCACAAATGCTGGGAGTTGTAGGACTATTTTCCAGTCTAGACTTGTCTTTATTGAGTAAGTGTAATCAGGCTTTGCACATATGTAATGAAAAACGGGAGCTTCTAGGGAGAACTATTTGGAATAAAATATCTCACAAACCACCCTGTCTCTAAAAAGTTGCTTGAGGGTTCCTCTCTTCTAGGCACTTCTGACACCAGAACAAGCATAAGGCAGCACCTTCATTTTCCCAGCTATTTCTCCTTTAATCAGTTCACCTAGCCACATGCATTCTAATACATATGGCTCAATTTAGAAGTCTCCATTTTATTTCAATACTGTGAAACAGTAACTGGCCGTCATAGGGACCCTTTGCTATTTATGGATTTTACTCCACGTTTCTGAAGCTCCACTGAAGCCATGAACCAAATTTGGACAATCATTTGTAAAGGGCAGACATACACGGACCCACAGTTTGGTATTCGCATACAACAGGAATGTACATTTCAGATCATTTTGAGGGCCACTTTTATAGATTTACAAATTCTAGCATTAAAAGTAGGAAAGCATTTAGTTCCATTTGAATTGTGTTTTCTTTTTAACCCACTCCCTGTAGTCTGACAGTGGGGATTCTTGTCTAACCGACTGATTTAGCTTGATTAATTAAATTTATAGCCTGCTCTTTTTCCTGCAAGGAACCCATGGAAGGTCTTCCTCTCCATTTTATCCTCACAAACTCTGTGAGATAGGTTAGAATGAGAGTCAATAACTGGTCTAGAATTACCCAGCAAATAATCATCATGGTCAAATGAGGATTAGAAACCACATCTCCCAAGTTCCAGTCCAACATTAACCACTATGCCACACTGGCACTCATGGCACAAATAGGGGAAAATTTGAAACCCTTTCTCTCCTGTCATCTCTCCATTTCTGCTGCTAGTTCTCTCCCACCCCCTATCCTAATTAATTCAATTTCATCCCTTTTGCTCCAGTTTTGTACAGTGGTACGTTGGCTCACAAATGCCTTGGTTCATGACCAAATCTGGTCACAAATAAAAATTTTATGAAAATTTTGATGTGGGTTGTGAACTCTGCATTGGGTGGCGGCCAAGATCACAGCCATCTCCCCCCCTCCCCCCGAGTGAGAAGATGGCCACGATCGCAGTTGCGTTCGTGCAGGGAAGATGTGCATGATCACAGGCGCACTCCTGCAGGAAAGACAGGTGCAATCTCAGCCATTCCCCCCCCCTCCCCAAGTGGGGAGATGGCCACAATCATGCTGGGGGCGGGGGGGGGGAGATGGCCGAGATCGTGCCCATCTCTCCCGACCCCAGCATGCCCCATTCACGCCCGTCTCTCCATCCCCCAGTGTGCCCCATTCGCACCCGTTTCCCCCTCCCCCAGTGCACCCGCAATCGTGCCTGTCTTTCCCCTGCCCAGCACGCTGGGATGACGGGCGCAAGCAGGGATGACAGGCGCATGCAGGGAAGACAGGTGCGATCTCGGGCGGCTGGGGGTGGGCGGGGAGATGGCCGCGATCTTTGTTGTTCTTTGTCACTTTGCTTCACATTTTTCTGGTTTAAAAAAATGCTTACAGAACGGATTAGCCTTATTTACACTGAACCTTATGGGGAAATTTAACTTGGCTCATGACCAATTTGGGTCACGACCAGAGTCCTGGAATGGATTAAGTTCGTGAGCCAAGGTACCGCTGTATTTTGTACATAGACTTTCTCCCGCTACTTCCCTTTTTTGAATTAGACAGCCACAGCACACCTGCCTTTCCCTGTCCTAGCCAATATATCATGCAAAAGAAGGCTTTGATACAGGTGGACTACACAGCGTGGCTCTGTGGCAAAAGACATCAAGAACTGGCATCAGCTCCACCAAACTCTTCTGAATTCAGGAAAGGAAAAAGCAATGCAGATGAAATGAAGCAAAGTTACTCAAATCCCCACTTTCACTTTCAATGGACTTGAGCAGGCTTTCATTACTCCCAGAAAGAAAGCCCCACAAACAATGGGTGAAATCCAACAGAACCAACCCTTGTTCTTTCCTTGACACTTTGCTGATTCCCTTCTGCAGGTGGTGCATACTGCCAATTCTGTTGCGCAAGAGGAATCATCCTAACAGAAGGCAGATTTAGTGCTTCCTAGGGAAAGCTCCAGAAATGCCTGTTTCTGGAAGGAGGTAGGTGAGCATAGCTGCCTTGTGTGCACTCTGCTGACCTGCGTCCTCCCAGAAATGAATGTTTCTGCTCATTTTGGGTTGCCCTGGAAACACTACATTGCCACTGGACAAATGGTGTGAGCCATCTGCAAAATGGGGTAAAAATATTGGTGGGGGCGTAAGCAACCCATGAGATTCTGCCCAACAATTATTTGGATTTCTCAAGGGGCTGCTGAGAAATAGGAAACTGGCTGTAATTATCCCATAGGCCTTATGTCATGCAGTCTGGGCAGGCAGAGTGCGTTTATGTCAAATCTATCTGCATAAGGGTGGTTTCCCCAGAAGAATCCAGAGTGATAAAAGATGGCATATGGAGAGGAGGGAATCATTCTCCAGTGAGGGACATTATACTGCTAATTCCATGCTTTTTTGCTTTTTATTATTAGTGGAATGGAGCTGTAAATGCAAATACAACAGCAGAGGACACTGGAAGGTTAGGTGCCCTGAGTTTACAAGCCTGGATTTAAGTTGTAAGGAGAAATATAAAATAGGTTTTGAAAGTGAAAAAGTGCTTCAACTAGCTTTTATCCTACCATTTTAAGAAAATACGATGGACTCTTGCTACTCATACTTGATGTAAAAGGCAGTCTGTCTATATCACAATGGGATTATGGTGTAGTGCACTTTTCTCTCCCGGGCTGCTGAGAGGGGCAAAGCCAGAGTCTCCCTGACATGCTGGAACCACACTGTCTTAGCTGCTGAGCAGTCAGTCCTCATCAGCTGCTGCTATAAAACAGAGATGCAAGGACAGCACAAAATGAAATCCCAACCAGGAATACTGCAGGCTGCCCCATCCTTTATGAGACCATTTGACCAGCTAGCCCATTACTGTTGACACGGACTGGCAGGAGCAGCTCTCTAAAATTTCAGGCAGGAGGTTTTCCTTGCCTACCTGAAGACTGAACTTGCAGCCTTTGACAACAAAGCAGGTGCTGTGCTACTGAGTCATGGCTTCTTCCCGCTCTCCTGGCTCACTGCTCGCTCAGCCCTGCGATGCAGATGAGGCGGCCTCTGCCACTGAGCAAAAAAAATGCTGCCATCCCCTCTCAACACTGCTTCTCCAAGTGGTGGCCAGGTGAGCAGTGATAAGATTGTTGTCTTTGAGGGCTGCAGACTGGGGTCATCCAGCATTACAATGGAGAGCTCGGGCTAACCAGCCTGTGGGCCACGTCCCCAAGCACAAAGTTTTATTCACTGATGTGGGAAGAAGGAAAAGTGTAAGTTACTGGGGCACAGGCTGAATCCAGTGATGCCCCTTGTCCTTTCTTTGGAGACAGGGAAGCATGCGCACTCTATTCTGAGTCACTCCCGCTGCTGTCAGTGTCGGCGTGTGCTGCCCCTTGGCTCTGTGAGTAGTGGGTGTTTGACTGCAGTTGCTGTGGGCAAGGTGGAGGCAGCAAATCTCAGCAACTGCAGATACCAGAAGAAGGCCAAAACCTTTACAAATGTGGTCGCTTATCTTTCTGCACAAAAACATAAGTCGCACTTCCAACAGCAATTTACTTTTTTGCCGCAAGACAGAAGTCTGTAAGATACTTACCTGTTCATTAAAGATTCTCCTGTTGTTTTATGGTAAAAAACTGGAATGGGAACACCCCAACGCCTCTGTCTTGATATGCACCAGTAAGTTCGTCTGTCTAGCATTTCCAGCATTCTGTTCATCCCTGACACTGGAACACATTTTACTTTCTTTAATGCCTCCTGTGAAATTTCCAGAAAGAAATAGAATTCCAGTTTGGCAAGGCTGAGATGTTAAAAAGAGGTGGAGGTATTGTTGAGATCTTTCCACCTGAATCTAGAGATCCAATCTCACCAGTGGTACATTCCTTTTCAATCACCATCACAAGCAACAACTAACACATATTTTGATCTTCCAGGCAAGTGGATACTATACTTTTGAATAATGAACATTCCACTCTGTTTTTGCTAGTTGCTCAGGGTGGTAACTGAAAAGACACAAGACTCAGGTCCAGGGGGAGAGGGGAAACATTGTAAGACTACACAGGTCGATTTATGCATTCTAAGGTCGATGTCTGTTCATTCCCATGCCCCCTAAGGACACTCCCATTTATAAACAGGAATATATAGACTGGAGGGAAGAGAGCATATGATTTCAGAAAAAAACTATCAGGGAGAAAGATTCAAGTATTGGGAGGCAGCAGGAGGTGAAGCAGATGTGGGCAAAAAGCCAGCTAACCCAGCACTTTATTTCTGCAAGTGCCCATAGTCAGCGGAGGGGCACAGCGCAAAGCTTCCCAGAGATCTGGAACTCCAAATGATATGTTTGTGCTCTAGTGAGCTGGCAGCTAACAGACGTGTCATACAGCAGGATCATGGCCAGCAGCATGCACAAATTCAACTGTCACATCTGATTATTTAATAGACTCAGGGCTTTTTTTTGTCATAGAACGCACCCAAACAGTGTTCCGGCACCTTATTTCCCAATGGATTTTACGAAGTGATTTTGCATCGTAGCAGATCTGCAGCAAACATCATTAGCACAGTGCCTGCAGGCTGCTTTTGTGTCTGCTATCTGCTATTTGACAGTGAGGGTGGGCTGGCTGCTCTCGGCTTGGGATGCTGCTCTGCTGCTCGGCTTGGGATTGGTGTGTGTGGTCGCGCGCTTACTGCCGGCGACGTGAGTTCCGGCACCTTTTTTTTTCTTTTTACAAAAAAAGCACTGAATAAACTATACAGTAATTCAACATTAAAAAGCGTGAAAAGCACAGAAATACACACACATCTGATTTGTACCTGGGCAGCAGCCTTGAGATTTCCTGTATCAATGAACCATTGCTTGCTGGCACGAATAATCACGGGTTTTTTAGTCCTCCAGTCATAGGGATAGCTGTGTATGCATTTCTCTTCTTTCAAGAAGTTCTTTGCAGCTTTGAGCATCTGAATGACTGTGCAAAGTAGCAAAAGGTTACTGAAGTGAAGGTTATGTGAGAATTGCATAGCACTTCTGGTATAAAGGACAATATCATTTGACGAGCTACAATCTACTTTGGAATACAAGAAATGATACAAACCAGCTTCATTGCCTTCTTCAAGAACAGCTTTCTTTTGAAGCTCAGAACCTGTAGCCTCAGTGAAACGTCCCTCTTCATCCACTAGACACTCCTAGGAATAAGAAAATATACATTTGAATTAATCATTAAAAAAGAAGACGACAACTTGCTGAAGATTTGTTTAGGAACATTCTATGAGACTGAAATTGTGCTTACTACCAGAGAAAGACAGACCACAACTTTTTTCCATAGGTTAAGGCACAAGATGTTCTCTTTCATACCAGAAGCACAGTTTGATTTAGCAATTGAAGCAACATCCCTAGATTGGAATTGTAGGCTTAACCTATGGAAAAAAAGTTGTAATTGTAGGCCTTTTCTCTGCCTAAACTCACACAGGATATCACCCTTGGTCACTGCAGAAGAGCAGATTCCTATGATTAGCTTTAAAAAGAAGTAATGTGAACTTGTTTGTTCAAATTCTAATTCTAATAGGGGAAAATATTTTAATGCTCATAGAACTTTCTAAAACCTAAAGTCAGCATTCACAACACAGATACATAGCTCTGACCTCCATTTACAAATGCATACACATAGGTTAGGGATCTCTGAAAGCAGGTTCGGAGGTTGTGCAGGGGGCTACGGGGAAGGAGATGAAGGGGAAGCCTGCTTGTGTGGCATTGGATAGAAAGCAATGGAGCCTTCATAGAAGTGCTTCCATGGGGACAACTTTGTCAGGGGGAGCCAAAAATGAGCTCCATGGGCTGGGATGAGCAGATTGATGAAAATGTTGAACCAGCATGAAGCTGCTGTGAAAAAGGTTAGGCATCATTAGGAAGGAAGAGAAAAAAACTGTTGTGTTGTCCTTGTACAGATCTAGGTGCAACAGCACTTAAAGCATGTAAAAAAGCAGCAGCAGAAGATATTAGAGTTTTTAAAAAGTGCAAAAAAGGATTGTTAAAATGATCAGGGGGCTGGAGCCACTGCCACATGAAGAAAGGTTTCAATATGTGGGATTGCTTAGCTTCAAAAAATGGCTAGCAAAAGAGACATGAGAGAAGTGTACAGAATCATGCATTGTCCGGAAAAAGTGGACAGGGAGACATTATTCTCCCTCTATCACTATACTGGAAGCCAATGGGGACACCCCATGAAACTGGTTGGTGGGAGATTCAGAACAGAAAGAAGAAAGTACTTCTTCTAACAGCTCATTGTTAAACTTTAGCGATTCAACTAAAAGTGACACCATGGTGGCCAATGATATGAATAGCTTTAAATGGGAACTGGACAAATTCTTGGAGAAGACTTTCATTAATATCTACTAGTCCTGATGGTCATACGCTCCCTCCAGTATCAGAATCAGTTGCTGGGGACTACAGGCAGGAAGGGGCTGTTGTACTCCTGCCCTGCCTGTAAGTTGCTGCAGGCAGCTAGATGGCCACTGTGTAGAGAATATTTGACTAGAGAGACCAGTGGTGTAAGCCAATAAACCAATCTTCTTGTGCTCTACCAATACATGCCATCATTTCCTTCCTGCTTTGTCAAAAAGTTGCAGCACCCCTCACTGCATCAAGTGCCATGTTCGATGGTCTTCAAGAATAGCATCTCAAGGCATACGGGGGAAGGACAGAATCCAAAAACCTCATTTCACAAGCAGGAATTGTCTTCTTGTTCTTGGCATCCAAGACCCCTTATCTCAGGTATCTAAACAGCCCAGCAACTGACAGATTGTGCTAATAGATCACTGCAGACCCAGGTAGATTCCTAATGCTCCCTAGTAAGATTTTCCACCCTCTTTGCATACCATGAGCCTTTAAATATAAGAAACGCCCCAGATGCTTTCTAGTTGGTACTCAGCTCTTTTTTCAACCATGCTGGCTCATAACCAGTAAGTCTACCTTCTGAGTTTCAAATGCAACTATTTTACTCCACTCACATCCTGAAAACATTGTATTCCATCCCCATTCTCACGTAACCTGTCACACTGTGGCTTTCTTAATCCAAGATCTACCCCATTGCCATGCAGTATTAGATACAATTTTTAAAAAAATGTAGCAGTAATCTCTCTAAAAGATTTTAGCACATTCTCATGCATTACCCTCTTTCTTACAGTTTTCCAAGGTAAGAGCAACAGAATGTCTGGAGAATGCTATATTCCCTTCCCACTACCACCCCTCCAAAGTTTTAAACATATTTTTAGTGCAAGTAGGTTGAAATTTTTTTTTAGGTTGAAATTTTTTATTTAAATAAAAAACATACTACAAAAGCCATGGGTTAAAAACAAAGCAAGCAAAAGCACAGTACCATGGAGAGCTGGTGATGAGAAGCTACACTGTAATCTTCCATACCATGAGCAGGGGCTGTATGAACTAATCCTGTTCCTTTTGAAACAGTCACATGGTTGGCAGGCAAAAGAGGGGACTGCTTTCCAGGAATCGTAGGATGGGAGCAGACACCACTCTCCAAATCTGTACCTGAAAAACAAAACAAAAACAAAACAAAACAAAGGAAAACTGAAATTCATATTTAAGGATAGAGTAGAATCAGTCTGAATATTTTAAAAAATAGTTCTAAGACAAGTAATTATACAAGCTGCTGATGGCTAAGACCACCTTGAGCAGCGCTTTCCTTTCTCTGTCTTAAAGGAGAAATACTTCTAAGACCAGTGTACAGAAATATTCTGACTAAACAGGGGGACTACAGAGCAAGTGATGTAACTTAATTGATGTTAATGCAGAGCGCAATCCGCATTAAATGAACCAAACACAAGAGCAGTCTCCCCTCCCCTCCTTCCTCCTGCAGCCCCTGCACTGCCCCACCTTGGCACCCTGCAACCTCTGATGCAGATTTGGGACATGTATGGGGAGCTGCAAGCAGCAGGAGGAATTTGATTGGCCAGGGTGTCTGTTCCATTGGCAGAAGAACATCAGTGGGAAAAATGCATATATATTTGTTATATTGTATATATGAATATATTTGAGAAGTTACCTTTAAGGGTTGCAATCTCATCAAACTGTGTGTCCAAAACAGCACCTATAGACTGAACTCTGTCCGCAGCCACAATGAAGGATTCCCCAGTATTTGCACACTTCACAATGGAATACCTATGATTGTATTATATCCTTTAGGTTCTCTTAGCACCATACAACATCATATAAAATGCATGAAAATATCACAAAGATCCCTAAAACCATAACATGGAGATAACCCCCTTGTCATGATAAGCTGTATGACCAATAGCACTAACAGGAAACCTTCTCACATGCTCATGAAATCACATCACTGCATTTAAACAGACTCATCATGATGATCAAGAAAAATGTATTCTATATTTTAAACATTTGCACTGAATTCAATTATGTTACCTTCCTCAGGGCACTGCCCTATGCAGAAGCCTCTCCTAAATCAAAAACCTTTTTAAAAACCATAATTCAGAGTGTTGATATGCTTGACACAATGGTCCTTATATATACATTTTAAAAATGGAAATAAAAATGGAGTAAAGGCAGACCAGAATAGCTATTAATTACTGTATTACTACTTTTCATGACCAGGGTCCATGGGAGAGAAATCGTGACCAGACTTATTTGCTGAGATCCATAGCAGAATGTTACGCTCGCTGGCAGAAAGTAATGTGCCAAATTTTTCATACTAAGGTTGCAGTGATAAATACATTTACTTGGAAGGGAGCCCTATGGAATACAAAGGTATTAATTTCTGAGTGCAGCACAAATGGCCAGTTCAGTCCTGATCGCTGGTATCAGCCATGATGTGCTGTACACGTATCAAGCACTTCATATACTAGAGATAAATTAAAAGCAAACAAATACATACTCTGAATTTGGCATGTAGCAGACTGCTTGGTTGGCTGGAATAGTCCAGGGCTGTGTGGTCCAGATAATTAAACTTACAGAAGGTAATCCATCTACAAATAAATGCATATATTGAATAGGCATTATTTTAAGTACATCTGAAGTACATTACCAAAAATAAAATTAAGAAATGTATAGCGTATACCTATCACAGAAGCCAGTTTGGGTGGAGGCTTCAGCAAGGGAAATCTGACATATGCAGAGCGACTAACATGTTGCTCATTGTATTCAATTTCAGCTTCGGCCAGGGCTGTACTGGATGAAGAGCAGGCATTGTTGAAATATGTTAGCAGAAAGGTCTTCGACCCTATCTCAAATAATATCACAAGGATGCAAAGCATGGTTGCTACTTACTTTGTTGAAGGAGACCAAAACACTGGCTTATAGTCCTGATAAACATAGCCCTAGAGGAAAACCAACAGAGCAAAGTAATCAACACTGATTTGTCTTCTGTATAGTGTAAGTCTTACCTCACTAAATATTAACCTACCTTTTCATGCAGTTGGTGAAAAATACTCAGTTGTTTTGCTTCATACTTTTTGTCAAATGTGTGATAGCAGTTATCCCAATCTGCCATTATGCCCCAACGGATAAAGGCTGATTTTTGCTTTTCGATTACCTTTTCTGCAAATTTTTTGGCTGAAAAGAGAAAAGGTGTTGCATAATTTTAGGAAGCTCCTACTTTTCCACAACATCTGAGGTTGAAAAAACAGTATAGCTTACAGATCTCATTTTTACCTTTCATTATTTTTCACAAAATCCTAGAACCATTTAGGGTTTATATAAATAGCTTGCTCTGTTCAAGTGAAATCTGGGCTACAAAATTCTCCTAGCAAATACTAACAAGTGGAGGCAGTGAAACACAAGAACTGCTATTTAAAACAATTTGTTAGGCCCAGGAATAACTGTCAGGCCCAAGTTTGAACAAAGCAACTCCACGCATGTTATAATTTTCATTTAAGTTCCACATTAATACTCACACAGACACACACTGGTACTTACAAGTCAGTACAGAAGAGCAATACTATGGCCCCTGGGCCAGAGTCCCAGGGACCATAAAATGACTTGGCAAACCCTAGGAGAAGGTTGGAAACAATGTAGCTGTCAGGAAGAGCACCAAGCTGGCTGCCTCTCTGAGACTGGAAAACTTTGGAAAGAAGGAAAAATGGGAATTCTGGTGGGTGGGGAGGGTAGGAGACTCTGTGGGCCAGGATATAATATATTCCAAGCCTCCTTCACCCTTCCCCTCCAAGGGGTCCTCATTAGACGGGCTGAAAAGCTCATCTAGAAAAAATATAGGAGACTAGATGCTGATCTTGCTCTACTGACTTCAGTCCAGAAGACACAAGAATTTTAGTAGTCTCCAAGTCCGGAGCCTTCTGAGGAGCAAGGATGCTCTCCCTAGGATTGCAGCCCCAGATGAACGGCAATACAAATTAGGGCAGGGCTTTTCCTTTTTCCAACTCTGTTCCTACTTATGTCCACCAATGTTCAGCTGGGCGGTCTCTGTTTGCCAGAGAAGACTTGATGGCACAGAACAACAACAAAAAGGCCCAAACCTGTTAAACCACCCACCACTAAATGAAGAGTTTGCTCCCCAATTGCTTGAGAGCTATTGCTGCTTTCCTCATAAACAAGGCCCTGTCACAGACTAAAATAACAACTGCATAGCCACAACAGCATCAGTTTGCAAGGGGCAACATACCTTTCTGTCGAATTTCCATGGGTGAAAGATGTTCAGTTTCCCCACCTTCTGCCAATGCTTTCAATTCAATGGGTAATCCATGGCAATCCCAGCCAGGCACATAGTGAACCCTGTAACCTCTCATTACATGAAATCGATTTGTGATATCTTTTAAAATCTAAAGCAAAAGAGAAAGGGAGGGAGACAGTATGCTTCCAGCACATTCTTTTAATTTCCAAGAAGTCTGAAACATTTATTTTACAGGCAGTACCCAAGTTATGAATGTCTGAGTTATGAACCACCTGTACTTATGAACTGTTCTAAAGCCTCTTAATTATAAAATATTACTGTGAAAAATAGTCGTTACCACAGAGAGGAGGCAAAAGAGGAGAGAGAGGGAGGCCTGCAAACTATGGCTTCCTGCCCTGCCCTTTCTGACAGTTCCTTGCAGCAAAGAGGATGCACTGGTGGGTTTGGGTGGCAGTTGTGGGGCTACAGATATCCAGTTTCTCCACTTTCACAGGGATCCTGTGCCCCCAAGTATACGTGATCCAACTTACATACACATTTGATTTGAAGATGAATTTCCATTTTCTCAAGAACAGGACTTATTTGTAACCTGTGGACTGCCTGTGCAATACAGCCATTTGTGCCATATTGGACCTACTCTTTCTATATGTTATAACAGCACGCTCCTAGGACCACCTGAGCAAAACCACATTGACTTGGCACAAAAAAAGAAAGATTCAAGATTTCTGTACTTTGTTTTTACCTTTTGATGCTGCATCAATTCTAGATACACTATTAAACTCTAACATGTATCAGATGGCATGTAGATAGGCCATTATTTAACGAAGATGTCCAACATTAGTGAATGTACAGCATTAATAAGTTTTGACTGAAGACAAAAGCATATTTGCTAGTGCTCACAGATTCATAGAATAGTAGAGTTGGAAGGGGCCATGAAGAGCATTAGGTGGTATTCTTTCCATGAAGGCAGGACACCAAGTTACACCATCCCACTCACTTTAATAACATATTTTATTTGTGTGCATACATATTATCTGTTTTCAGATGACCATAGCTCATATATTAAGCTACAAGATCTTTCCTGTACATGTGGATTCTTTGCAGCGATCAAACCAGGAAGTCTCTAATTAGTCACAATTTTTCATATCACTAGAACTAAGAGCTATTGTTACCAACTTATGAACAAATGAACGCCTTAAAGAACTTCATACTATAGTTTAGGATTTAGACTTCTTCTGAAGTTGGTAGTGAGAGAATCAGAGGATTAAACAAGAAACAATTAATTAAAGACTACTTTGTTGTGAACTGCAAAGGGCCTGCACATGTAAGGAAAATATTCATACATATTTTGGCTTAATAAATTGAGATATGATCATCTGGCCTAAGATACAGTGTTGCTCTTTAGTTTATTACAGTCACTAATGGAACTGAACTCATGCTTAAAAGAAATAATTCATTTAATTGCTTCATATGAAGGAATATAAAACTCCTCTAAATATATAAAGAATACTTCATAAACTTTAACATGCTATAACAGGAAAACAGATAAACTTTAACATGCTATAACAGGAATATATAGACATTTTTAACATTCTGAAGCTTAATGATACAGTAAAATAGCGTTTGCATAATTATTTCTACTGCTGGCTGTATTGTATACACATTGAATAGTTTCTCTCTCTAGAATAATGGACACTGGCATAATATTTGTTTCTGTCATTGTTCCATGTGAAATGCAAACTCTAACACTAAAAGATGTTTTTGTATCATGGAGCCAAAGCAAATTTATGAAAGTAATACTCACTTTATTCAACGCATGACCAACATGAGGGTCGCCGTTAGCATACGGTGGTCCATCATGAAGACAAAATTCTTGTTTTGTTTTCCTTTGTCTTTGCCACGAATACAATTCTGAAAAGCCGCATTTCTAAAGAAACATATAATTATATGCATGCTGCTATAGCACATTTTTAAAGTGCCAGCAGATTTATTCTTCAGTTACAAGCAAGGTTGACTTATACCATCCCAATCAATGTTCAAACTAGCATGCATTAAGATTGCTTTCAATCCCAAATATAAGGTTGGATCCAGAATATTCAATCTAGGTTTAAGCAGAAGAACAAGCAATATTCCACCCACAATGTGGAAATTTTCTGGCTCCTACCCCTTAAATGTGACTCCTGAAGGCTGAGGGAGCCACTGCAATAAGTGTGATGAGGCTGCAAAGCAGAGAGAAATCATAGCACTCTTTTGCAGAAGCAGAACTCACTTTCCAATTCTGCAAAACCTTTTCGATCCAGGTCATGATATTTAAAAATGCTTATAAATATATAAATTTATGTATTTAACTGCATATCAGTAACACACACAAAACTCATGTAACAAGTAAGGCTACAGAACACAAGCCTGGATCAGTTTCATGCTAGCTAATCATTTGTTTCTCTATGCAGCTGCAATTTGATAATGGTGCCATCCTGTGCACGTTTAAACGGAAAACAATCCTACAACTTCCAGTAGTCCCCATGTCAGCATTGGTGCATAAGAAATGCTAGGAATTGTCAGATTTTTTAACTCATCTAAATACACATAGGACTGTGTGCTAAGGATGCAACCATCTACCTTTGGTGTATTGATTTCCAGGGTGCTGATATCAACTGCAGAATTTTGCTTGGATGAGACTTGACCTCCTAGCTCTCATGCCAATAAGGATCAAACTAGAGTTGCTATCACTTGCACTGAACACGTTGTGTTGTGTAAACAGCGGCCTTAGGAAAGCACGAAGAGTCTCAGGACTGGCTGCTGGTCATAATGGCTACATACTATTTGTAGCATCTCTCAATGTCATCTTGAGGCAAGATGAGCAGATTACACTCATGTCATGCTAGCAGGCTACTAGAATAGGCAAGCCTGTGGTTTGTTCTAGCACAGCCCTTTTGCCGTTATGTTTTTGAAATAAAGCGTGCACGTTGATCACATGCAAGCAATTAAGGCCAGGCATAGTGGGCGTAACGAACCTTCCCGCATCCCACCCTCTTCCCTCAGGCCGGGTATTCACAAGACCGACGTTTGCTCCTGCTCCTTCTACCTGCTGTATCTCCGCCTCCGTTTCAGGTTGCAACCGGCCCGGCAACAGGACAGGGAAATCGCTTCGAGGCAACAACACCGTATCACGGTATCGCGAGTCCGGGCTCGACTTTTGGCCCCGATTCGGCCCCGCAGACGCCGTCCAACGTGCCCAGCACCAGGCACGCTGGGATGACCTGCATAACGGCGGCGCCCGCAGCGCCCACATCTTCCACACTATGCTGGAGACTACTTCCGAGTCTGGTACGGCGAGCAATGCGGGTTTGACGGGGCCCGGGAAGGGACATGCCACGCCACTCGAACGTTTTCACGTCAGGTTTCGTGTCCGACTTTGGTCCTTGAGCGCCCCCTGGAACTTGGTCCTCCTACTTACTGTGACCTGAAAACGTTTGCCAGGCAGGTAAAAACAAATCAAGCCACACTTCAGGAGATTAAGCGTAATCGTGAGCATATTATCTGGAAAAAAAGTCCAGCATGTTAGCTCGGGAATGCTGGGACTTGTAAGCCTTTTGGCAACTCACTGTGTATAAGATTCTGGCTTAAAAGTGCCAAACTCTTGTCTTCCATCATATTGTTTAAGGTGGAGGGAAGGTTAGAACTTGAAAACGCGCATACAGAAATTAATGGCAACTGTCTGAAGCGGGGCTGGGCAACTTGTAACCCTCCGAAGGGGGTTGCAATTTCCATAAATCCTAGTCAAGTGTAGCCAATGGTGAAGGATAATTGGAGCTGCAGTCCAGCAACATATGATGGTCAATTTGTTTCCCAACTTTAAAGACACTAGAAGATCAGAGGGATACTCCGCCACGATGCCGCCTGCTTCTTGCGGATCCATCTCACTTCATATCTTTTATACTATGGAAGACTTCGCATGTTGCACAAAAAGGTAACAATAGTTCAAAGATTAATTATAAGACGGAAAGAGTTTGTGGATTTACTACGCGCGCTTATTTCAATGGAAAACTGCCTCTCTCCCCACTACTTAGGCTGCGGTCTGGTGAACACCAACCTGGGTATGAGTGTCACTAACAGGCGAATAGGATTTACTCCTGAGAAGGCGTACTTAGAATTAATTGCTGTTTCTTGAATTGAACTCTGGGGCATTCCTACAAGCTTGTTCATACGGTTGTAACCATTGGTACTTGTCTTATTAAATGCATCAAGACGGAGTGCATGTCTGACAGAAGTAATCCCATTGAGGTCAAAGAGGGTGATATTCTTTTAAGAGCGCAATCCTGAGCAGATTTAGACGGGGCATAAAGTCCTACAACTCCCAATATTTTCCAGCCTGGCATAATGGAGAATGTTGGAAGTTGTGGAAGTCCTATTCTCTGTTCAAATATGTCAGGAGTTGTGCATTAAATGTGTCAACCAGACACATCATCTTTTCATCTTTTAACTGTAGAGCAGGCTCAGAAAAGCCAGTATGGATTGTGAAAGCACCCGCCAACGCCTAAGTCTCAGTTCGGATTGACCTCCCCACACCCAGTTTACTAAAAAAAAAAATGAAGAAGAGGGGGAAAGCTGTAGGTACTAAACACAGATTTAAAGCCATGTCTGTTTTGCATCCCAGGAGGCTGCCTAAAAACAGGCTTTACTACCGGTATCACCTGCGCGTTTCTGCAAATGGGCCCAGTTTCGTTGGCGTGTAAGAACATCGTTAAGCTGCGGGTGCACGCGATCTATATTCGCCTGCCTCACCCAAAACCGCCCCCCTAAATATAGCGGTAGCTGCGTAACGTGTGAGTGGGACGGAAAACCCGGTCTTTAGGACCCAGCAGGTGCTGGAAGGCGAGGCCAAGGGGGAATGGTGTAAGTAGAGGAAGTCGCGGCAGGATTTAGCAAGCGGGAGCTCGCGGCGCAGTTGGTGTTGCAAGCGCGGTCGGGGAACGGCTGCTGCGAGCGGAGAGTTGTTGTTTCCTTCGGCCCCTCCGAGTCACTTCACCGGGCGTCATCCCCGGGCCTGCTTCGGGGAGTCGTGGAGATCGTACGGGGGTGAGGAGAGACATGGGGCGGGGGAAGCATTTGTCGCCCCCGCGGGGATTTCTGCGATGAGGAGTGAGACATTCCGGGGGGCAAGAAATGCAGTATATTTCGCTGGACTTTGTGGATGCAGCTTTCCTCCTCGAAAGCACATTCTATTAATTGCAGTGAATTGATGTAACTGCTTTGCGTGGGACATGGTGATTATAATAGCTGAAAATCCTCACACCAAAAATAGGTGTTGAGCGAGGAAAAACACCTTTCCCCAGCTTGCATCCATGCTGCTTGTATATCGGGAAGGGTGGCTAAAGTTGTAATCCTGTATAGTGTGCATATTTATCTGGGAGTGATCCCCACTCAATTGACTGAGGCTTACTCCTGAGGAGAGATACATAGAATTACACTGTAAAATGTGTTTAAATGAGTAGCAGTGCAGTTATACGCATGTCTAGAAGTAAGCCCCATTGAATTCAATGGGACCTACCCCAAGTGAGTGTGTATAGAATTGCCAACCATAAAAGTTATAATAATAATAATCTATACGCTTTATTGTTCTATTGAAATGTCTGTTGTTTCTCTGCTTGCTTATGCCTAGTAAAAGAATTATTCCACATTGAGTATGCCAGTATTATAATTTCAATTCCACACCACCACCACCCATAACTGAAGTTTGGTTATAACAGTTCATTTAAAAATACAATAAATACATTTTCTCCAAATTACAAACACTTAAAACAAAATTTAAAAATCTTAAACACCTTATAGTGTATAGGACCTGTAAATAACCGGGATGAGCAATGCCCTAAGACCCTTGAATATCCATGTATGTCTTCCCAGGTTTAATCTTTTGCTGGACTACTTGTAAATGGTATTTTTTGTATTGCTTTTATGAACTTGTAAACTGCTCATCTGTTATTGGGTGGTAACAAAATGAAATTAATAATATTACCTAAGATAGAATCTATGCATATTGTTAAAGGCCTCAGAATAAAGAGCCATCTTGTTGCCAAAAAAGATGACAAGGCTGGGAGCAGCCAAGCTTCAGTGGGAAGGTAGCAGGGTGTGGGGGGGGGGTACTATGAAGAAAGCCCTTCCCGTTGTTGCTGCCTTCTGAGCATCCCTTGGAATTGACACTCAGAAGAAGGCCCTGAATGTTGAGTGTAGTGTCTGGGTAGATTGCAGTTAGGAGAGGTGCTCTGTTAAGTGTTGTCATCTGAAGCCAGGAAAGGCTTTACAGGTTAAAATTGGAACCTTGAATTGTATTTGGAAGTATGCAGGCAGCCAATGCAAGTGGCCAGCACAGGTCTTACATCTTCAGACCTATGGGTCTCTTGTTTAGGGTTAGTATAGGATCAGTCTGTGGTTCCTTGTACATTCCCCTGGGGAGAGGCGAAAGGTCTGATAGGCTCACACAAGCCCTTTCAGGGGCTTAATCCTATGTATGTTTAGACAGAAGAAAGGCCTGCAACTCCATGTTCTTCCAGGCAAGCTATGAGTTTCCGGCCCTTTTCTTTATAAATATACTCTCTATAAAAGTTACTCCTTTTAGGGGTCATGCCTTTGAATATAATCTGTTTTTATGTAAATTGTTTGGCCTTTTCTGTAAATTGGGGAGAAAGTTTCTCTTTAAAAGAAGCAGATAGTTTCATAACTAGATAAAAGCAGATAGTTGCATAACTGGGCCAAGGTTAACAAATACCACTGAGAACAAGGAAAAGGAAAGAAAGCGAATCCACACAAAAGTAAAGCTGGTTTAAAGTTGCTAGCGCTTGACTTTTCTGCTCTGATCAAGTTGAATGCTCAGTGGCATTGGGATTTTTCTCCAGCTTTCCATGGTAATGGCATGGCTTAACAGTACGTTAGAGCTTTCAGCATGTATTAACTTAGACACATGTACATGAATTTGGGAATTTGTACCTTGCTATATATATATTGAAAGCTTTAGTTTTTCAACATTGGAGTCACAAAGGAGGGACATAACCTATCATCAGCATCAGAATTGGGAAACTTATGGCCCTTCAAATGTTTTGGCCTGTAACTCTCATCACCTCCCACTGTTGGTTAGGGCTTATTGGGCTTGTAGGGCCCAAACATCTGGAGAACCACAAGTTGCTAACCCTAAGCCTAGTGTGTAGTGTGAGTGCTGCTTGGCTCCTGCGGGCATCCTGGCAGCCTCATGGGTGCAGGTGAAACTCTGTGTTTGCTGTGCTTGTATCCTTAGGTGAAAGCAAACTATGGCAGAAATCCTCATCCGTGTGACAGAGGTGCTGTGCAGTTCCCCTGAGTGGATGGAGGGCATTCCACCCGTCCTAGAGGGGGTTATGCTCTCCTTGAAAGAGCAGCTGTGTAGCTTGAGGGACCTCCTTCTTTATTCCTGCCTCTTGAGCAGCGGTCCTCAAACTTTTTCAACAGGGGGCCAGTTGACAGGTGCCAGCAGTGGGCGTGGGTCGCCAAGGTGGTGCTGGTGGTGGGGGGAGCGTGGGCTGGTGTGGGGTCAGGGTGTGCACGCAAGGCAGGAGGGGCACTGGGCGTGCGCACGGCTTGCTCACAAGAGATCGTTTTCTCCGAGCGAGTCCAAAACGACCTCCGAGCGAGCGAGCCACGCGCCTGCATGCGCTCCCATTGAGTGCAAAACCTGTGGGGTGGACTGGTTAAATGGGCATGGTGGGATGGATCCAGCCTGCGGGCCTTAGTTTGAGGACCCATGCTCCTGAGCCTCAAGTGGCACAGAGTGAATGCCTTCTACAAGCTTCAACTGGTAGAGCAGCTATGTCCCTACCTGAACAGAGATAGCATGGTTTCAGTAACCTGTGCTCAGGTAATTTCTGAACTAGATTGCTGCAACACACTACATGGAGCGCTTCTTGAAGATAGTTTGGAAGTTGTAATTTGTACAAAATGTGGCAGACCTGAAGGGCTGAAGGCAGAGTAGCATTCCAAGCCTGATGCACTGGCTGCCTGTATGCTTCTGAACCTGATTCAGGGCTATGAAGCCTCACACAACTTGGGATAACAATACTTGATGGAATTGCTAAGTATTCCATCTGCAGTCTGTAGACTATGATCAACATCCAGGCTTTCCTCTGAGTGCCACTTCCAAGGGAATTTTGGAGAAGACAGCAATAAGGGTGAAGGTCTTCTTGGTGGTAGCTCCACCACCATGGAATGACCTTCCCACTGAGAACTGTCTGGTACTTGTGTTTTCATCCTTTTGATGCCAGATAAGGTAGCTTGTTGTCCTGAAACATTTAAGTATAGTTTAATTAATGGCTTGCGAGGCACCCATGTCAGGTGTTTTTAAACAGTTCTTTTCTGTATGATTGTTTCTGCTGCTAAATTATTAGTTGAGCTGTTAAACTGTATTGTGGAAAATAATTGCTTGTCTTATTGTATTATGGTCTTGATTCAGTCACTGCTGAGAACTGCCCAGAAAGCTTTGGTGATTGGGTTGTGTAGAAATATTTCCCACAAGAGTTGTGCATTCAATCCTGTGTGTGCTTGCTTAGAAGTAGGCTTGCTCCTCTGAAAAGCTCACATTGACAAGGGAGACACAAACATCTCACGAAATGGGCTCTAGTTCATGAAATCTTATGCCATTATAGATTTTTAGGGCAGGGATGTTCAGCTTCTTTTGGTGCAAGAGCTAAACTCCATTTCAGACCTGAACTTATTTCAGTAAAAATAAGGGATAAAATACCAGAGTGTTTTAACTGAGAACTCCTACTGATAGTAACTAAGCCTGCGAGAAGCATCTCAACCTTTCACACTGCAGGAGAAACTTCCCAAAAAGAAGGGAACCATCAAAGGTTGGAGTTTGGAGAAAGGGGTGGCGTCAGGGCAAGGGGTACCCAGGAGGTGTGAATCTGATTCTCCAAGAAGGCTGGGTTTGATCCCTTGGGCTGAGATCCTGCACTGATCAGAGGAACTTTCAGAGGGCAACTCAAGGAGGCCCCCTGCCTTTGGTGATTGTCCGTTCAGGATAAGAACGCTGCACAGTGATACCTACAAGCTGATGTTTGACTTCTGGAATACTTCAATATTTCTGATGTGCCCTTTGCTGCTGAAAAGTTGCCTAATTCTGGACCAACAGACCCTCCAATCTTCATTTTCCATTGAATATAATTGTGCCACTCTTGTCACACACCTTTATTTCAGGAGAAGGCCGTGCCACTTGCAACACTCTCCTTGATTCCCCCGTTTCTGCCCAGCAAACATGGCTTCCAGTTCAGGTGTGCTGATGCGCCTCGTGGCCTCTGCTTACGCCATTGCTGATAAAGCTGGACTGATTGTCAGGAAAGTGATGGCTGGAGGAGATCTGGGGATAGTTGAGAAGGTAACAGTACAACCCTGTGCATGTCAACGCAGAAGTAAGCCCTGTCTAGTGTAATGGGAATTGCTCATAAGTGCACATAACATAGGTGGGGAGTAGGTGGCTCATGCCCTCCTTGCCTATGGTCACACATCTTCCAAGCAAAAGTCATGCTGTCAAAATTTGGTGGCAAACTACCATGGAGATTTGCAGCAGGCAAATGCAGCTTGTTCTCAAATGTTCTGCACCCTAAGTGGCAGTAGCGTACCATTGCATTTTGATGGCAAACTGCTACTTGCTCCTGTCCCTTTTTGTGCTGATGGCAGGAGTATGGCTTACTCCAGGTCCAAAAGGGAAGACAAGCAGACCGCTGGACCATCTGAGAGAATGGCTTACCTTAGAGTCCTGCACTGAGCAGAGGGTTGGACCCAGCAGCCTCCCTGTTCCCTCCCAACCCCACTTTTCTATGATTCTGTGGACTTTCGCTCTCCTGCTATAAAGAGTTTGTGCTTTCTAGTTTGTGCTTCAGTTGTAGTTTAGGATCATTTATTTTGGGCAAGACCACTGCTAGAAAAGCATATACTGGTTTCGTGAATAATTAATTTTTTTCTGTAATCACATTCCCCACATCTGTGAGGCTGTAAATCCACTTAAATCTCCTAAATCACGTTGCTGGTATGAAAGAGAAAACCTGTATTTTCCAGTTTTCCCAGCTCACATTGTTAAAACCAAATTGACTTAGCAGATTCAACCTGCTTAACTGGTGGATCAGCGGGGTGGGGGGGCAGAAGGTCATTTTCTGGGTGAGTTGCAAATCTGTCTAACAAGTACAAGCACTAGGTAATAAGTCTCTGCCAGGGCAGGTCTGGTGCTGTTTGCTTATCTCTTTGTGGCAGCAGTCCTTAACTGTAAAACTGGACTTTTAATTTGTCTGTAGTGACTCAGACATAGATTTGTTAATGTATAGGTAGTTTAATCATGCAAGGTACAGAAGGTTATTGGTTCTAGCCCATAAACCACCATTTTCACCACCAAAAATAAGATTCTAGTGAAAAAGTAGATCCTGCAAGGCTGAACTCTGCCTTCTCCGTGGTTTAGCTTCTGATCTAGGTCAGTGGGAACTATGAGCCAGAACATGTTCCTTCTCTGGTCCATGCCACCACGTGGCTTTGTATTGCGATTTGCTTAGTCCTTTAATTTCTTTGCATATCAGCCCTCCCCAACCTGGTGCCCTTTAAATGTGTTGGACTACAACTGCCAGAACTGTCACCGCTGGCTAAGGGATGACAGGCACTGTAGCCTGAAACATCTGGTGGGTGCCTCTTTTGTAGCTGTCTGCCTGTTCTTGTGTGCTGGGAGCTGTTTGTATAAAGCAGAACCTGTGTCAATGGAAAAAGTTATTCCAGTGTGCTTGAAACAGCCCTAAATATTTCATTTGTTAGACGTTTCTTTCATCTTTTCTCCAAGGAGCTCAGGGCAGTATATGTGGTATCCTTTCACCCCAACCATGTTATCTTCTCAGTAGTCCTGTGAGGTACATTAAATGAAGAGTTAATGATAGACCCAAAGCCATCGGTTTTGCTTCATGGCTAAGTGGGGTCTTAGTCCAATGTTCTAACCCAGCATTTTCCAACCTGGTGCCTTCCAGGTATTTTGGACTTCCAGCTCTTATCAGTTCTGGTTAGCATAGCCAGTGGTCTGGAATGCTGGGCGCTATAGTCCAAAACTTCTTGAGGATACCAGCTTGTGGAAGCCTGTGCTAATCTAATCCTTTAGTCTTAAGCATATTAGTCTTAAGCATGACTAAGTTTCCCTATCTTGTTTAAAGGCCTGAAATTTAACATCCTCTCATACCTACTTTTACATAAGAAGGGAAAGAAATCTGCCTTTCCCTAAAAGCTTTTAGAAGTTGGGATCAGAAAGCATGATTAACATGGATACAGTGAAACTGTCATTCAGGAGTCCGAAAATTATCAAAAAATTCCTCCATTAGAACACTATATTTTGAAACATTTGCTAGATACCTGCTAATGAGATAACATATGCGAATGTGAAATTTAATTTGGCCTCTTGCCATAAATGGTGTCAGCCTTTGCCAGCCTGGGGCCCTCCAGCTAGTTGGACTACAACTCCCAACATTCCCAGCCAGAGGGCACAAGGCTGGGGAAACCTGGACTACAAGTTAGTTAGTTTCATGGTTATCAGTATCTTTCTACAGGGAATGGAAAGAAGGTGGGCATAGCTGCTGTGACCATCTTGCTGTTCTGACTGACTGGAATTCCTTCCAAACAGTGTGGAGCTAATGACCTGCAGACCAAAGCTGACCGGCTGGTCCAGATGAGCATTTGTTCCTCCCTGGCACGGAAGTTTCCAAAGGTGACAATCATAGCAGAAGAGGTGAGGACTTGAAACTTCAGCAGTGCTCCCTCAATTCTTGCTTGGTTTTACATGCTGCTTTTTTGTACCTGATGATCACTGAAATCCTACAAAAGGGAGATTTATACTCTTTGGCAATGGGGGCAACTTAGAGCCCTTTGGATGTTGTTGGATTACAGCTTCCTTCATACCTCACTATTGGCTATACCTGCAGACCACAATGTCAGAAGGTCCACACGTCCCTGACAGTGCAGTCTGAAGATTCATGCATGGATGTGTGTTTGTAGAGTGTTCCTCGGCAACCGGCTCTTACTTTAAAGTGCATTTGCTCGATCTGTTTCTGTCACTCCGCAACCACACTGCAAACTTATAGTAAAGCTAGTAGTACAGACACCATGGATAGTATCTGTGCAGTGCAGTTTGATGTCAGGCATGTTGTTGACTTGGGAGTAAGTCCAACTAACTGTCATGAAAGTATTTCTCACTGTGTCTTTAGTGGAGGCCCAGCTGCAGGTGTGGTTGGTCAGTGCACAAGCCAGAGTTATCATCTTTCTGGCACCCAATCCTCTGTTGGAGTGGTAAATTTTGAGGTGCAGTGGTTCGTCAGGACAATCCCATATCTTGCCTCCAAAGAGAGTTCCATATGGGCTTCCAAGGGAGGTGGTTGGGGCCCCATCAGTGAAGGTGTTCAAGGAAAGATTGGACAACCACATGTTGGGGATTACATGAGTGGAGCTGGCTGGAGCCAGGGGTCAGACTAGATGGCCTGGGAGACTCCTTCTAACTCACTTTGTTTCTATATTTCTAAAAATACATGCAGTGTTTATCTCCCTCTCTCTTTTTGTGTATTTATTTTCAATGGAGATAGTGTAGAACAATATATGACTGTTTGAAAATTTGCTGCTAAGCTCAGAGGGACCAGGGAAGCCTGAGGAGGTGGCAGATGATGTCATTGTACCTGCTAATCCAGGTGTCTTAGGGCTTCAGCCCTGGATTCTCATTTGCATGAAGAGGTTGACCTTATTGCCTTCAGCTGTGTGTATCAATTCTTCTTCTCAGGATCTTCCTTCTCAAGAATTAGATGAAGACTTACTTGAGGATGGCCAATGTGAAGAAATACTGAAGAAAGCCTGTCCACAGCAGTATGCTGCCATTAAAGAGGAGGAGGTGCTCAAAATGATCATCCAATGGTTTAACTTTCCTATATTGAGTTTATGCTGTCATTTTCATGGTGGACATGCCCTGGGGCGCTGTTGTGCCATTTTTGGCATCCCAGGCTTACAACTCTCACCATTCCTAGCTATAATAGTCAATGAAGAACCATGGGAGTTGTAGACGTACAGGCAGCTGTCAGCTCATATTCATTCTTCTGGGGCCCTCTGGGGCACCAGCCGTGGGTGCCTGCATTTGGGTCGTCATCACTAAATTCCACCTCTGTGTGGCTTGGATTGTGATGGGAAGGTGGGTGTGCAGAAAGAGTATCTCAGTCTGCTGCTTCCCCAGCACATTTGTGCCCTCAATACCCTTCCAAGCAACAGTTTGGGCTGTTGGGAGCACTGATAGGTGATGGCATAGGAGGTACCTTCTCATCTGTCCATGCTCACATGGGAGGGAAGTTTGTCTGCTGTACTTTAAAGGTTTTCTAGTGACTGGGTTCAGATAGCAATATAACACAAACAAGTGTTGTTAATATCAGTGTCCAGGACATGGGTAGTGGGATATCAGATCAGGACACCAAGACCCAGACAACCAGTGTACTACAAGGGCCTATTCCAAATCTCAGCCAAGCAGTCCAGAGCTCGAGGCTGATAAGAGAAGTACAAAGTAAGTCAGTCTGAATAGCAAAGAGTAGTCAAAGCTGGTCAGAAGCAGAAATCCAGAGAGGCAAGCTGAGGAGAAGCGGGTACCTGAGACTAGAGCAGAAGGTGGAGCAGGTGAAGGCCAGGAAACTGGCAAGGTCCAGAAATGGAGGCAGGAGCAAAATGACAGACAGAGTTTCCAGAAACAGGTTTTGGAAGGCACAGAGAGCTCCAACAATGTCAAAGACCTTCATTGCTAAGACAGCATCTGGAGGGAAGAGCCAGTTCTTATACAGCTCTTCCCTCGGGGCTCTCAGGGAGTACTTGTAAGAGCCCAGGTGGCCACAGTTGACCTTGGGCCCAGTCCTGCAACCACCAGGGCTGCTATTCTGGTTTCTGGCCAGAAGATGGAGCCCTGACGCTCCGGAAGAACCTCACACTGCGTTCAGATAGCAATATAACCCAAGCACAAGGGTTGTTAATGGTTGAAAAGCCAGTAACTGGGCTATCGATTTATTTATTTATTTATTTAGAGTATGTGTATGCCGTCCTTTCACATAGCCTCAGGACAGCTTTCATAAACCCACGCAAGATTATCTGAACGCACCCAAGATTGTAAGCTGTTCTGAGATGCTATGCATAAGGGATGGCATATAAAAGTTTTAAATAAATGAATAAGATAACAAACCATGGTGAACAGTTCATAACCCATCAACAAACCATGGATTCTCTTGATGGGTTGTTGTGGTTAACAAGCTATAGCTTGGAAGCACAGATGGGTTCAGACATTATAATAACCCCCATTTCAACAAGAACCCATTTGTAACGTCAACCCAAACCAACCTATACTCAGGCCCTGAATGCAGATTAACATGTCTGAACCAGTGATTATTTAGGACAGATGCAAATATTTATGTGGAACCCTAAGGATGAGCAAAGTGACCGAGTCTGATGGGACTGTACTTTGATGCAGCTAAGGAACCTTGTTCAAGGCCAGATGGGCTGGCCAAATCTGGCTTACAGGCTACAGCAACCTCAGCCCTGATTTGGAAAGTAAACACTTCCCTTTTCTAATACTACCACTTTGTTGTCTCTCTCATCCTTTATATCTCTAGCTGCTTAATTTAGAAGCTAGAGTTTGACTTGCAAGGCTTTGATAACTCAAGGAACTTCTTCCTGTGTGCCAGTCAAGGCCGAGTTCTCACAGGCAGGCCACACCTGCACAGCAGCTCTGCAGACTGCATAGCTGCTTCTCTTTCATGCTAGCCCTATTCTTATTTCCAGCCATCACCTCCTCTTAAAATCCTGTCTTTGGTTTTTGTTTCCTCTCAAAGCTTGTGGTATGGGTCGATCCGCTGGATGGAACCAAAGAATACACTGAAGGTTTGCTCCATTTTAAATATATGTGCATGGTGACTTCTCTCTGTTTTAAGGAACACCATGCCAAAACCATTGGGAATAGTCCAGTTTTTAAATTACTGTGTGATGTTCACCCAAGACAGCTGGGCGTGGAGAGGTCACGGTCACCTGAGAATGTGGTAGCAAAGTGGGCTTGGTACTACAATAGGAACTGCAGCATGAGAGAAAGCCATTGCATGACTCATTCTTCAATAATTGAACGGCAGTTTGCTAACCAAAGCAGTGAGTCACTTGAGTGCATTTCTGTGTTGGGAGCCATTTGTATAAAGCAGAACCCATTTGGGGATCTGGAGGAACAAAGTCCAGTCCTGTCTCCTGGAGCAGCATGGCTCCAGTCTGATGAGGGCTGTGTGTGCTTACACTGGAGTAAATCAAGCTAACCCAGAGCTGCATGATTAATATGGTATGTCTTAGGCTTTATGCAGCATTAAGTAGACATCTAAACACTGTGAGGATTTGTAACACAAGGGATAATAGTCTCTGTTTGTGGATTATGCTTTATCTTCCATTTCCCTTCCAATTACACCTGCTTATTTCTTCTTTTAGGACTTCTTGACCATGTAACAGTTCTTATTGGAATTGCTTATGAAGGAAAAGCTATAGCAGGAGTCATTAATCAACCCTATTATAACTATGAGGTAGGAAATTGCTTGGTTAGCTGAGGAACATGTAATAATTCTTTACTTCCTTTTCCCTTTTATCTAGATATAAACTCATCTTTAAGCTAGGTAGGGACCTAGGCAACTTGTTCTCTCAGGTCGAATGCTGGCAATCCGTGCTTCTCTGTAAGTCTTCAGCACAACAATGGCAGATATGGGTGTTCTTAGCTTTGGACATCAGGCACAATAATAATCAAGCCTCCCTACGGTGCTGGAAAAGGGGATCTTTATTTAAAAACATAATGCAGAAATTATTTCATTGTTTTAACATAATGCACTGTGAGATTGTTCTGCTGGGATGGGGCTGAATGCAGAGAGTTTTTCTGGATATTTTGTGGAGATGATCTTGTGTTAAGTACAGGGGAGTACTTGCTCCACTGTACTACTCTAGTGGCCAAACTGGACATTCAGCTGGTTCTCACAGCACAGTGACCCCTTGAGAATTTAACCCATGCACTGTGGGTAAAATTGATGATCAGGCACAGTGTGGAGGGGGATTGTGCCTCTCCTTCTCCTGGCCCTTCCCCAGTCCTTCTCCCTGAGTACTCCTGTAGAGTCTTAGGGGGGACACCACAGGAACACTGAGGGGTACAGGATAACAGCACTCAAACTTTGGCAGCTTTGACCACTGATAGGCATTGCACTGCCTACAGGGCAGGACTGCTCATGAGTGATCTTACTTTCCAGGCATCGGCAGGCATTCTGGGGGAGAAGCAAGAAGGGAAATACTGCTTTGCCCTGGGCTTGACAGCCCACACAAATTGACCATGGCCAGGCGGTGGGGAGGCTGCCTCTGCTCTATATGGTGCACTGCAGCTGGGTGGCAAGAAGGCCACCTGTGCCTCTTTGCCACAATTGAGAGCAGGGCTTACTTGGAGTAGACAGGTATAAGACAGCACTGCATAGCATCTTTGGTGGGTTTATATTTCTCCTTAGGCGATTTATACGAAAGGCACTGTTATGTTATCCTGAGATCCTATGCTCATATTTCATCAAGGGACACAGAATCCTGAACTCATCTCTTTCCTAAGTTTTAAAACATAATTCTGTCTGTTGATGGAACTCTCACTTCATCAGAAGAAAGGGAGTGGGGAGAGAGAGAGAGAGAGACTACAGTGAGGGGGAAATCCAGTACATGTTTAGACAGAAAAGGACATCCTGCAGATCCCAGCTTTTCTCACCCAGCCATTGTGGCAGAGTGTCATAGGACACTTTTCTGCCTAAACATGCCGGGGGTGGTACCCTTAGAAAGTTATAATTTATTTCAGCTACAACACTTAAACTTGCATTGCTCCTTTCTTTCTTTTGAAAGTCACACTGAAAGGCATAGCTGCCATGTCTGGAATGTGTATATCTTTTTCTGCAGGCAGGTGCAGATGCGGTCCTAGGCAGGACAATCTGGGGGGTCCTGGGTTTGGGTGCTTTTGGATTTCAGCTGAAAGAGATGCCCGCTGGGAAGCACATCATCACCACCACACGGTCACACAGCAGCAAACTGGTCAACGACTGTGTTAGTGCCATGAACCCTGATAGCGTGGTGAGAGTTGGAGGTGCGGGGAATAAGGTATGGATATCGTCTTATTTTAATTTTGGAACTGATTGATCGTTGTGATCACGGCGTCTTTTCCAGGAGTTGAATTGGGGGGGGGGGGGGGATTAAACCACATGCTGCCTCTCCTCCTGTAAAGGTGCCTAAAATTCCAACAGTGCAGACAAATTGTTATCAAGGTAGGGCGCGCAACCTGAGCCAGGGCATTCTTGGGCCTTAAGGATATTCTTGAGGTTTAGGGAATAGGGGTTCAGCTTCATCCCTTCCTACTTTCAAACATCAGCCCAGAAGGAACAATAGAAAATAATCAAGAAGAAGATTCTGAATTTAGTACTAAGGATTACTTGGAAGAAAGCACACACAACTGTAGAGTTAGATGTTAAGGTTATTTACAATGAAGGAATGGGGAAAGGGAATAAAAAGCATATAAACAGGAACAGCCTCTGGAAATAACACTTTAGGAGAAAATAAAAGATCCCTAAAACAGCCCCCAAAAATTAGCTAAGAAGGAGTCTTCCCATAGGAAAGGCCCCAGTCTGAGATCCAAAGAATGAAAAGTGCAAAACCAAGGTGAAGCCTGAAGATGAAGCCAAATTACTAGCTACAAGCATGGACTTTTTGTGTTCAAGGCCTTGGCAGCTCAAGGAAGATTTCTGTTAGCCCCAAATTGCCTGAAACAGTGCCCCCAAGCCCCATAGGAGAAGGTGAGAGTTCCTATAGGAACGCAGCCAAAATCATTCCATGCAGTTCACTGAATCTTGCTTTGATGCAGTTGCAGGCGAAAGATATTGTAAGAAAGTGGACACACAGGCAGTTGAATCGCTAAGTGTAATTCTGGCTGAGCCAAATAGAGCTTTATATACAGAGCCCCAAGACCTCCCATTACACTGTGGGATATATGAGAGCTAGAAAAGCTTTGTAAGTTCTTTTAACATTGAGAAATAGCAATTCTTGGTGGAGCAGAGGTCATTTAGAGCAGATTCCTTAAACTGTCAGGCCTCCTAACCTTTGGCCAGGCGAGGTGGGCCTGATGGGGCTTGTGCCTCAAAACATCTGGAGGGTGCCAGCTTGAGAAGGCTACTCTGGAGCCTTACCTTGGAAATGCAATGGGACTGTCCCAGTAATATCCGTTGCAGGTCTCTAAAAATGAGAAATGGGGCAGAAGTGTCCATAAAAACAATCACCTTGTTATGACTCAGTTAGAGGGCTCCCCACCCCAATCCCCAAGCAATGCACCTTCAGCTTTCTTAGGTGAGGGAATCAAATTCAGCCCATCCAACAGGAATTCATGTTTGCCCCTGCAAGCCTGCTTTTCCAGAAACTCTCTGAAGTGGTCACCATATAACAGTGACAAAGTAATGTTATGTATAATTTTTTAGGCAGCTATACTTGGGAGCAATAAAAAAGGGAGGGAAGCATGTACAGTGACCTGTCAGTAGATAGACCCATCACTGTAAGTGTTTGTCATGCTTGCTTTTAAAGGCATTGTATGCATGCCTAAAACATGATTGTGAATTCTTTGTTTGTATCAGATCATTCAACTTGTAGAAGGCAAGGCTTCCGCTTATGTGTTTGCCAGCCCTGGATGCAAGAAGTGGGATACCTGTGCGCCAGAGGCTATTTTGCATGCAGTAGGAGGTGAGAACTGCTCCAGTAGATCTAAAATTGAGATCTGCAAATGCAGCTTTGCTTAAGGGTCTCCCCTTGATGAGAACAAAGAAAGTAGAAGTTTCATGTATGTACGATACTTTTGCAGGCGACCCACTAGCCATTCAAGAATATTTGTTATTTACCAGCTGATTTCAATTCTAGTTTTCTTTTTTAATAGAATGTGTGTGTAAAACGTATTTCCCATTTTAGCTTGTAATGGTTTATTTAATTTTATGAAATATGTAAGTTATTCTAGATTTTTAAATTCTCATTTCATGGTTGATGAAACTACATGTTGCTGCTAAATTCTAAACCATGTGCTGCTTCCAAAATTTCAGGTATAAGTTAGCAAACAAGGAGGCAAAACTGAGGCTTCTTTCATTTTCTTTGTGAGAGGAGGAGTCTGTCCTTTATAGAGTGTTCCCCCCACCTCTTGGGTTTTGTCTTTCTCTCCTTTTTTATATATTCTGTGTATCCAACCACAAGGTAGTGTTGTGGTGCATCTGCTGTATAATGGAAATGCAACAATATGATACCAGAATTTCATTCAGGGTTGTTCTGCATTTGAAATTTAATAGCTGACTTTTCTCGCTCCTAAAGAAAGCTGTGAAAATGACTGAAAAGCACAGGAGAGGACCTGGAGGGTGACAGCCCTGTGAAAACAATCAGCAGTTCTATGAGATAATGAGCACACAATACATTTCTCATGTAGAGAAGCCCCATTCTGCATGTTGCTACAAACATTACAGTGCTTCCAACGGTTGTACTTCAAATCAGTTGCATGCCCAGAAGGCCCTTGATTGTTCAGCTAGTCTAATATTGCTTTGCTGAAAAAAAGGGCAGATCTAACTTCTTCATGGTCTGCTGGGTTTCCTTGATACCACTTTCATTTGACATACAGCTAATGTTTGCTAGTGAAACAGGGACAGTTATAGTGTATGCTTTGCCATTGTGCTGAAATGATTCAAAATGTGGGCAAGTTCAAATTTAAATAATCAAGATTTGGAAAGGGAAAGATAATTTCCTTGAAGCACAGTTTGATATATCCCTTTATAGAAATACAGCTGCAGTATCTAAATGGATGAAGGTTAATATCTTATTTTTATTCCTCTCACACCACTCTTTTTTTCAGGTAAACTCACTGATATCCATGGGAATTTCTTTCAATATAACAAAGAAGTCAAGCATATGAATTCAGGAGGTGTCCTTGCTGCCTTAAGAAACCATGAATATTATGCCAGTCGAGTTCCAGAAGCAGTTAAGCAAGCTCTTGTGCCTTAAAATACAAAGGACAGTGCATTCCACTTCACTTAAAAAGAGTCTGAAATAGTATATAGTATTCTTAATTGGAATTGTTAATGATTTATGCATTGAATGAAAGTGTGGTTCTGCCACAGTATTGTGATATATAGATTGCAATCCTATATATGTCTGTCTGGGAATAAGTTCTACTGAGCTTAATGGGACTTATTTCTTAGGAGACATATGAAGGACGGTAGTGTTAGTCATTTTTTAAAAAGTTTATGTACGATAGTTCACTTGTTCAGATAACAATGTGGTTGTCAGTTGTAATACCATGTTCATGTTTTTAAATAGTTGTCAGAGGAACAGTCTGATTCCGTTAATTGGTTTGGTAGTTTTTATTTCATATGCATTCCTATTGAACAATGATAACCTTGTCCAGTCCTTTTCCTTGTTAATCTGAGGGAAAGCAGAAAGCTGAAACTGAGCCTCTCTTGCCTTTAAGAGTACAAAATGAGAAGCTTTGCTATAGGCCCCCTCTACAAGGAAATCATGCGAAGGAGGGACAACATGAGGGTCTGGATATGCAGTTAAGGTGTGGGCCGTGCTGTTTGCCAGCAGGGATCTGGGGACTGGCCCAGCAAATGTGCCTATCACATGAAGAGCGTTCCACTGCACATTGTGCTCTCTTTGGATGAAGGCATCTACAGATCCCTTTCAGGTTTCTACACTGAAAACATGTCATGGTGTGCTTTGCACATAACAACTTAATAGTTAAAACTCAACTGATGGGTTGTTGGGAATGAATAGGCGGGAGCAGCTGTGTTGCCTAGAGTGTGTTGGTTTCTTTCACTTCTGCTCAGCAACCCATGATAGGCTTCTGATGAACATGATGTCCAGATCCAGATTTCTCAGTTATTTAGGAGCTAAACAACCCAGCATTTAACCCAACAACAGACAGTGGGTTAGCAGCTGGTTTGTGTAGCCCCTAAACAGCCCAGCTGTCCAGAGTTGGTCATCATGCTCAGCAGGAGCTGAGTGTGGCCCCCTAAGCAAAACTGAAGAAGTGGGCACCGTTCAAGCAGCACTCCTGCTCTCTCACACTTGTGCGTGACAACCCACTGGGCTGTTACTACAGGTGAACTAGGTCAGTGTATCTTATAAATATAATCGAGGGTGGAATTATAGTTCCTGCTTCTTACTTTTGGTACATAAACCTTAAGCTTGAGTTACAATTTCCTGGTTCACAAAGGGGGTTGGGAGAGGGCACTCAACCTTCTCAGTTGTTCTTGCCCCATCAAGCCATATCTGAAACAGACCTATTTGCCATACTTATGCAGACTGTGCTTATAGTTCCACACCAAATTTTTTTGCAAGATAGATAGCCACGAGGCACTTTTCTATATGAACGCCTATCATTTCTTCTGAGCAGTAGTTCTGAAATTATGTGGATCTCACTTTATTACAAAATAAACTTATAATAAAACCAGACTAGTAAAATTCTTTTTCATTTGTCTAAGTTTCAGAAGAAACTTATCTGGCTTCTGTTCAGAATAGAATTCTTGTGTATTTTTAAGAGAATTTGTTTTAGAGAATTTTATATTTTATTAATCTAAGCTGTGTACAAATGCAGTATTACTACATTCCATTTATATCCCACTTTTTATTATTTATTTATTTATTTAAAGTGTTTATATGCCTTGCTACATAGCCTCAGGACGGCTCACAGAATAAATAAATAGAACAATAACAATTACAATTAAAACCTGGAAACACACTGGCTGCACTTTTAAAATCTATAAATATTAAACATTATTAAAATACTGTTTGAATAAAAAGATCTTGGCCTGGCACCGGAAAACAAATTTCTCCTTGTGAGGAACTCAGAGTGGCTTACATAACTCTATTTCATCCTCACAAAAACAGCCCTGTGAGGTAAGTTGGACTGTGGATCTGTGACCAGCCCAAAGTCACCCAGTGAACTTCAGGACTGAATGGTGACCAGAACCTGGATCTCCCAGGTCCCCACTCCAATGCTCTACCACACCAGCTCTCAGACCATGAACAGAATTTATCATGCTATAATAAATGCAATTCTGTAAAATTGCAGTAATAATTAAACAAGTAACAGGCTGATAAAACTAATTTTTAAAACAATAACAGGCTGAAGCAACCTTACCCAGCCTTGGTGAATAAAAAAAGGCTTACCTTGGTTCTAAAGAGATTTTAACATCAACATGGCATTTGCTACTTTGAGAAGGTGTTCTAAAGTCATGTTACAACTGCAGAAAAGGAGGGAAAGCTTTCAAGGCTGCCATTTTGGCAGAGCCTGGGAAATGCTTGAAGTGCTGGGAGGGGATTTGGGAGAGCAGCCTGGTCCAATCCTTGACCCATGACATGGCATTGAGGGAGAAGGGCTAGCCAACTACATGGCTGGCATAGATAAAGGAAGCTAGCCTTTCTCCACCAAGGCACACCCAGAGAGGTAGAGCCCAGGATTACAGAAAAGCAGGGTTCTCAGAAATAGTTTCTAGTTTCAACAAGCTGCTCTGTCAATGCACAGAGACTCTTCCTCTGTTGGCTTTTAGTTTGCTGGCTGTACACTGGAAATAAAGTGCTTACTGCCAGAGAACTGTCTGTTGATTGAAAGGAAGGCAGGAACCCAGATCCTGTCATGCACCACTGCTGAGCTTTTGCCCATTCCTGTCTCAGGGATGGCTAGACCTGGTGAAGCAGCTGAAGCAGGTAAAAAGAACTCCTGGCCCTCTAGTGACAAACCTGGATTTTTTCTCCCCACCACCACACACCCATAGCAGATCTGTTCCTTATGGGGGAATGCAAAGGCCTCTGAAAGGCCTCACCTGAGCAAGATGACAAAAAGAAGTAGAGTTACTGTATGTGTCAGCAGCATAGTGATGACAATTCACTTCCGATCGCCAGATTATCTCCCCCAGTGACTTCGGCTGTGTGTATATGTCTGTAAAGCTACACACACTCTCACAAACATGAACTATATTAATATTTTTGTCATTTAGGTGTTCACAGCTTGACTAACACATCTTTCCTAAATAAAATTAATAGCTATTTGTGAGGACAGCTATACTAATGGCAATTTTATAAATGCTTAGCGATTATATAATTTTTGTTACAATTAACACTCAGCTGAAAAGTCTACTCAGAACAGATGCTGAAGCTGAATCCTCACAAAGTGATAAAAGTGCAGGCAGCACTATCTTGTTGTCTATCAGCCTTTGTTCGTTCATTCATACAATGTATTTCTATTGCATTCTTTGGTCAAAAGATACCTCTGCTACTCAACAGCTTATAAGAATCAAGAATTTGGCAGACCTCAGACCCAAACCTCAAAATACTTAAGACACAAGAAAAGGGGTTGGATGGGAGAGGGAAAAAGCATGATGATGCTTGATTACATCTTCCAGACGGGTAGGAATAATATATGAACTCAGGTTTGTACTGTACCTATTGCTATCTATTGACCAGGGCTGGCCTGGTCATTGCAACTTTCCCCCTTTTTAAACATTTTCTGCAGCTTTTCTTTTGACTCCAAGTTTAATCTGTTTCTTCTCTCATCTCCACAGGGTAAGATGTTTGGTCAGATGCTTTTCTGGTGTTAGTTTGGAGGGGGATGGACCACTCTTGGGACCGAGATGATGGCAGCTTACTGAGTTATCTGTGAAGGGCACACATTGATTTCATTGCAGAATAACACTTCAGATCACTGCCAAAGTGACCTCTAGCCCACAGAAACTTTTGCCACAATATAATAGACTTACTGGTGCCTTACACTCCTCTGTTGACATTTCCCAAGGTAGTACTCAAGTCTTTTGTCAGTCTTGGGGCCAAACAACACATGATGCAGGAGGTCCACTGATCTTTTGTCATCCTTTTCTTCCTTTAAATGCAAAGCGGGAGGGGGCCAGAGGAAAGAAATAGTTTGGATCAGGGCTGCTTGTATTAAGTGATCCTGATATTGTGTACTTGAGTCCATAACCACAGTTAATCACACATGGTGTCATTTAAATTCTAGCATATTGTTGTAGTGGTTTAACTGTATTTTGCTAAGTGTTTTTATCATTTTTATTACTTGCTGGACATTATGTAATAGAATGGTGATGAGATTATCTAAAAAGGGAAGAGTACCAGCTCTGAGCCCTTGTAATTGGCTGGAAATCCACCTAAATGATTAAAAATGTTATTACTATCATTGTTCCAGCTACATTACCATTTCCTTTGAATGATGACATCTCTGAGAGACCAGCTATTTACAGGAAATGCAGAACAGGTGCTTTCATGCCTGCAGAAGGCATGTGGCAGAGGTCATGTTAGGCAGGTAGGCCACTAGGGCTGGAGCCCCCAATCTCTCAGAGGCCATCTGCCGTGCCACCTTGCTGTCCATGGGCACCTTGCTGTCCACGGGTACAGCTGGCTTGGTGCTCTGTTGCATCTGATGCTTTTATGCCTGGATTTGCTTCAGCTTGTGCTTCTCTGCCCTTGAAGCAGGTTCTCCCACCAAATCAAATGGCCTCTTCTCCCTGTCCACATATCCTGCCCCACAAATAGGGGTCTCTTTAGAAGATACAGATCTTTATTTGAGGATTTGTTTGGTCCTGTGGGCCTGAGCTGCAGAACTTCTTAGTTTCTAGCACTGTCCATGGTGTGTGGAACCAGCCCTTTTCTTGAAACCAAGAAGTAAAGCACTGTACTTCTTGGATACAAGCTTAAAAAACTGTGTTTGTCACATACGTAGTGCAGTTTTAAGTGTAGTTAGAAACATGTATGATGTATGAAGTGATGATCCTCATGTTAAATTGCAGATGGGGGCAACGAGTAGCCCTATAGATGCTTTGGCCTATTACTCCATTGGCTCTGGCTGGTGTGATGAAGGGAACTGCAGGCTTTAAAAAAAATGTAGATGGTCATACAACTAAACTGATGGTTCTCAGCCAGGCCTAACCCTATTATTTTGCAAAGCGAGGTGGCTGCCTCAGGTGGCAGCCAAGAACTAGAGCCTGCCTTGTGCCCTCTAATCTTTCACGAATGCAGTAGCAGAGTGGGATGGGGACTATACTATTCCCCACCTCAGGCAGAAAAATGTCTTGAACCATCCCAAGCCTGAACTCTCCGGTATCAGCAGAGGGTTCCCATCATTCCTGATCATCAGCAATACTGGCTGAGGATGATCAGAGTCATAGACCAACACCATCAGAGCTTGGGCTACCACTCTAGAGGACAGAAAGAGGTGTTTTTGAGAGGCCGCAGGCAGTTTGTTGGACTTGGGGTGTCCAGGTTCAAGTCACCATGAAGAGGGAGCTGCGGGCCTTTGGAGCCGTCTAAGTGTCCGCAGGGATCGAGGCTGAGGAGCGGTGTCGCTTGGCTGCTGGAAGGACGACGCGCTGGCGCAGTCAGTGCCAAGCCTTGTGACCGAGCCGGAGGAGGCGGAGGCGAGGCGGAGGCGGCGCCAAGGCAGAGCCGGGCCCGGCCGGGCAAGGGGAGGAGGCCGGTGCTCCGCCTCGCAGTGACTCGTCGCCGGTGGTTCCGCGCAGCCTTCCCGCCCCATCCTTCCGACTGCCGCTGCCGCTCTCGCTCCAGCCGGAATGGCGCTGAGCCTGACGGTGAACCCGGGAGACCTCCCTCTCGGTAAGGACGGCCTGCTTCCCTTTCGGGCTTCCCTTCCCGCCGACTGGGGCCGCTCGACATCCCTGCCTTGTCGTCCTTCCCGCCCCAGGGAAGCGGGGCGTGTTGCTGCCATGTTGCATCAGGCTGCGTGCGCGTAAAGCGCCCGGCCGCCCATTCATTCCTCTCCACTGCCAGCCTAGGGAGCTATTTTGAGCGGGGCTGCGAGGGCGAAAATCGCGTCTCACGCTCCTCCCAAGGAGTTTCGGGGTCTGGGAGGTCGCGGCTGGGCCAAGGGCCGACGGACACAAGGGTTGGTGGAAGGAGGCCGAGGAAGGGCTGTGGAAGCCGCAGCAGGGCAGACAGGGAAAGAGACACGGGTACGCAGAGACACACGTGGCATCGGGAGGGCAGGTGGGCAAGGAAGAGGGTGTGTTGTGGGGTGGGGGCGGCTGCAGGCTGAAAGGGGTTGACACGTGGCACGGCTGATGCCAGGCGCAGCGGTTGACCACTGGAGGTGTACGTAGGCCGCAAGGCTCTGCCATGCCCTGTCTGTAGTTTTGGATTAGTGATCTCTTAACACCATTTAATCACCTTGCTCAATTACAAGTCAGGGTTGAGCAGAAAGGGCGGACAGACTGGAATGGCTATGTGTGCCTCTACATACAGTCATTTTCACTTAGACACACACTTGTCTCTCCCCAGGACTTAGGCAATAGGTTCTAAATGGATAAAGCACCCTTTTTCCATTTTCCTTCATCTGTTTTCTCTATAGATAGGTTTGCATTTTAAAGCGGATCTCAGGATTTCAGGCCTGGTTTTTTGGCATTTAACCTGATGTATCCCTTTTAAGTTGCTGAGGATAGCCATGTTAATGAAAGCTTTAAATTAGTGGATTCTTTGTCTTTTAGCATAGAAATTTTCTGTTTGTGTACCTATCCATGATGCACTTACTTGTAAGTCCCATTGAACTCAGTTGGTGTTCTGAGTAGACAGGCATAGGATTATATTGTAGGCCATCTCACATCTGCAACTACACATTGTAAGGATATGATGCGTAAATGTCATGAAGCAGAGTAAGTTGAGCAGGTGAGGAATCTGGGGAAGGGTTCCCTCAATGTGAGAAAAATCTAAATAATGTACAGTTTGAGGGAAGTTTTAAAAGTTTAAATGAGCAGCATAGATTTAAATTTTTATTTTACATGACACAATGAGTTCCTTTTTAGGAAATTCCATCCATACAGATGCCCTTACTGAATTGGGACTGCATTTAGGCATAGTAGGTAGGGTGTAGCTCAGGAGGATTTATGCCCAGTCATGGGATTTCTATAGTACTTATAGCTTGTCATCCTGTCTCCAAAAACAACTCTGTTGTAGACTGAAATAAGTAATCTAAATTTGCCAACAGTAACACTTCGGTCACTGAAAAGGTTGAACTTGCAGTTTTGTATACCATAAGTATTTCCTCAAAATTGCTGCAAACTATAAAAATAATGATCATGAATGATGCTTAGAACAATTGAGTGGATTCTCATAATAGGACATTATGAGCTGAATTCAGATAGACATGAGTATATGCAGAAATAGCCACATCTTTTTGGCTCACATATATTGCTCACATATATGTGCATGTGAGAATGATTTTGTAGGAACTTTGTTTCCACATTGCGATTTAATCGGCTGTCAAATTCTGCTCCTGTCATAGTATAAACTTTTTCTTTTGTGCTTTCATGTTATCTTAGTACCTTATGGCATGGTACTTATATATCTACTTAGTAGTAAGCCCTACTGAGTTCAATGGAGCTTAGTTTGGGATAGACATGAATAGGATTGGTGTTAGATACTAGATGTAGATACATGTAGATTTGGACTTCTGAGGACTCGAATATGCAGTCAAGATGGAAAGGTTTTATCTCAGGTTTGCCTTGGAAATATTGCACCTTTTGAAAAGAATGCTATAGAATAAGTTAATATTACATAATCATGAAGAGGATACTGATATTTATACGGAAGACTCATAAGCAGTTTTATTTAGTGAGCTGTCTTGCTAATCTAACTTGTTCCTAAAACTAATTCATATTCATTATGGTTTAAATTTAACTAGCATCTGTTTAGCTTAACAACTAAGTTGTTGTTCCTCCTAGTCAGTAGTAATAGTAGTCTACCAGAACTACTCATTGTGCTGTCAAACCTTTAAAAAAACATAGATCATAATTATTTAGTTAAACCCTCCATTTATGTTGATTGGAAATCAGTCACATGTAAAACATTAGTTTGAAATCTGTTTTATACAATCTTTAACATTATAAGTATAAGTACATTTTGTAGTTTTAATAATTTCAATAAATTTATGTCTTGGTTAAACAGACCCTTTGGAAGTTGTTGATTTAGGTTTTAGGACATGATCCAGGCAAAGTGAATCACCTTTTAGGTCCACCTTGATTTAGGCATAACTCTTCCATTGAAATCAGTGGGATTTAAAGATGGTTAAGATTTAGCTGGATCATGGTTTTAGCGCAGTACTATGAATTTTACAGTAGTGCTAGGCAGTGGGTTTACAGCAAATTTTTGCTGAGGTCATGGCAGGTTTTATTGTAGGTTTTAGTCTCCCTCCTGAGCACTAATTGCTTCCAGGAAGCAGATGCCAACAAATTCATGTAGGATTGAACTGATTTTTTTCCCCTGCGTGTATTGGTCTACATTTCATAGTAAAACTGTTGTGAGTTTGGTTATCTTTTACACTATCAGTATGAAATATTTCATCTATTAGGAGCCTTGCTGACTGCAGAACATGTGAAGAATCATGTTAAAATTTCAGTTGAAGAAGGCAAAGAGACCATCCTACGGGTATCTGAGTAAGTGCCTTATATGTCTGCCATCATTACTTTTAAAAGTCAGTTGATATAATATTGATCCTGGCAAGAGGAGAGCAGAAGGAAGAATAATTCTGACTTAATGATGTTATGTAGAATGAATAACTAGTTAGGGTACAGCTCTGTTTGGTTGACACTCACTAGATGGAATCCTTTGATCTTGGAGGTTTTTATGATTCCACTGGCAAGCCAGACTACTGCTAGCAGAGCAGGAGGAAAGAAGTCATAATACTGTCTATGGCTTGAGGACAGGGAATCTGAAAAATACTATATATCTAGGGTATTATTTCAGGGACAATAGAGTTGCACCCTTAAGCATTGTATTTGTTGACTTTTGTTTGTTCATTTCTTTCATCTGCACTCCAAAATTACTTTGATACTTTCATTTGTAGATTTGATTCATTTTTAATACTGCCTTTCCTGTAAAGGCCCTTGATTATACATTTTAAGACATTTTGGCAAAATTAATTTCTATTCATGAAGCATAAGGATTGAATTGATTTTTGCAGTGGTCTGATGTAGCTTCTTTATAGGTTCTCTATTTCTTTGGACCATTGAGCTATGTAGAACTTGCTGTGAAACCTGGTAGAGCGACATGAATTTTATTGTGTAGGAATTTAGGAATCAGGACGTCTGTGGCTGCCGTGTTCCTGATGTTGGCAGCTGTGTCTTGCGTTGCACATCCACTGAGTCATTCCTTTTCTGTCTCACCTGTCCTATTCTCTGGTGGTTCTTAAGGAAGAATTGGGAAGTGGTACCATGATGTTGAGTACTGACTAGAATTTCCAGCTCCATGTGACTGGCCCTCTTCTGCTCTAGTAGTCACTTACTTGCAGGAGTTGAACCATCTGAACAGATTGTAGGCTAAAAGGAAGCATGCTGTATTGATGCTTTTATCTTTTTTATTATGAAATCATGTTACAGATCTTTAGATTGGTAAAGTTAACACATGTCAGGACAGGTACACTTTGGATGAAAAGTAGGTTATGATTCCTATGTAGAAGTATAAGAAATTGTTGGAGTTATTGACAAGTTGTGAGTTTTGGGTGATGAAACAACCAGATAGATTTGTGATTTCATTTATTACATTTGTGACTGACACATAGATGTAGCTAATATTTAACATGTAGGAAAATTTATTAAGAATTGTTTTCCAAGATATGCGGCCCTGAGAATTCCTTTCAAGTGTAGACAAAATGTTGTGCATATGTTGCAAATGTATTAATGTTTTTTCTTGTCAGTCAGCATTGTAGTTTGACATATGGTGTCTGAGACTGTTCCACCGCTACCAATTTGTTGCTATTAAATACTAATTAAATAGTAATTCTTACTGGGTGAATTTTTACTCAACAATTCACTCAGTACCAAGCTCGACTGTTCATGCATAGAGGTAACCAGGCAGCCACTGTGCTCGATCACAGCCTGTCCTTGCAATACTTTGCAGTATTGCAGTATATTCTTGAGCAATCAGTTTGCCCTTCAATGTTATTTTTACCTTTATTTTATCCAGCTCTGTAACAAATTTTTACATTGAATTTCTATAGCAGCACAGCTCTTAAAACGGTGATTAAGGAGCATTCGCTGAGAAATATCCAATTTTACTTGCATTCCTAGTAAATAACTTCTATTGGCCTGAAGAAATTAATCTATAAATTTGGTTTGGCTTCATATATTTCAGATTCATTTTTCATGAATTCTGGATCTGAACATGTTTTTAAGTTAAAATAAGAATCTAGCCCATTTGTTTTCTTATTGATACAAATGCCTAGGATTGTATCTAATTGTGGTTGGGCCTTAGTGGAAGTTACTTCCATTCTTGCAATTCAGGGCACCTGTTTTTTCGCTGGTGCCCTACTGCTTATTTAATCCCCCACCCCATCCCTTCTGAAAAGCCCTTTCTAAAGTTTAGTGTCCTTTTGGAACAAAATGGGATATCATAGAATGCTGCAGTGAGGGGAGGGTTGGGCAGACATTGGTGCCCCACCTTGTGCAACAACAGTGCTTTTCACTAAGGCATAGCTTAGCCTTTCACTGAACAACAAAATTAGTAAATGCTGTTCTTGCTGTAAAGCGGGTAGATGAGGCGAAATCCAGCCTTCCTAGAGTACCTACTCTAGATGATTTATTCCTTTCAAGTGCTTTCAGAGCAGCTTTCACTTCACTTTCTAATATTGCAGTTTGTTCCTCATAGGATGCATTTCTGAAGGAGTCTGTCATCGTCTTATCTCTTCTGTATAGTGTTTCAATATATCTCTTCCACTTTTTCTTTATTATATCCTGGTTAGGGAGTGTATTTACTGTTTGTCTTTCAACATTCTTAATCTAAGTTTGAATTTCTCTTTCATTTCTTGAATCTGCTGGAAGAGCTCACTTGGTTTTCTCTTTTGATAATTTCTTCTATTTTTTTTCCCACTGGCCAGTATAATAGTTCGTTTTGTTTCTATGTGGCAGTCACTGAAAAGTTGCATTCGGGATTCTGATCCTATTTTGGTCACCTTCTGCCTCTCTTCTGTCCTTAACAATTGTGTTTCTTCCAAACCCATCTAGGCTTTCTCTTTCCCTTTGCTACAGGAATTGTTTGACCTCTTCCTTAATAATGTCTCTGGTTTCACTCCATAGTTCTTCTGGTTCCCTGTCAGTTGAGTTCAAGAATGGAATCTATTCTTTATGTGGACTTTTTCAGGACTGTTATTTAAGTTGTATTTTGGCACTCTGCTTCCGTTAGTGATTTTTTCAAATTTGCTGTAGGCTTTAATATTGAGAGTTCATGGTTACTACCACAATCTGTTCCTGCTGTTGTTTTGGCAGCAAGAATACAGCTTCTCCATCTTTTGATTCTAGTTACATAACCTGTTTGATTTCTGTATTGGCCATTTGGTGATATCCGTGTGTACATCCTTCTTATCTCTTGCCTAAAGTATGTATTTACAATAAAAGATGGTTGGCTTCACAGAACTGTATCAGTCATTTTCTTGCTTCGTTTCTGATCCTTAGACCAAATTCTTCCACGAAGTTTGATTCTGGTTTGTTTCCTATTTCTGTGTTCCAGTCATTTATGATGATCAGCATGTCTTGTTTTGGTATGTTATGGTTTCCTCTTGAATGTTATGTAAAATGTTTGATTTCTTCTTCAGCTTCTGTTGGAGCATAGTTGAATGATGATTTTGTTCAGAATTGTGATTTTGTTCAGACTTTGCAGATAGCCCCCTGCTGCCTGTGCCATGTCTTGCCACAGTATTAGAACCACACAGTTTCCTCTGAGTTTGTCATTTCCAGAGTAAAACTCTTTCTGTTTGTCTGACAGAAAATGTTCATTTTCAGTACATTTTAGTTTAGTTTCAGTACATTTTAGTTTCTTCACACTGAGTACTGCATTATTTAGCCATTCCATTTCTTTCTTTATGGTTTCTAGTTTGCCTTGATTCAAACTTCTCATGTTACATCTTCCAATTGTATGTGTTGTGCAGCATTGGGCTTGCATTTCGCCTCTCTGAATGTCAGCTACTACATTTCCTTTCGGCTTTGATTAGCTGTGTCATTAGTGGCAGTGCTATTTGTACTTGTCCTTTGCTTTTCCCCAGTAGCTGACTGCCTTCTGACCTGGGAGTCTCATCTTCTGGTACTTTCTCTCATTTCATTTTGAACTATTTCATCATAACTTTTTCAAGGCACGCAGTAATCAGAAGTGGTTTACCATTGCCTCCTTCAGTACCATTGCCATGCTACACAGTACTAGCCAGAGTTAGCATAAGCATCACTGTCATTGTTTGCAGAAGATTCTCTGCCAGTATCACATTCATCTACCACTGCTGCCCAGTAGCTGCCCTTCAGAAGTTTCTCTGCCCTCATCGTCATTAGAAAGATCCATTCTCTTCTGCTGTTGCCACCATTACTCCTGAAGAGGATGGGAGCATCTTAGTTTGGTGTCTCTGCTTTGACCGTTCTGCCCTGAGTGATACTGCTAAGAGACCAGCTTAGTGAGACAATCTGGCCTCCTGACAATGTTGCTCTTGACGTCTCGAAAACATGTAAAACAATTAGGAAGTACATTTTAATTTTGTCAACATTGGACAGAAGAAGTGGCACTGAGAGCCCTAATAGTTGCAAAGAGCTTGGAAGGATAAATAGCCACCAGTTACTATTCAGTGGATGGAACATCTTACTGCATTTGCAGTATTTGAATGCCAGTCTGACAGTCAACAATTTCATCTGGTTGCTTATCTAGATCTACTCATTGCTTATAATAACTCACATATTTGAGACATAAATGTCAGTTTTTAAAAAACCAGTATTCACAAGTGAATACACTTTATTCTTTTTTTGCATAACTTATTCATGGTTATGCATGGTTAACTTATACATGGTTGCATAACTTATTCAAACTTGTTAAACTTTTCTTAGCATTTTCCTTCCCTGGGTAATAAAGATTATTGCAGTGTAGCAAATTATAAGGTTCAGATAAAGTTATGTGTGTTCTTCTGGTAGTAAGCCCATTAATTCTTCTGGAAATAACTTGCTAGGCTATTTTTATAATCCATTCTAATGCAGTTATAGTCCAAGTATCGATAAACACATTTTTCATCTTTCTTCAATAGCCAAGTTGCATTCACGGATGTGAATTCCATAGCTCGCTATCTGGCCAGAATTGCCACATCTTCTGGATTATATGGATCTAATTTGCTGGAGCACACTGAGGTGAGAAACAGTCTTGTATATTTGATATTGACTCATGAAGTTGGAAAGGCCATTTAAACTGCCATGTCCTACTCTCTGCTCAGTGCAGGAATCCCAGTTTAAACTCACAGATTGTTGTCCATCTTTCTCTGAATATATCCAGTGATGGACAGCCCACCACCTAAGGCAGCTGGCTTCATTGTGTGACTGGTCTGACGTACACTGCCCTGGAATTGCAGTGTACATCAGACCCTATTTGATCAATCCCTTAAATGTTGCAGAATATCATCCGCTGATGTGTACTTAATTAATTCATCTTCTAGTAATTAATATTTCTATAAGAGCTGTGTAATGCCTTTTTGTTGCTTATAATTAATGCTTTTTTGTAAGTTGTTAGCTATTATTTGAATGGTATAATTTTCTCCTTTTCCAAAGATTGACCATTGGATGGAGTTCAGCACCACAAAGCTGTCAGATCCTACCAAGTTTGCTCTAGCACTTCAAGAGCTCAATAACTCCCTTTCTCTGAGAACCTACTTGGTTGGAAACACTTTGAGCCTTGCAGATTTCAGTGTCTGGGCAGCACTAAAAGGTGAAGAATGTAGTAAACTGCTAAAATGTGTTATGTCTTGATCAATGCTCATTCATGTTTTCATTGTATCTTGTGGTGTTGTAAATTTATATAAGTGATGATGCCTCATGTATTAAAATCCATGGAATTCTCTACTTATTTTGTCTTTAAGTAAATTTAGATCAGAGTCCTATTGTGATCCCATAAGCTGCCAAACTTAGTCACTTATGGTGAGCCTTGCCTGTGCCTCACCCTAGATGCTAGATGGATTTTCTGCACTAGGAAGAGGAGGGATTGGAGGTCTGATTCCAAATTCAGAGCCCTGTTTTCAACCCTGACCTGGGAATCTGAAATGCCCTATGGCTCATTCGATGTCTAGGCTATAGGATTGCTGCCTTATCAGGAGCATCAAATTCTACTTACCACCACCACCACACTTCTATACCATGGTGTGGCTGATGCTCCTGTTTCACATGAGGGATGTGCTATGCTGCAGCATGTATTGTTCTTTCAATTTACTGCTTTTATCAGATTGTTTAACATTGTTTGTTTTAATTATTACTCTTCCTCAAAGTACTTTTAGGGTTGAAGAGCAGGGTGTAAATATCTGTAAATAAATAACATCACATTTTGTATAAATAAAATGCTACAATATGTTGAATTTTATCCATCATTTTCAGGCTGTTCAGAACATGGAAGGACCTCTTCCAGAAATATAACTGCCCCTTTTTGAACACAAATTCCTTCCATTTACAGGGCAAAAATGTTTTCTACAACCTCTTAAATTCACAGATCCATTAAATCTACAGACAAACTATGATGAAACAGCTTTTTGCATTGTGCCATCACCATTTTTATCAGTGAAAGATCTCATTTTTCCTTCTTTAAATAGTATAGACTTATAGTTTGAGTAATTATCACCATGCTCTTCCATCATTCAATAAAATCAAAAACTAAAATTGTGTTATAATAGCAGTGATTTCGCAAATGCATGTTTCATAATCTGTAAATATTCTGCTTTATTTTTGTATAAATAAAGTTAGTAATATGTAATATCAGGCTGTTTCCTAGTTTTTAATACATCTTTTCCCAACAGGCAACAATACCTGGCAAGAACAGTTACTTCAGAGTAATTGTCCAGTTCATGTGAAACGCTGGTACAATTTTCTTGAAGCCCAATGTGTTTTTCAGTCAGTAGGTTCCAGGTGGACTGTGGGAGGCCCTGTTCCAAAGGCTAAAGTGGTAAGCTTATTGCTGATTAGGAATTTCTGGCTGAAATTTTGCCAAAAAGTCTGACATCTAAAGAAGATGAAATATAACTGAAGGCAGGACGTGCTCCAATGGAGCAAAGCTCAGGGAACCAAGGTTGCATTTAGATGCCAGGAAGCACTTCCTGACAGTTAGGACCCCAAGGGAATGGGCTTCCACGAGAGGTCGTTGAGGCCCCATTGGTGAGGGTGTTCAAAGATAGGCTGGACATGCGCATGGCGGGCATGTCATGAGCGGAGCCGGCTGGAGCCGGGGATCAGACTAGATGGCACAGGAGGCACCTCTTGACTCGCTCCATTTCTGTGTTTCTGTGTTATCTACAAAGTGCTGAGCAAAAAAAGGTTGCAATGATCTGGTGCCTAACTGAGCTGAATCTGAATCGGCAAACATTGTTTGCATAGTTCCAAAACAAATAAGTGGGAATATATAAGTTAATAATGGGAGAAATTAAAACCTAGCTGATAGTTTTGTGACTTTTTAGTTGGTCTTATAGAGGATGTTATGCTACTATGGACCTTTTCCAAATGAATCAGCAGCTGTTGTTTTTATGTACAATGCAAGTTGTCAAAGTGTAGTTAAAAATGGATTTAAAGAAACAAACCTGTTCAGTTTTGAACTGAGTAGTTAGATACATGGATTTTATTGATATAGGAGAGCCAAGGTTATTGGCCTTGTCCTGTTTCAACTTAATTGAATTGCTTGTTAACATAAAGATAATACCATTGCTTAAGACACTGTTATTTGGGTGGAGGTTAACACAACAAATCTCAAATAATTGTTGCATAGCACAGCTGTTAATCATTTCTCAGACTATATCATTCTGAATTCTCTTATTAGTGCATGCATTAATAATGTCATTTATTTATTTTTAAGACTGAAGAAAAGAAGCAAGATGTTGGAAAATTTGTTGAGCTCCCTGGTGCGGAGATGGGAAAGGTCATTGTTAGATTTCCTCCTGAAGCAAGTGGGTAAGTTGACATATTCTGTTAAGGACTTTAAAACCCAGATTCCTTTCACAAAATGAAAGCTAATGGGATTAAAAGATACTGCTTTTGCAATAAATGCAGGAGAATTAAATAAAAAACAGAGTTTGTAAATTTGAAGCTTGTTCTTTTTCCTAGATACTTGCATATTGGTCATGCAAAAGCTGCTCTATTGAATCAGCACTATCAGGTCAACTTCAAGGGTAAACTGATCATGAGGTTTGATGATACAAATCCTGAAAAAGAAAAAGAAGACTTTGAAAAGGTATCTGAAACTCAGTCATTTGTAATGTTACTGTACAATTAATTATCTAGATATCTCACTATGGTTCCAGTTGCTTAATTTTTATATAGTTATTTTAATTGGAGAGAGGGAGAAAATACAGAGGATTTCATTATTTTGCATGGCATTCACACATGATTTTGCTGAATTTTAACAATGGTCATGGAGCATTTAAATAACCTTGAGAATTACTAGTTTCAAGAGCTCTGACTTGTATATAGCAGAAGAACAAACGAAATTCTAGCTCAGGATTAAAGTTGCCTGTCACTTTTTAGTCAACAGGCAGCCCTGTTTAACTTTAGCAGTGTTGTTGCATCCTGTGCCTTTAGAACATGCCCAGAGGCAGTGGAAATTGGGTTAAATGGGCAAATCCTTCCCACCTAGTCTATCCTGCCCATTCCTGCAGATAGATAAAAAAGAACATTGGTGATTCACCTTGCTCATGTGGATTCGCTTCTTGCATTTTTTCTATACAGCCCTGAGACATTGTGAAGGGTGGGATAGAAAATCTTTAAACAAACAAACAAACAAACAAACAGATTCGGCCCTTCAGATATTGCTGTGGTGAGGTGGGCTGAAAAGAAGTGCTGGTGAATAACACATAAAAAGACTTCTTATAGATTTATGTTACTTTCAATCCACAGTAAGAAATAACAGCCTGTTATACAGCCTGATCCTGTGTGAAGCTGACCTTCCTTATTTTTTAAAAAAATTAAATGGTTACATTGATAGGAGATACATTCCTTGCTGACTCTCTCAACCTAGTACTGCTTCCTACATCATGCAGGATGTCTTGGGCTTTACTACTTCCCGACATAGCTTGGAGTACAATTTCTGTATTTTGCTTGCTTGGGTTTCCTTTATTGAAAATTCTCTAAGAACTATATGGCAGTTTTAGCATTCTTTTGGGTGAATAACATTTCCATTTTTGTTAGGTTTCACTCTATGTTGCAAGTTCTCAAAGAAACTGAAAGTTGCATTTCTTGAATACATCCCTCTTCTTTCCTCATTTAGCTGCATTGTTTTGCACTTGCACAGAGATTTAGATTTGATTTAGACAAAGAATAGAATGCTCTTATTGTGTTTTATCTGATGAAGAGTTTGAAAAACAAAAGAAATTTGATATAGGTGAGAACTATGTTTTGAACCATGGTTGTAGAGAATTTAAAGTCCCCCCTCTCCCAATTGATGATGATATACCAAGATATCAGTGAAGGCTTCTACTCCCCAAGGAAGCATTTGAGGAATGCTTTGAGATGAGAAAATAAAGAACAGACTTCTGTAAGTAATAGGACTTAATGCTAGTAGAGGATGATGTCAGTTTGATCCTTAAAAATTATATTTGCAGGTTATTTTGGAAGATGTTGCAATGCTGCACATTAAACCAGACCAATTGACATACACTTCTGATCATTTTGAAACCATAATGAGATATGCTGAGAAGCTCATTCAGGAAGGGAAGGCTTACGTAGATGACACGCCAGCGGAACAAATGAAAATGGAACGAGAGCAGAGAATAGAGTCCAAGCACAGAAACAACTGTAAGAAGCTTTATCTAGGTTTCATCTCCTTTTGTATAATGTAATTTCTCTGAAATGTAGTAATTGCTTCATCAATATACAATTTCAGAGCATGCAGAACCCTTCAGCTGCTGTGAGTGTGATTAAAAATGGCCTCAGTAACTCATTGTGTATTATTGCCTAAGTTCTCATCCCTTGGTAATACCAAGTAGTGGCAAGTTCATTCTTAAGGAATCAATCAAGAGCCCACTGAAAAGGATCTTGAGCTGTATTGAACAAGGCAAATGCTTTACATGTGGAAGGCTCCTGGTTAGTCTGCAACTTCTGCAGTTAAAATAATCTTGGATTGCAGAGATGGCAGAGTGCTGCCCGGCAAGAATCTGTCAGTCAGGATAGACAATAGGAGGTTGGTTGACCAATGATCTGATGAAGTATAAGGTTGCTTCATATAACTATATATGTATTTGTCAAGCAAAGATATCCAAAACTATGCAAAACTATGCAAAGACTGCAAAAATATGAAGCTTCTTAATCTGTCCCTTATATGATGGTTGGCATTTTAATTTGGTGTTGTCTCCATGTTCCATTGATGCTCATTCCCTCTAAAAAATAGTGCCCAACAGGCATTGCTTCTTTATAATCCCAGGAGAAAGTGCCTGAGGGTATAAAAATACAACCCTGCATAAAAGTGGTTTGGCCAACTGACTTTAAAAACCCATAGCAAAGCTTTCCCTCAATGGATTTTCATTCTGTGTTCTGGAAGGTAAAGCTTAGAATCTTGGCTTTAAAATAAGACTTAAGATGATCTGAATTGAACCTAGCTTCATGCCTTTTTTAGGACCTTTGTTTGGTGTGTCAAGGTCCAGCTATTCCTATGCGGCTTTCTGTGTGACTTTGTCACTCTAAGCATTTTTCTTTTATCAAATGGCAACAACAACAAAAGGTAAAGGGTAGAAAGCTGACACTTGATGTTTTAGCACAGTCATGTTTTGACAGTGTTATAAAAGAACAAATTGGTAGGACTACTGACAGGGCTTTTTTTGTCATAGAACGCACCGGAACGGCGTTCTGGCACCTTTTTCCCCAATGGATTTTACGAAGTGATTTTGAATCGTAGCAGATCAGCAGCAAACATCATTAACATAGTGCCTGCCTGTGGTCACGCGCTTACTGCCGGCGATGTGAGTTCCGGCACCTTTTTTTTACAAAAAAAGCACTGACTACGGATACGTTAATTTCAGTACTCCACCATACAGGATCAGGTTAATTGCCTCACATAAAATGCTTAGCTATTCCTGACAGACTTGCCAAAGTCCATTGGGGAAAAAGGCCAGCCACAAAATCACAGGAAGAGGCCTTACAATTTGCATGGAAGGAATAGCAGCTCTTTAGTTAACAATTCTAGCATTTACTTTGGCAATAATTTTGTTAGATTTCCATCTATTCCTAATTTGGATTATTTTGACATGTGGTAAATAATGTATCATGGTATCTGAACTGGGTTGTTAAAATCTGAACTAAATGTTTGCAATTTTAATAGCTGTTGAGAAGAACATGCAGATGTGGGAAGAAATGAAAAAGGGAACAGAATATGGGCAGACGTGCTGTCTACGAGCAAAGATTGACATGAGTAGCAATAATGGATGTATGAGGGATCCAACCCTTTATCGTTGCAAAAACCAACCACATCCACGTACTGGAAATAAGTACAAGTATGTGTTATGCTTAGGAATACCTTTCCTTAAATTTTTTACATTGGTTTCTACTTTGGTTTCGCTTAGATAAGTAGGGCCCCAGCCCAGAGTTTTCAGGAAATTAGTTTCCGGAAACATTTGTAGAAACTATGGGCTGGATCCCTACTTACTCAGCCCTTACCCTAGTAGTGTATGAATCTGCTCTGCAAATAGGTATTTATGTGTATGTACGTTATTATCAACTGATACCAAATCTTAATGGTTGATTCACTGCTGTTGAATCAACACAAATGTTAATTCACTAAGGGCACAATCTGATGCATGTTTAAATAGGAAAATGCCTTAAAACTCCCAACATTTCCTAGCCAGCCACAGCTACAAATTTTACTGAACTGCTTTGGGGAGAGATTCTCTTGATTCAGAGGTGAGCCATTACACCTGCTCTCCATCTCCAGAGGCCTTAAAGTAAAGCCAGAGCTGTAGTTTGGGAGGTACTGCTCCAGGAGACAAATGCTTGAATTTGTTGTAGTGGCTCAGGTTTTTTATCCCCTATGGTTTTGAATTTTGCATTGAAATGCTAGGCTGTTTTCTTGTATTTTTGTATTTTACCATACTGTATAAATTGTTTTTAACCACTCAGAGAGCTTTGGCAATTGGATGGTATAGAAATGGAATGCATGAAGTGACTTGGTCCTACAACTTTAGACACAAATAAGTCTACAACTCCTAGCATTTTCCAGCCCGTATAGCTGACTGGATAATGCAAGGAGTTCTGCGACTTTTTATTGTTTAAACATGCATAGGATTACATCTTGAGGACCAGTTCAGTAAGATTTGTAGCAGTGGAGCATCAGGCTCCTATATTTCCACCCACTACAAAGGAAGGGCATGCGTATGTGACCTAACAGGCGATTCTGCATGTACTTGGACTCAGACTCTGATAATTCAGTTGTTCACTTCATAAGCAGTTGAGCACTGCAGAAAAAGTTTTTTGCTTCATGTTTCTTACATTTTCTGTTTAGTTAAATGAGTGCTTATCTCCCTCCTACCCCTTTCCTATTATTGCCATGTTGATGCTCTGGCTACAAGCATTGATTATATGTCCTTTAAAGGTAATTGGCTAAATGGATCCCTGCTTTTAGTGCATATACATTGGATGAAGTCTATTTAATGACAGATTATTTCAGTTGATTGTTGGCTTAACTCACTGCTTCACTGTGTGATAAATTTAGAGAAGAGGCACTGAATACATTTCATAATTTTGGCCCTGTACGTAAACACTTCAGAGTGAATTGAAACTACTATTAGTTTTAGTTGTGCTTTGTCTGAGGTCAGATCCACAGCAGCCTGCTGTCATGGCACAGTAGTTTCATTCAAGTAAAAACTTTAGGCAGAGTTAGATATTACAAGAGTTTCCCCTGATTCTGTGTTTCCATCATAACTCTAGTGCATGTGTTGGGGGGGTCCCTTTCCATAGAGAACGAGCGGGCTGGCAAGGAGCTTAGCGCTTCTTCCCTCCACCCATTTTCTCCCAAAAGTGCTCCCCTTCCCAGCGTTTATCTTCAGCCAGGAACTGAGTGAGCTG